TGCAGTCATTAAGCAAATGAGCTTTTCTAATTGTCATTGCTTGTTGTAAGATGGCTAGGAAGATTGCATATGGTGACCCTGGGATGCTGCAACTGTTGTAAAATACATGCTGGTTGCCAAGCGCGTGAATTTGGATCATGTGACTGTGAGGCTGCTGTAATGGTCGTAAGTGCAAGGATCTGTCATAAGTCACTTTTTTCCAATGCCGTTCTAATTTTGAGCAGTTGAATTAAATGAATCAGTGGTGAAATCCAAATTTGTTTACTACCGGTTCTGTGGGCGTGGCTTGGTGGGTGTGAAGGATACTTGGTGGGGGAAGGATACTGCAAAATCTCCATTCCCACCCCACTCCAGGGGAAGGTTACTGCAAAATCCCCATTCCCTCCCCACTCCTGGGGGAAGGATATTGCAAAATCTCCATTTCTACACCATTTTGGGGCCAAGCAGAGGTGGTATTTGTCGGTTCTCCGAACTACTCAAAATTTCCGCTACCAGTTCTCCAAACTACTCAAAATTTCTGCTACTGGTTCTCCCGAACCTGTTAGAACCTGCTGGATTTCACCCCTGAAATGAATGGCTTTAAGTCAACCTGTACTGTGTTAATCAGTGTGTGGAAGGATAAACGACGTGTTTATTTAGACGTTCCCACGAATTCAACAAAATCCTTACTTCGTTTCATAAATTATAGCGCTTGATTGGCATATAAATTTCTGAATGTGTACGTCCCATATATGTAGTCTGTGTAAAGTCTACTACAGGATAATCCTCGATTTACAACAGTTCATTTAGTGACCGTTCAAAGTTACAACGGCACTGTAAAATGTGACTTATGACTGTTTTTCACACTTATGACCATGGCAGCATCCCCACAGTGATGTGATCAAGATTCAGACGCTTGGCAACTGACTCATATTTATGACGATTGCAGTGTCCATGTGATCGCCTTTTGCGACCTTCTGACATGCCAAGTCAATGGGGAAGCCATTTAACACTTAACAACCGTGTTACTAACTCAACAACTACAATGATTCACTTAACAACTGTGTTACTAACTCAACAACTACAATGATTCACTTAACAACTGTGGCAAGAAAGGTCATAAATTGACCTTGCCTTTCTTAGCAACAGAAATTTTGGGCTCAATTGTGGTCGTAAGACAAGGCCTACCTGTATTCTTTTTTAATATGGATGCTAATTGTGATGATAGAACAAAATTTGTTTCACCTAATTAGTGCTTAAATCTACCATGGTATACAACTCTAATGTCTATTCAGTTAGACCTATCTCTTGGGCTAATTACTAGCTAGCCAGCACAGTTGAAAGATACATTTTTTTTAAAAAAAAAATATCTGAAATATGAAGTTCATCAGTAACACTATCATGATAGGATACCTTCATATAGATGGCTAAAGATATTGCAGTTTCTAATCGGAATGGCATTCTTGAAAGTGCAGCTTAAGCTAAGATTCAGATCATTATTTTATATCAAACTGAGAAATCAATATCCATGTAACCTCCCCTTAAAGCCTATTTAGCAAATATGTACTGTTTGCTTTCATCTAACCCTGTGAACAACGTTATCAGTTCTGCAACTTAAGCAAGACGTGAAAGGAGCATTATTGCAAGCAAACAATAGAATTTCTTTTGTACCTATTTGGATTGAGATTCAGGTTTGCTTTAGTTAATAAGTTGGACTCCTAGTTAATAAATGTTAACTGTAACACTGAATGCAATTCCACGCGGGCTGAGAACAACCAGTCATAGGACGTTGCGCAGCTATTCTGATTTTCTCTTCTTTATTCATTTTCTCTGTGTTAAAAAGATAACTTAAAAAGCGAAGTTTATAATGGAAAACTGCATCTTGCTTGGATGGCCTATAGCAGTGATGGCTAACCTTTTTGTCATGTGCCAAAAGCGGGGGGGGAGCACAGTGGGGTCGCGTGTGACACCCCCCCACTCCCCCTGCTTTTGGCACACGATGGCACTGTGGGCCCGGTAGGCCCGATTTTCACTCCAGAGGCTTTCTTGGAGCCTGGGGAGGGCAAAAACAGCCTTCCCCATAGCCCTGGAGGCCCTTCGGTCGGAAAGAGCCAGTTTCCCGACTTCTGGTGGGACCAGAAGGCCCGAAAATCAGCTAGCTGGCACGCACATGCGCGTTGGAGCTGAGCTAGGGCAATGCTCGCGTGCCCACAGATACGGCTCCACCCATGCCATAGTTCGCCATCACGGGCCTATAGAATCTCTAAAACCTCAGCGTGAGTATCTCAAAGGTGCTTTTTCCAAAGGGCAACTGGATTATGCTTTTTTTTCCTTGAGGAAGGAGACATTTCGCTTCTCATCCAAGAAGCTTCATCAGTTCTCTGATGAACTGAAGCTCCTTGGATGAGAAGTGAAATGTCTTCTTCCTCAAGGGGAAAAAAAAAATCATAGTCCAGTTGCCTTTTGGAAAAAGCACCTTTGAGACAATCATGACCTGGACGACTGAAAATCTCCATAGACACTCAAGTGTGCATAGTAGAATGCACTGGATGTATTTGTACAGTGATGTTACTTTAATCACCACTTTAAAAGTGCAACTGAAGATACACACTCAAATAAAACTAGTGTGAGAATCCCCAGAAGTTTGTGATGTGGTTTGGAGAACAGAACATGAGATTTTTCCCTTTAAAATGCAAAGAATATAAATTACAAATTAGAACCACACAGAAATTTTGGCTGAGATTATTTTTAGGTAAGATTTAAAAGTAGAAATCCCATGGGAATACTCAAGTTGTATCATTTAAGCAGCGGCAGAATTGGTTGATTTTTTTAGAGTTTCCACACAGGCTTGGTAATTGAATTGTCCAAACCAGCTAATTCTGAGATTTGTGTTTGCCAAAACAATGCCAGCTGATATGCCAGATGCTCCAGTGTCCTAATTGCTGGCTCACTGTTTTCTAATTGCTCGTATTTGATGGAAGCTCAGCTTCTGCGTTTGCATCATCTCTGTTTGAGGTTCCAGGAACTGCAGCAACGACTGGTAGGCAAAGCTGCAGGTTCTGCCTATGACAGGGGTCGGCAACCTTAAACACTCAAAGAGCCACAAAGGTCCTAATCAGAAGCCCCCATTCAATTCTAGAGCCGACCTGAAGTCCGGTTCCCCCACCATAAAGTCTCCTCCTAGCGCAGCATCCTTTTTCTTTTACCTGTCCTAACTGAAAGCCCTATCAATTGTGGAGCTGACTGGAAAACCCGCCCCTTGCCATAGAGTGTCTTCCTGGTGCGCCATGCTTTTCCTTCCCATAACCGGAAGCTCCTCTCAAGATTGTGGCAGCAACAGGGAGCCACAGCAGAGGGATGAAAGAGCCACATGCGGCTCCAGAGCTGCAGGTTGCTGACTCCTGGCCTATGATGACCTAGTTAGAAATAAACAAGAAAGCAGATGAACATAGTAAATAAGGTTGAGTTGTGTACTAGCTGTTAGTGGACTAGGTCTTGTAAATCAAATCTGCTTGTAGTTTTGCTTGGTGATTCAGAGATTTGGAGCTGCTTCAAATGTTTAAAGATCACTAAAAGGATTATTCACGACTTGGAAATTCTGGTTCAAGAGATCTATGAGAGTTGTGAAAAGCGTCGTTATCTGTTTTACATTCATAAAGGGAACCATAATATCTGAAAGTCACTCATCATGCAGAACAATTCCAATTCTTTGGAAATCTCCTCCTGACAGAGATGTGGCTAGCTTTGTCAGTCATGGACTTCAGGAAAATATTGAAAACCTACCTGTTCTGCCTGGCACAGGTGGAAAAAGGATATGTTGAAATTGAAGGCAGGATCTGCAGGTGTGTTTCAGGTGTTATTTTTCCAATTTTTATCTTTTGGGGTGCTCCCCTCCCTTAAGATAAGGCAGTTGTTCTGACATTTTTATTTCATTTTTAAAATTCCATTTTAATCCAATTTATCTCAAGTATCATAGCGGGCTGGCTGATTTTTATACATTTGTCTTTCCCACGCAACCGAAATTAGTTACCAAATATTCTAAATGTCTCTATCAATAGCTCCAATAGGGATGGGGAAAAAAGAAGCGTGTTATATCAAATTCAGGGTATCCAGGCTACAGCAAAGCTATGAAACAGCTACAATTGAGAAGCTAATTCCATCTCTGCACAGTAACACAATAAGAGGGGGTGACTTTTTTTAACCTCCTGGTGTCGTTGAAATTAAAACTGATCCCACACCAATTAATTCTGAAATATGTGCTTGGCTGCCACATGAGAACTGGTCTTTAGTGACTTGTGAATATGGCAATGCTATCTTCAGGAAAGAGTATTTGTAGCTCAAGTGGAACTGCGAAATCCTTGGTGATCTCTGAACGTGTGCTTTTCTTGGGCATCTAGATTAACACCAACTACCCGAACAATCAAGAAGTAAACAATATCCCAATCAAGGAACCACCAACTCTCTCACCAACACTGAGAGGGCAAGCCACTAGTATATAAAAATAAGAGCAAATCCCACTTCATCCTAGCACTGATGATGTTATCTAGTTTGGTAATGAAAGATCTGCAAGGAAACCATCAAGTTTAGAGAGCACCAAGGCGCCCACAATCTTCAGGTATTTATGGCATGAAATTACATTTATTCTAGCTTTCTCTTGTATTGTGCATAGATTTTGAAGATCAAAAAGCCTGAGGTGCCAGGAAGTAATTCATGCACTGGTTTTGTCAAGTTAAGTTAGCTATGATATCTACATATCTCGGAGGACCTCTGGGTAAATGAGATCAAACGATTTGGACTTAGTTCTTAGGAAGCAGAATTTACTCAGAAAACCAGTGTGATGTTATAGTTAACCTGGAGCAGGAAATCTGTACTCTACTCCACTTCAGCCATGAATGCTTGTTTGTGGCGGTACCTCACCAGCTGGTTATGATGAAAAGTTGGAATATAGATCTCACAATGTAATGAAATCATACCCTATTGACAAGATGGAAAGTCTAGACCTAAAAAAAAACAAACACGGATACGTTTAACCTTTTATTTGTTTACCACAAATAACTTCACATTTATCAAGCTAATACTGCAGAGAAAAAATTTAAAAAAATAATAAAATATCTGTATACTACATCTGTTACAAATATAGAGGAGGTTTTAAGTGGTTGCACATAGGTATCACATGCTCTACACCCAGGGGTGTCCGATCCTGGCAACTTTAAGCCTTCTTCATTCTCAAAATTCCCTAGCCAGCATGGCTGGCTGGGAAATTCTAAGCGTTGAAATCCATAAGTCTTAATTTTGCCAAGGTTGGACACTCTGCTCTACAATACTGTTAATGCATACAGGACTAGAATCCAACACAGATTGCCAGTAATAGTAACTGATGGAAGCTTTTTCTCTATATATCCGAATGTCAACTAATGATATCAAGAATTCCTGTTGAACCAAAACTGCACTGAATTTCTACCACTCTAAGACACTGTATGAGAATAAGCTGTGTTAGCCTTTGGTAGCCCAAAATCAAAAGAGGTCTTGATAGCACTTTTTCAGACCAATACACTTCATGAAAAGGCGTGAGATTTTGTAAATTATTGGTCCCTTCATCAGCGGCTGCATCATCAGATGCTTATGCCTTTTTATAAATGTGCTGAGTGTGAAAAGGTGCCCCTAAACCCCTCCTGAATTTCTGCTTTCTAAAATCACCTGACAGACTCTTATTCTGAAGATGTTACAGTCCTCCACTTACAAACATTCATTTAGTGATCGTCCAAAGTTACGAGGGCGCTGAAAAAAGGTACGACTGGTCATTGCGCATAATGACCATCACAGCACCCCCATGGTCACATGATCAAAATTTGGGTGCTCAGCAACCGGCATGTATGTACAACAGTTACAGCATCAGGTGATTGTCATTTGTGACCTTCCCAGAGGGCAGTCAATGGGGGGAGCTGAATTTGCTTAAGGACTCTCGGATTCACTTAACTGTGGGGGAGGGGGGTGGGGGAGGTTGTAAAATCCGGCACAACTCACTTAACAAGCACTTTGCTTTGCAATGGAAATTCTGGAAACAATTGTTGTGGTTGTAAGTAGAGGACTGCCTGTACTGGTATCTCTCATAGTTTTTCTAAATCAGGTTTGCTTAGGTTGAAATGGACTCTATGATTCATTCAGCAGCAATTATGAAATAGTTAATAGCTTATATCAGGGGTCTCCAACCTTGGCAACTTTAAGACTTGTGGACTTCAACTCCCAGAGGAATTCTGGGAGTTGAAATCCACAAGTCTTAAAAGTTGCCAAGGTTGGAGACCCCTGGCTTATATGGTTTCCTGAAGGGTGGGCTTCTTGAAAGGGAGGGAAGGAGAAAGGAAGGGGCGTTTTTCTTGGTAAGACAATTGGAAGAAAGAAATTAAGTCCTCTGCAAAATGCTATCCTGTTTTACTTGTAGCCTCTGTCAACCCTGAAGCTGACCTGACCGAAGCCAACTTGGAGCTTCAGTGTTGCCACACTGGAGCTGAGGTATAGGAAGGGGGGAATTAGAGATAGCTGGGGTTTTGTAGCCACAATAAAATACTTTCTCTTGGGAACCAAGGACGTTCTCACACCTGGCCTGAGGAAGGAGGAGTGAGGTCACCAAACAACCAGACAGCGTCTTGATTGGACCGTGTGACTGATTGTTTGGGGTTGAGGGAAAACTTTTACTTTTAATTAGGTGAATTAAAAGGCGGGAATCTTCAGAGTCGGGTTTCACCAGATTTGTGCCAATATGATAAAGCCAATAAAGCTATTCTTTGAGGAATCCATCTGCCTCGGAGTTTTGCTTGCTATGGGTCTATTACTTTGAATCCTGGCAGCCTTATTTGAATGCTTTTATTTTTTTGGTTTGGGGGGGGGGAAATCCCTGTTCCATCATTTGTTGGGTGATTTCCCTTCACGCTCTGACCTACAGACCTTTTCAAGAACCAGAGAACAGCAGTACAAACATACTCCATATATATAAGCCACAATGCAATTTTTTTCAGGTACTTGAACACAGGACTGTAACCAAAGTTTGTTTCATTTAGGAGTTTTAAAAAGTAAACTATGCTTGGAATTGGGCTACTTTTTCAGTATTCATTTGATATGTTTGAATGAGCTATTATACTAAGTATAATAATAGGAGCTCCTGTACTGAACGGGTGATTGGACTAGATGATCTCTAAGGCCCATTCAATCCTTATGTTCTATAATCCTACCATCCTCTTGTAAATTGGTATTTTTCTTCATTTTCCTTTAACATCCCAGTGTTATTCTTTGGGTATTTTTAATATGCAGATCCCAGGGATATAGACTTAAAATGTTAACACAAACAAAATAAAAAAGTTAATATAAATACGTTTACAGCCCAACATGCTAATTTGGGATAATAACTGGAAAAAGGGACATTCTAATACATTGTCCCAATTAATGTTAGTAGGTCTTTTAATGAGGTATTCATTCCCATATAAATAAAGAAAAAAATAGAGTAGTTATAAGGAACAGTATTTTCCAGAATTTCAGTAATTAGCACATAAAAGCAGCAGGCACAGACAGAACATAGCCAAACAAATTCTCAAAAAACCCCAAACCCTAAACTAAATTAAAATTAATTTCCCCTTGTTGGCTTTCTCGTTTTTGTTTCTTTTTTTATTCCTAACTAGTGGCAGTAAGTATATTTTGAGCTACATTTTTAAAATCCTGCTGAACTATTGCACAATTTACAAACTGACATAACACAAGAATACAGGTCGCCCTGTTTAGTAATCACAACAGAGACCCGCAATGTGTTCATTAAGTGAAGCGGTCGCTAAGTGAAACAGAAACTGTGCTTATGATCGTACTTCAGCCTCATTTGCTTTACAGACCTGCAAAAGTTGTAAATGCAAGGATTGGTCATAAAGTTACTTTTTCATCACTGTCATAAACTGCAACTCATTGCTGTACAAGGCAGTCAGTCGCTAAGCAAGGATTACCTATAAGATTATAAGGCAAGGATAGACTGGAGGATGACTTAATATGCTTCTCTACCTTAACCCAATACTGTTAATTTGAAATCAGTGGTTGTCACTAGGAAAAAGAGAAGTGAACATGATAAATGTTGAAGGGCGTGTGTGTGTTTGTGTGGCATTCTCTTGCTTTAACTTGCTGTTTGTCTGTGTGTATGTTTGTGAGCACACGTGCATTGGTTTCCTACGCTTCCAAAGACTTACAAACATTGAGCAAAGGTATCATTGAAAAGAATAATAGAAGGCTGGGTCTCGTTTTGGCATCTTAAGACCTCTGGGTGTCTCTGAATGTGCATCCATATGTTGTGTATGTCTGTTAAATGGAGAAGGTTAAGCCAACCATAGGGCATTAACACCTGTTAAAGCAAATAATAAATTTGCTTTAAAAAACAAATAATCAGGTTTACTGTAATTCACTACTGACATTTAGTATTGTGATCTTATGGGCTCAAATCGATCACAAGAAATTCACTAGATGGTCTGTGACCCAAAGAACTCTGGCTTATATTTGTAAAGTAAAACTCACAGACTTTGGGACAAGACAGAAAACAAGCTCCTCGTAAGTCAGCTCAAAGGATTACCCAACAGTAGAGACCTTAACTGCAGGAAAATGCAGGTAGTCCTCGACTTACAAGAGTTTGCTTAGCGACCATTCAAAGTTACAGCAGCACTGAAAAAAGTGACTTATGACCATTTTTTACAATTACATTTCCAGCACCCCCATGATCATGTGATCAAAATTCAGATGCTTGGCAACTGGTTCATACTTATGACCATTGCTGTGTCCCAAGGTCACGTGATCAGCTTTTGTTACCTTTTGACAAGCAGAGCCAATGGGGAAACCAGGTTCACTTAACTATCGGGTTACTAACTTATGAACTGCAGTGATTCACTTAGCAACTGAGGCAAGAAAAGTCGTAAAATGTGGCAAAAACTCACTTAACAAATGTCTCACTTAGCAACAGAAATTTTGGGCTCAATTGTGGTCGTAAGTCAAGGACTACCTGGAGTAAAAACAGTTTTTGTCTTCTGCACAGCCTTCAAAGTCTGGGAAGAAGGATGTTGGATCTGTGTCTTTATTTGCTGTATGAGAACTGCTTGAGACCATTTTTTACTAACCTGTTACGCAAGCATCCATATCAAAAACTACCAAATATTCTAAGTTAAATATCATAATGTTTTTAATTAGGTGGTTTAAAATCAGTGGGTCAAGCTTTCACTTTCTTTTTGTTGCAATCAAGCACTGGAAATATTAAAATGTGTTTTTAGAAGCCAGAATTTGGGATCGATCTTTCCATCAATAATTCTTAGGTCATTTGTGAAAATGAGATATATTGCAGTGATGAAAGGCAATTTGTAGTCTTGACTGTGAAAGATTTGCTTATCATTGCTGATGACCCCACAAAGAAAGAAGAGAAAGAATATTCTTCTCCCAGGGACTCTGCAACAGTTAGGCATTACTACCACATATGTCCTGTCTCCTAACGAAATGTCCCTATTTAAGAAAGAACATGAAGATCATGAACTCAGTTTAATAGTTCTATGAAGGATCAGAAAACTTTCCTTCTTTCTTTCTTTCTTTCCTTTCTTTCCTTTCTTTCTTTTTCTTTCCACTTTAAAAACACTTTATTCCAGAAAACAGTTTGTCTCAGATCTCATGTTGGGCACAGGGATGTTAATAAAATTGAATCAAATGAATATATACATTTGAGAGCTTAACCCTGGCTAACCAATAGCCAAAATTTTGAGTCTTCCAGAGGTTAGAGTTCCAGAATTCTCCATTACAAATCCCACCTCAATCACACAACATGCACCACCAGGTTATCACACCAGACATTTTCCCCTTTCCATTTCCACTTTTCCCTACTCTGATTTTATTACTACCGCTTTCAAATTTTGTCACTTTCTTATCCTACGGAAGCCAGTCTCTGTAATTCAACGATATGTCTAACCATGGATAAAAATAATACCATTCGTTTTTTTCACCCCTGATTAAAAACAGCCTGGCAGCAAACAAAGTCCCATCTAATCTTTGGAGACAAGACTTAAGAGAGAACAGTCAAAGTCACAGTTCCTTTTGTTCTTTTTAGAAGAGCGACAGCTTCCTCGTGGGTGACCCCTTCCAAGCTCTGCCCATTGACTGCAATGATCTGATCCCCTCTTTTAAGGCGCCCGTCTTCTGCTGCTGCGCCCTGCAATGTTTAAAGAAACAGATTTTATTTTACAGAATTACATATAGTGCCCAACTCGAGCCACAGGCTATACCATAATGTCTTTTCCTTGGTTTTGGCTTTACAATTGGACTGACCCCAACCAATATAATTCATATACCATGGGAATTTTTGTTACAATGGGGTTCTTTTGTAACAATGGGCTGCTTTTGCATGAGGACAAAATCAGGTATTAAGGTTTTAAATACCCAGTATTCAATTCTTACAACTTGTGATCTTGTTCACCTCAAATATTTCTTCATTAGAGTCCTTTTGCATTAAACAATGAGTTATAGCAGAGAAAATCGTAGGACATTTCCTACAGTTTCTTAATGCAAATCTTTTTATTTGTGGACAAATTCTGAATAATAAAAAATCTAGGTCACTACTGTGTGTGTGTATTCCAGGATGCACAAAAATGAAAGGAGGCCCTGGAGTATATAAATATTAGATGCATGAGATTTACAGAGATAACAGTGCCCTGTATTAAACGACAGATAGTGAAATAAGAGCATTATCAAAATTTCTGTCTTTTTTTCCTTTTTGTTTCCATCAGGCATTCAAGTCAGTGCATCACACATGTAGGGCAAGGTATGCAGGACAAAGTTAACAAGACACTAAAGCAAGGTAAGAGCTAGAGGTAAGACATCTCATACTTTATAGATCAGCAGTTTTCAAACACTGGTATTTGGCAAAGAGACTACAGGTGTGCCTCTCACCCAGAATCCCATCTCCCATGACATCACCACAGGTGAACCATCTCTATTTCTCCTTCACAGCCCAAGCACCTGGGATGTCATGGGATTTTGGGTTTTGCTACCTGAAAGTCCTGCCTGTGAAATGAAAAGGGTTGAAAACCTCTATTCTAGATGATTTGGATTGTATAATATTTTGCCTTTGGTCACACCAATCCCACTTGAAGGCAATGGTTTGCCTTCTGCTGTCTTAGTCATCTACCAATCATTTTAGATAAGGAACAACACAGACTTGATGGTGGCACATAATCAATATTTTAGAGAAGACAGAAAGGACCACGTTGAAATATATGTCTCGATTTAAAACATAACAACTAGTTAGCTAATGAATTTAGTATCAAGTTCTTACCTTTGCAAATACGGTCTTAACATAAATGGGCAGATCTCCATGAGGACTTCCGTATCCACCTACAATGCTAAAGCCCAAGCCATCAGGTCCTCGATCCAGAGTGATGGTTTTGTATTGAGGGGGCCTATAATGAACACACTAAAGTTGTTTCACTGTTCTGCTCATTGTAGCAATAGATGGGTTAAACATGCTTGATTGTCTAATATGTGCATACATACTGTACATATACTGTATGTACGTACGTATGTATGTACTGTACTGTACTGTACTGTACGTGTGTGTGTGTGTATATTTGTTTTCGTAGAAAACAAATTTCGCCTGAAGATGACGAGTGGGACCTCGTTGAAACGTCACCAAGATACTATTAATCTTACACGGGAAAAGACCCGAATACACCAAAACTTGCATACACACACACACATAAATAACCTTTAATGAAGATGTCTTCACCCTGCAACGAAGTGATTTGGGCTGACAATTCTCATCCTTCTCTTCCTCCTCCTCCACTATTATTTATTACCAGTGTTCTGTATTAAACCCTTTCAATGGTATATTTTTGTTATGTTCACCAAAATAATGGAGCCTCAATCAACTTCCCTAATCATAAAAATCTTGACATTCAAGCTTGCAATAGACTGTTGCCAATTTCAAGTAGAACGGATACTGAATTCAAGTATATTTTCTTACTGTGGATTTGATAGTTAAATTAGAAAAATCCATATTAACCACTATTAAGTTGATAAACTCACCCCAAATCATCCTGAAAGATGCTGCTTGATGTTAGACCAGAAAATGTTAGACTAGATGTTGGTGGATCCTGCTGTTGGCTAGTTATGACACTGACATCTCCACCAGCTACAACCTGAAAGTTAGTGTTAAACATAAACAAATGAGTATACAGATCATTATATAGAAGATGGCTACAGCTCTACAAAACAAAAAATGACTCTGAATTTTTATATTCTCTGTTTTAAATGCATAGAGCTATATTCAATAAATATCATCCAACTTCATGAAGAACTCCAAAATGCTCTATATTAAGAAGCATAACTATACCTACAAAAGCAACTGAATGTTGTTTGGTTTTCTTCTGCTCCTATGTGGGTTTGGCTTGTCTTCATTTCTCAAATAATATACATAGCTAGCTACTGAACTCACTCACTCATTTCCACTTCCTATTCATCCTGTCCTCAAGATTAAACTAAGCCATGTGTTTTATTGCTATGTATTGCAAGCTTGTTTGATTTTAACATCTGTGCAGTTTCTCTTCCCTTTTTCTCTTTCTCTCTTATCTCACTTTTTGGCTGAAACATAGGTCTAGGTAGTAATTGTTTTGTGCATGTTACAATGACCATTCAACTAGTGCTCTGCTCTTACATGATGATTACATAATCATTTCTTTCTGAACTTGAAGAGAAATTCAGAGAAAGCTGCATATTTGATCTGAATGGAGGGAACCCAATGATGCCCTTGAAGTGATGTCCCGATGCCTGGAGGCCGTGCGGATCTGGATGGGGAGAAACAGACTCAGGCTCAACCTGTCCAAGACCGAGTGGCTGTGGTTTTCGGTGTCCCGATATAGTCAGTTGGTGCCATCACTGACTATTGGGGGCGAGTCGTTGGCCCCCACGGAGAGGGCTCGCAACTTGGGCGTCCTCCTGGATACACGGCTGTCCTTAGAAGAACATCTGACGGATGTGGCCAGGGGAACTTTCTATCAAGTTCGCCTGATTCGCCAGTTGCGTCCCTTTCTGGATCGGGACTCCTTATGCACAGTCACTCATGCCCTCGTCACTTCCCGCCTGGACTACTGCAATGCTCTCTACATGGGGCTCCCCTTGAGGAGCACCTGGAGGCTCCAACTGGTCCAGAATGCGGCTGCGCGGGTGGTTATGGGAGCGACATTGCGGTTCCATGTAACACCTCTCCTGCGCAAGCTGCACTGGCTCCCGGTGGTCTTCCGGGTGCACTTCAAGGTATTGGTTACCACCTTTAGAGCGCTCCATGGCTCAGGACCTGGGTACTTACAAGACCGCCTTCTGCCACCGGTAGCCTCTCACCGGCCAGTACGCACAGAGAGGGGCTCCTCAGGGCGCCGTCGGCCAAACAGTGTCGACTGGCGGCCCCCAGAGGGAGAGCCTTCTCTGTGGGGGCACCTGCCCTTTGGAACGAGCTCCCCCCGGAGATATGGAGGATCCCGGATTTACGCACTTTCCGCCGTGCCCTCAAGAGTTTTTTATTCCAACAAGCGGGGCTGGCCTAACTCTTTTTAATTGTTTAATTTTAATTCTAATTTGTTTTTAAAAATAGTTTTTTAATTAGTATGGGCCAAATTTATTTAATATGTTTTTTAAATTGTTTTTTAAATTTTATATTGGATCTGTTTTATCTATGGCTGTTCACCGCCCTGAGTCCTTTGGGAGTAGGGCAGTATATAAATCTAAATAAACTCAAACTCAAAATGGGTTCCACAGCAAGCTCATTTCTCAATTATAAAGGTAACTGTTGACCTATGACCGTAAAGGAACCTATTCATTATGATTACAAATGGTGATGGCTATTAAGTGAAATGGGCCTTGCTTAATGACCCCTCCTCCCCTACTTTCCCTGATGAGGCCATTAAATGAATGTTTGGCTCGTTAAATGGGTGCCTTGAGTGTGGGGGAGGCCCTGGGAGACTTAGCGCAGGTTCAGGTCTGCCTGTACTGGGATTCCCAAGGCCTTCCCAATCCTCTCAGGCACCCCCTGATCCAATCCCTGCCGCTCAGGATTACTGCAGGCTTCAGCCTGCTCCCAACCCCAGCCACTCAGCCACCCTAAGAAGCCTAAAGCCAGGTAGCGGAAGCTGCTGGTGCACGGGGAGCTATTAGAACTTGTAGGCCCAGGATGGGAAGAAGGCCTGGCCCACAAGCTTGGGTGGATGAATGACTGGGTTGGGAGCAGGCCAAAGCAGGGGTGAAATCCAGCAGGTTCTGACAGGTTCTGGAGAACTGGTAGCGGAAATTTTGAGTAGTTTGGAGAACTGGTAAATACCACCTCTGGCTGGTCCCAGAGTGGGGTGGGAATGGAGATTTTGCAGTATCCTTCCCCTGCCACGCCCACCAAGCCACGCCCACAGAACCGGTAGTAAAAAAATTTGGATTTCACCACTGGGCCAAAGGCCTGCAAGGAGCTGATGGGATGGGTTGGGGAAAATTGGGGGGGGGGGGGTGTCAGCCATTGTATCATCCCTGTGTCAGTCATAAGGGTGAACAACTGGGGGGGGGGGGCACTGCAGCAACCATAAATTTGAAACCAGGTCATAAGTAGCTTTTCGTGGATCTTTCATAAGTGAAGGACTACGTGTATATCCCTAGGCCTCCATAAATACACATGGCATATAGAAAAACACTATTATTATGTCTAGTTGCAAATAGAACCAAGTCCTTAAATAAACACATTCCTGCTTATAATCATTTTTAAACACTTAAATATAGCAATGATATCCAGATTTATGATCTAAATGCCCAAGACAAGCTGCCGGTATGATAACATTAGCCATATGCCTGGTTTCCAAATAAAGATGTTTAGGACGTTTTTTATTGCAGCTGATCACACAGAGGAATGAGCTAACAGTCATTTGCACAGCAGTGGGTTGGATAGAATCTTGTCTATTTAAAGCAAATTTACCTGTGTGACGATGTGATCAGCTGCAAAATACCTTGTGCTTCAACTTATGCTCCAAATGTACCTTAAAAGACATACTGATTGAAGATTATTGTGTAGCTTTTAAATGGTACTATAAATATGGATGTAGAGAGCAAAAATGACCTTGATGAAAATACATGTGAACTACTGCCTGGGTACAAGAGGGACTTTTAAGTCCATAACAGTGAGATGTGGTTATCATCTCAAGAAGCTTTCCATAGAAGAGAAATGATAAGCCACACAAACTTGGTTGACTTATGCAGATTTAGTGACTTTTTCTGAAGGAAACTTAATTAAAAACAAGGGAAAAATTGGAAAAGGACGGTTTTACATGTCAATGGTTTGCTTATGTTGATGTATTAAAAAGATTTAAGTTTGTATAAGAATAATTTTGGTTTCACAAAAATGAGAGAACTAAATTTGAACTGAATTTGTGTTCTAAGGAGGAGCATGTATTGCCAAGATGTATCAAATGAATATACAAGAAGACTTTGTGATTAAAGTCTTCTTCTTTGGGATATAAAATAATGCTACATCAGTGAGAAAACATGTGGAGTATGAGATTACAATTTACTTTGAACTCTAATTTGAAAGATAATTTCTATAATATAATGTATCATTGATATTTAACACCCGATAAATTATCAAAGATGTATCATCATGTCAAACATATATTGGAAATGTAATCAGTCTGAAAGCACTTTATATCACCTTAAATGTACTTTAATTGAAATAATTCTTAAAACAAATATACAACTGAAACCAGATGTTTTTCTTTTAGATCTGATGGATAAACAGCTGGGAATTGTTCTGTATATAATAACTGTAGTCAAACGTCTCTTTGCACAGAGATGGTAAGAATGGATGCTGAAGTTAATGGAATTGTCTGAGATGGCAAATTTTGACTACCTTAAAGAAAAGACTTTGTCTAACTTTCTTTTTCTATGTGGAAACCACTTTTAGATTATTATTTTTTTGCTAAAAACCAATACAGAATACCATGTTTCCCCGAAAATAAGACCCTGTCTTATATTTTTTTGAACCCCGAAATAAGCGCTTGGCCTTATTTTCGGGGAGGTCTTATTATTTTGAGACGGGTGGAGCAAGATGGGGCTCCTCTTGCTGTCTTACCCAATTTCCAGCTCTGTGTTTAAATATTTCCGGGGAGGTCTTATTTTCAGGAGGAGGCTTATTTTCGCGCATGCACTCAAAAGCCCAATTGGGCTTATTATCAGGGGATGTCTTATTTTCGGGGAAACGGAATATAGAATATAAAAATGATATATTAAGTGTGTGATTTGCTGATTAAGAGTGTTTATGATTATAGAAATATTGGATATTATTGAATTTTTGATATACATATTTGTAACTGTATCAAAGAAAGGTGAAAGTTATTTCCTTTTGGATTTTTAAAATTCCTTTGCACCTTTTCTTCTCCTATAGTTTTCCTTAATAATTTTGTTTGGTTTTTATATTTTATGTTTTGCAGAAATTTAATAAAGTATTTTTTTTTTTAAAAAAAGAAACTAGTCCAGAAAGATGCCTCCCTGATTCTCTGTAGTATAAGAAGGAGAGAAGTAGCCTATTTGCAAGATTCTGTTATTACAATCAATTTCAATAAAAATAGTTTCAGGCCTCCTGTGCAGTTGATTTCCAGATCTGACCTATCTTATAGGGCTGGCATATGGTTCCAGATAGCCATCACAATATATAAATCATAATATGAATACTGTATTTTTAGGACTATAAGACACACCAGAGTATATGATGCACCAAGATTTTGAAAAGGTAAATAAGAAACAAAAGGTTTTTGCCCTCCCTGGCCCCCAGGAGCACTCTGCAGGCCTCCCAAACCCTCTGCACATCCAGTTTTTGCGAAAAACGGGATGCAGAGGCAGTGGTGAAATTTTCAGGTGGATGGAATAAATCTCAGAGATGCAAGCCATGAGCAAGCAATGGAAGCCATTCGAAGAGCAGGCAATCCAGTAGTCTTGATGGTACAGAGCATTATAAGCAAACCAAGGGTAAGCATAAGAGAAGGGGGAAAAATATGTAGAATCATAAATATGCATCCAAAGTTAAGCATTTATTCCAAATTTTGTTGATTTTGAGGAGAACTGAGGCTTCACTTTCTAAATCTTACATCATCTACAAAGCTAAGAACAGAATTAGTTGAGGTTGCAATTAGTCCAGTGGTGGAATTCAAGTTTTTTTGCTACCGGTTCTGTGGGAGTGGCTTGGTGGGTGTGGTGTGGCTTGTGGGCGTGGCAGGGGAAGGATACTGCAAAATCTCTATTTCCATTCTACTCCAGGGGAAGGATACTGCAAAATCCCCATTCCTACCCCACTCTGGGGCCAGCCAGACCTGATATTTGCCAGTTGTCCAAACTACTCAAAATTTCCACTACCGGTTCTCCAGAACCTGTCAGAATCTGCTGAATTTCACCCCTGCACAGAGGGTTTGGAAGGCCTGCAGAATGCTCCTGGGGGCTGGGGAGGGCAAAACACCCCCATTTTTTGCAAAAAAAGGGACCCATTTCAGGAAAAACAGGCCTGTTTTTGGCCTCCCAAACACCCGTGTCGCGTTTTTGCCCTTCCAGGCCCCAGGAGCACTCTGCGCATCCCATTTTTGGCAAAACAGGACATGCGGGGCAGGGTTTTGGGAGGCCAAAAATGGCTGTATTTGGCGTATAAGACGCACCAACCTTTCCCCCCTCTTTTAGGGGGGAAAAAAGTGTGTCTTATACTCCGAAAAGTACAGTAATTGGAAGATGAATTCTACCACTTGTACATATTAAGTTGCAGGCAACATTCCTACCTGTAATTCAATGGCGCCCAAAGCATTCTTCAGCAAACTGACAGCCTGGGAATGAGTCATGCCTTCAGTAGATGTTCCACAAATGCTTACAATCCTGTCTCCAACCTGTATGATGAAAGTGAGATATATGTGGGGAGGGGGTGGAGGGGGGAGAGGAATAATCAATCATACTAAATTGTTGCAAAGTCATTAATTAACACTTTCTTTCCCATTAAATTGCAAGCATAAGGGTGTTTCTTAAACAAGCAAAAATTATTATGGTTTCCCAATATATACCGCCAAGACATTGCTCAATGTTAATAATCGGAAATATCTTCCATGTTTCCAAAATTAAAAAGTGGGTCTTGAATATAATAAATGATGGTTGCTTTAGTTGTAATAAATAAATAACTCATATTTGGTTGGATTTGGGCCTTGTGATATAAAACTGTACAACTTAGTGGCTTAATTTGATTGGTACAGATAGTTCTACATTTAAGACCATAAATGACCCTGCAATTACAATTGTAAATCATGATGTTAAGTAGGGCATTCATGGGAGACAGTCTGATTTAATGACCTTTTTTGCCATGGTTGTTAAGTGAATGTGGTGGTCATAAACCCACTGGTGATTATGGGTCATTTTTTTTGTCAGAAGCCAGAAGTAAACATCAGTTTCTGGGGAAAACGTTGTAAATAGTAGCCGCATTACTGCAAACCGTCATAAATGCGGGCCAGTGGTTGAGCACCTGAAATGTGGACATACGACTGTGGGTGACTGAGTTGTAGTTAGTTTTGGGGGGATCTGTCGTAATGTCAAATAGTGGCTAAGCAACCAGTTTTAAGTTGAGGACTCCCTGTAAACAAGATAATCACTGGCAATACAGAAACAAAAACATTCTTTTCATTGGATAAATTGAAGAGGTGTTCCCATTTCTGCAGTTTTCACTAGAACTTTCCAAACTGAATCACCTCCAGTGGTGGGATTCAAAAAATTTTACTATCGGTTCTGTGTCCATGGCTTGGTAGGCATGGCAGGGGAAGGATACTGCAAAATTTCCATTCCCACCCTACTCCAGAGGGAAGGATACCGCAAAATCTCCATTTCCTCTTCACCCCACTAACTTGCTTTCCAGCTCCGTGTGCAGGGTAACAAAAGAAGACCCAGCCGTTCAGCTGGAACTCAATCAGCTGGGATTTGAGAGGCAGCGAATAGATGGGGGCGGGGCCAGTCAAAGGTGGTATTTGCCCGTTCTCCAGAACCGATCAGAACCGGCTAAATACCACCTCTGATCACCTCCCATACTTATTGGTGAAGCATTCTTGTCCCTAAGATGGCATTCTCTTTTGCAAAGATGACCTTTACTTACATTAAATATGGTCAACCCTCATGGAACTGAAGGTCATCTTTTGCTCTTTTGACTAAAGCTTCTTGGCCCCTGAAAACAACAGGATGTTTTGGAAAATTTTCAGCTGTTTTTCTCTTTTGGGGGAAGATGGGGGATTAAAGTATAGATACTCATTCTGGGATTCATAAAGCTTTTATTGATTTATTCAAATAAGTTATATGGCTGCCCATCTCACAACAGGGACCCTTTTACAACCTCCATTTGGCATCTTTAACCATCAAGCCAAACAAACAAACAATCATACCACTGTGTCACTTAAAATTGATAGTTGTTCAGCAGAACGACTGCTGAACAACTAGTAGTAATATGAACAACAATTAGTAATATGATTTGAGGTGATTTGGAAGCCATTACATAGTGGCTAAAGGCCACAAGCAGCTAACCACAGGTTACTTACCATTGTCTTACCTGATTAACACGCAAATAAAAACAAAATTGGATCAGGTTACTTGAAGCAAGAATAGTGTCGTAACATTTTCTGTTTCCTTCTTACCCTCAATTTCTGGGTTTGTGCTGCAACTCCATTTGGATGCATCATGGCTATAAAAATGGGAACATCACCAAGAGGGCTTCCTACTCCTCCAGCAATACTAACTCCCAAAGAATCTGAAGGACCCTGTTAGAACAAATGCAAACAACAGAGAGAGATGGGTGGTTTAGGAATAGGAAATATAAATAAATAAAAGTTTACTTTGTTCTGTTGCTAGAGGCAGGTTCTAATCATGACAGATTAGCTGGCTTTGGCTTAATGTAGAAAACAACATTAAATTTTAGGTGTTGATACGGTAACCCCAAGAATCACAATGTGAGACTTTACAGTCATTATATCTCTTACAGGGCATGGAAGAGTAAGCAGAAACTCTGACTTTATTTTTAAGTACCTTTTCAAAACCCATACCAATTTACTTCACAACCCAAAATGGAGTCGCAATTATTGCTAGAAGGAAACATGGAGGCAGTTGCCAGGAGTGCTGTTATCCAGCTTTCTTTGGTGTGTCAGCTGCATTCCTATCTGCAGCAGGTAGGCGGCCTAACTGCTTGCTATATTAACTCATGACTCATCACAATTCACCTGGATGGAAATCACTTGGTATGGAGGTATTACTTTTGAGGATCACAATGTTTTGAATTTATTACATTTTCTTCGGAAATAGCCTCCCCTTAGAAATTAGATTAAGGCCCCTCTTTGACTGCCCTCAGAAGCAATCAAGAGCTCCTCCAGAGAGCACCGAGAAATATTGTATGTGCTTATTGTTTTGCTGCTTAATTTCTATTTTAACTTAATTACTTTGTTTTCTGTGTATTGACCAGGACAGTCTGTATAAAATTTACTTCTAAGATATTCTGTGTGATCAAAAAGAAAACAGACAAAGGTAATTCTTTTTCTCAACTCCATACTGGTTGCAGACTATGGAAAGTTTTGACTGATCCAAATTGCACTCCAAAATGGGAAAGCTATAATAAGTATTTGAATGAATGGCTCAAATGTTTATGTCTGTAAATGGAAGAGATCTGTGAACATTTTGAAACCTACAAGGAAACATTAATATAAAATATTTGTAAAAATTTATTTGATAGATTTCAGCATACATTAGCTTTTAGTTTGATTCCTAGTTTATTGACAATACCCTTTGTGTCTCATTAAGAAACAAATAAAATATGAATGTTTAAATGCCATTAGTACACATGAAATACACCTTTTCATTAAGAATTTTAGGGAAGTACTATAATCGTATAAAATCATGCTCCCTAGTGTATGTTTTACCCACAACTTTAACGTAAATACACTTGTTTCATCTTGCAAAATCTAATATGAAATGGCCTGTTAGATATACAGCAGCTTCAAAAGCTATGTCTATTTTTTAAAAAAATGTAACTAAAACCATTTCAGGATTTAAAACGTAATGCCAGTGGAAATTATAATTGGTATTCAAGCAATTTATGTATCAAAACTTTCCCAATATTGTAATATTGAAACAGTACTACATACTAGAAACAAAAATAAGGAAAATGATTATCTGCTATTCCCTAGTTAAGTCAGTGGTCTACACTGACCTATAACAATAGCACTAGCAATAGCACTTACTTTTATACCGCTTCATAGTGCTTTTATAGTCCTCTCTAAGCAGTTTATAGAGTCAGCATATTGCCCCCAACAATCTGGGTCCTTATTTTACCGACCTCAGAAGGATGGGTCAATCTTGAGGCGGTGAGATTTGAACTGCCGAACTGCAGCTAGCAGTCAGCTGAAGTAGCCTACAGTGCTGCACTCTAACCACTGTGACGCCTCGGGTCTTATGGCACATAATCATTCAAAAATAGTCCAAATTCTAGCCAAAGCTACAATATGGACAGAGCTGCTAACTCACTGTCAAACTATTTACTAAGTCTGCACTATTATTAATCTTCTCATCATTCCCGCCAATCTCCTTCCACTTATGACTGCATGACTGTAACTTTGTTGCTTGTATCCTTATGATTTATATTGATATTGTTCCTGATTGCTTATTTGTACCCTATGACTATCATTAAGTGTTGTACCTTATGATTCTTAATGAATGTATCTTTTCTTTTATGTACACTGAGAGCATATGCACTAAGACAAATTCCTTGTGTATCCAATCACACTTGGCCAATAAAAATTCTATTCTATTCTGTTCTGTTCTATCATACTTGATGAAAAAGTAGTCAGTCAATCACTGTGTTTGATTAAAGTGAACACAACTATTTGTGAACCTTACCACTGACGGTTATTTTAACATTAGTCACCCTAGCAGACGGTTTTCGTCAGAGCTAATTTGCTGCTGCAGACAAGATCAAAACTTGCCCCTGGAAACTTGACCGGGAACTCAAGGATTTGAGCATCAGCATCTAAAGGACCAGATAGCATGACCATCTACCTCTTATGGTACCTCTCCAAAGCAACTGGGTAGCAGAAGAATCATGCTTCTTCATGAAAATTTCTATTTTCCAAATTTCTTGGAAAGGAGGCAGTGCAGTTTACCACCTCTTACCACATTTGCACATTTTAAAAGCTTTCTTTAGAAAATTATCCTTCTTTAAAGTAGGTTTTTAAGATTGCAGTTACTCTTGCTTTGCTGGTACACACACACACACACTTACTATGTTATGTTTCAAAATAATATTAAGTTTATGAACAAACATCGCCCATATGTACTATCATGCAAATTATTTTGCATCCTCAAGGGAGCTGTGGGCTTCCATTTCCTGAATAACAAGCCTGCCCTGTCCTGCAGTGAACAGGCTCTGAAGCTTCTATCAAACTGAATCGGGTGCCTTGTAATATGAAGTGGACCAGGAAAGTACCAGATTTTTTTTTAAATAATTCTGTTAAAAAGAAACCCTCCCCTGCAGATGTCTAAATATTCATATAATGAAGAACAGGTCTCTTTTTAAATAAAAAGAGAAAGCAATAATCATAATTCTGAAAGATAAAAGATACTTAAGAACAAAGCTTATGTCATTCTTAATTAAGGGAACAATCACAAAAAAAGTTAGAAAAAATATTTTTAAATCTTAACCCACAGGATGAAAAACAGTGATGTTGTTTAGTATAAATTCAAAAGTTTCTTTTTAAAACTTAGTTTTTCACTGAAAGCTTTGTTCAGTATATTTTCCTCCAATGCTTTCTTATTTTATTAAATATGCTGGAACCTACTTACCTTTTTTATTTCAACTGTTCTCAATCCTTGTATTTCAGATGCCACTATTAAAAACACAGAAATTATGGTTGTATTTTTTTTTCAAACTGCTGAATTTTCATGCATTTTAAAAGGCTATCTTGTTTTTTAGAGTAGATAAAAAATATTCTCATCAATAGACAATAGCTACTGTCTACTGTCTATGTCTGCTCTATAGCTAGAGCAGACATAGAAAAATGCTTTTAGGTTGGTGCTCATCTTCTTTCTGCAATACTGGAAAAAAAATTGCTTTAGTTATATTATAGAAATGCCTGGAGGAAATATGATTTACTGTCTTTTGAACCTCCGTGCTCATGTGATCCCAATCTGGATACTTGGCAACTGTCTGGAACTTATGATAGTTGCCATGCCCCCAGTCATGTGATCATGATTTGTAACCTTCCCTGGTGCCTTCCCACAAGCAAAATTAATGGGGAAGCCAGCAGGGAATGTCACAAGTAGCTCAGTTAAGTCTTCCCCACTTGTTCCAGCTCCCAGTCCCTCTGCACTTGTCTCAATGCCCACCCACACACCCTTGTGCACCCTTCTGGAGCCTTGTGCTTGCACTGAGCCTCCCCTACTTGCCACCACCTCACTGAGCCTTCTTCAGCTTGCACTGTGCTCCCCCCAACCATACACCCTTCCCAAATCTTGCTGTGCTGATGCTGTATCTCCACCACCATTCATGCATTCTTCTCCACAAGCAGCAATTAACCTACGCCTTGCTGTGCTTGTATCATGCCTTGCTGAGCCTCACTGCATTCATTCTGCGCCTCCACCACAGCCAACATACTCTCCCTGAGCCTTGCCACGCTCATTCTTTGACTCCCCCACCACTCGCAAACCCTTCTCTAACCTCCTTCACCCAAATGCAGCCATCCCAAGCTCCACTGCACTTGCACCATGTTTCCCCGGCCGCCCGCACGCTCCCTTGCACCCATTTGCACCCAGCAGTGGTCACGTACCTGTTTGCTAGCCTGCTTGCAAGGTACCTACGATTTGTGACTTCCTGCCAGCTTCCCCACTGACTTTGGTTGGAAGGCGGCAGGAAGTTGCAATCAATCCTCATTTAATGTCCCACAATCTTTGCTTAACTATGGCAACAGAGACTGCCATCGCTAAGTGATGCACTCACGCATTTTGCGACTGCATTGCTTAGCGATGGAAATCCCAGTCCTAATTGCCATTGCGACTCAAGGTCTATCTGTACTTATAAAAAATAAATCATTTTAAAGTTGTTCACATTTTGTCACAGGACAGCAATAAGAACTTCCTTTATTTTATAGCACAGCAATATAATATAATATAATAAACAATATAAATAATGACTAGTGAAACTTACAACAATTCTTCTTCAAAGTGCTTTCATAACTTTCAGGCGGGTTGGAACCACCACCTGGGAAACTGAATGATGTCAGGCTGCCACTTCCTTCACTGACCTTAGAGAATTACATGAAAATTATTCAGGAATCATTGCTGTCTTTCTAAATCAATTCTATCTAATATTTTAGCATCACACATAATTTTTCTGGAAATATACCTACCAGTTTGGATCCAGGACATGCTTTCTATAAGAGCAAAGATAAAAAATCTGGATCTAAAAATAATACAGGCTACAATATATTCAACTATAACAGTGGCTTTGGAAAATTGTCTGGTATGGTTTAATTATTGCACCCAGGTAGAGATAAATTTATTTAAAGAAACATTCGTGATTCCATGTGACACATATTATTTTCCTTACAGAATAGAGTTCTTAAGCAATTATCTTAACTGGAGGTATTATAAGGCCATTAGAAATACGATCAATTCTACCCCCTCTATCTCTATACCAATACTGCTTTGACGATTTACTCTGCTTTAATTGTGATAGAAAAAATTATAAAAACGACAATTTGATGTTCAGTGTGTTGGTAGATAAATGTTGACACTTACAACTTGTGAACTGGTCTCCTAAATATTACCTTTAAAGATATTTAATGTGGGCCGGTTCAACCAATTATGAATTTAGTTGTGGGCTTTATTATATTTGATAATATTCTACAGAAAAATCATGTCAGAGCAAAATCAAATTTTCCTTGTTTGCTTTTTAAAATGTAATAACCGGTTTGACTCCCCCCCAAAATGAAATTGGTGCAAATAGTTACAAACCTGGCTGCTCTGAGACATTCTCCTCTCTGAATGGAACGAACTCGCCTTTATTCTTCCAACTTCTAGTTTAACAACACCTAATGAACACTAGGAAGAAGACATAATTGGTTAGACAATAGTCTTGATCAGGGATCAATAAAGTAATTTCTTAGTTGAAAGAAATAAACACACCAGCCTGCCATTGGATACAATTATCAGCTGAAAAAATTGCATAATTTGTATGTGAGCAATCAATATTGGGACTGGATGACTCAAACCTAAAATCCCAAATGGGCATAAATATTTCTCATGCTTCACGCCTATTATGTGCATTTAAAGGCTCACTTTAAAGATCTGTCTATAAACATCATTATATAAACATGCTAACTATTGGAACACCATTATTTAGCAGCAATTGTAACAAAAGGCACTTCTATCTTATACAATAAAGGTAATCCTTGATTTATGACCACAAATGGGACCAGAATTTCCATTCCTAAGCAAGGTGGTTGTTAAGTGAGTCATGCCCACATTTATGACCTTTTTTTTACAGAGTTGGTAAGCGAATCACTGCACTTCTGAAGTGAATCATGTGGTCTTTTAAGCGAATCTGGCTTCCCTCACTGACTTTGCTTCTTGGAAGCCAGCTGGGGAAGTCACATATGGCAATGATATGGATGTTGCAACTATCCTAAATACATGCCAGTTAAAAGTGCCCAAATTTTGATCACATGACTGTGGGGATGCAACGGTTTTAAGTGCGAGGACTAGTTGTAACTCACTTTGTTCAGTGACGTTGTAATTTTGAATGGTCAAATAATGAATGTTTAGTAAGTCAAAGACTACCTATACTTAGAATGAGAGATATTCTTAACAAACCATCTAAGTAGACTTATCAAAAAAAGCCACTGCAATGACAATATGCATTAAGAATAAACTGTTTGACTGCCCATCAAGGAAGGAATCAGCTCAAAAATCTAATTTTAAAATCCAGCATCAATTTTTTCAACTCCGTTGTGACTCTAACAAAAAATTATATTATCTCTTCTCTTAACACCGTTAATGAAATTTAACCTCTAACATCTGACTTATTTTTCATTTTGACCACTGAACACTCAGGCTTCCTGTGTTCTTTTATGAACAAGCCACAACTGAAGAAGTCATTTAAATAGTAGCCTGTTTTTTCAACTGGTATTGCAGTTAAGTTAAATCTAAACAAAATATCATGTATAATTTTAATAGTGATGAGTACAGTAAAAAGATTTCTAAACTAACTGCTCAGTTCAGTCCCTTCGTCTGATTTATACTGGGAAACACATATAGTAGGATTACTGTCACTCATTAAAAAGTAACAAAAATGAACCCATTCTTTGTTCAGTGACTGAGTTCTATTCCAGCAACCAGATTGTTAAGTGAAATGGTCACTAAGTGAACATGTGACTGAGACAGACAGAAAGTGAGAGAGAGCAAGAGATGCTGCTAAGATCACTGGCCGTTGCTATCTCATTCAAATAAAATTCTCTCATGCAGCTACACCATTGTTACTCACATCGGCATGCATTGTTGTCAAGAGTGTTAAATTTGGTCGTAAAGGTGCACATTGATTGGAAAATGAATTTTTTTATTAGTGTTTATGATTATGATTAATGGCTGCTAATTGAGGTAGTCATTAAATGAGGAGTATATTAAAAAAGGTTTGTAATCCCAATACATTTATCTGATTTTATCAAAATAATTATACCCAAATCAAATCAAGGATGAGCAACAGTTGGGATTTCAACCAAAGAGGGTCTGGATCAGATTCTGAATTAATGTAATATCATTTTATCTCAAATCTAATGTACCTTTAATAAGGCCGCCACTGTCTCCTGGTTAGCATTTCGAACATCTTCATCATTCACCATTAGTATCTGGTCTCCTTGCATTAACCTTCCATCCAGATCTGCTAAACCTCCTTTGACAATGTCCGACACAAACACTCCAGTGTCATTTCTACAAATGTAATATTCATGTGTGTTTGTTTTATTTAGTTATTTATGTGGACTCTTCTATACCATCCTATCATATGTCTGAGTTGATCTATAAACAGTGCAGAACTGTATAAATTTAATTCTTAATCTCTATTATTTGTAAACATACACTCTAATTCACTGTTTTAATCATTCTTAGAACATTCATAAGAGGTTTATAATCATATGAAATACAATAAAATATTAATAATCTGCTTTATTTAATATTAATTTTACATTTTTATAAATTTGTGACAGATATTGCTACATATTTTATACATTTATATTATCTCATTTTATAAAAACCCATTATTACAAATGTATCATAAATTTGTTCGGTAAAAAAGCTTCAGAAATTTGAGAGCCAGGATTACATCAGAGGCACTAAATAAGAAATGTCTTTTAAAACCCATACAGATCTCTTTCTACTACCACAAACACAAGAGTTTGGCTTAGGGAGACACAACTGTATTTAGCGCTAGTAGGGGAAAAAAATCCTGTAATCTTCCAGTTGGCGAAGAGGGCGGATTGGCTTGTAGGATATGCCACACCTTAAATTCAAGAGTAGCGATGGATAGACAAGGAGGCCATGCTGGTGCATAGGATATGCAGAAGAGATAGGGAGAGTGCTCTAAGGTACAACAGCCTTGACTTACTCACCCAAAAGTCTTTTGATTTTTTTTCTTGAACAAAACCTAGAACAATCCAAATATTCTGGGTATCGATTCTCTTAGTCTATGACCCAACCAGAATAGTTTGACAACCTTTAAACTACAGTGTATTTGTTTCCTGCACATAATAACACATATGTTCTGGTTTGTACGCTCTCCTAACAAATAAATCCCTTAATAAACTGTTTTATTGGGTTGACCTGAAAATATATATTTTTATACAGAAGATAACTAAGAATTAAGCAAGAATCCAAGAATATACTGAAACTAAAACCCAACTATTTGGTTGGGTTGCCTTTTCTTAGAACCTTGTTTCTGCCAAAAATTATATTCAGTGTGAGTTTCAGAAGTCCCTCTCTGTACTTACCTTTTTCCAACAATACTTAATCCAAGTCCTTTGCCTGGTTTCTTTTGTAATTCAATACTCAAAACATCATACATGTCTTCTTCTTTATATTGGGCTTCATCCCTGTAAACAGTCAGACGGACTTTCTGTGGTGTCTGTCTGAGAACATTGATAGCTTCATCGTGCGTTGCATTCCTTAGGTCAATACCATTCACCTAAAATGAATAGAGGATGAAAGCGGAATACATTCGCTGACTACAAAAATAACATAGATCTCCACAACGGCCTTTTTCTCCCCGTCATTTCTATTTCCTACACGGAAGGATTCAGTAGGTTGTATAATTGCATTATAAATAAAATAATGTTTAATACTGTACCTCTAAGATTTGATCACCAGCCCAGAGTCTTCCATCTTTGGATGCTGCTCCTTCTTCATATACTTCGTGGATAATAATTGCTCCCTGTAGATTTGAAAGATTCTTTACCATGTATTGCAACTATGTTAAGGTAAAGAAAAGAGTTTGAATGTAGGAAAACACACACACACAGATTAAGAATCAGAAGTCTCTATGTAAATGTATTTTTAAATAAGTTTCTGATGCTATAGTGTATTATTAGAAACTAAAGATGGAAATGCACTAAGAACGGGGGGGGGGGGGGGGGGCAGAGAAAAAAGATCTTAATTTTAAAAAAGGGATAGGTTTCCTCAGTCGTGTCCAACTCTATGGGAGAGTGTTAATTTCTGTTTCCTAGTCGAGGGAACCAGCGATGTCCGAAAATGCTTCCATGATCATGTGGGCAGCATGATTATACGTTAAAGGACGCAGAACAGTGTTACCTTCCCACTAAAGTGGTACCTATTTACCTACTTGCATTTGCATGCTTTCGAATTGCTAGGTTGGCAGGAGCTGGGGCAAGTAATAGGAGCTTACCCTGTCACATGGTGCTTGAATTTCAAACAGCCAACTTTCTGGTGAACAAGTTCAGTGTCTTAACCGTTAGACCACAGGGGCCCCTTGAGATCGTAATTATGTACCTTTTAATGAATACTACAAACCTGAACATTTTACATAACATTATAGCAATAATTATACCTAAAAAATAAGAAACGTTAACAGGAAAGTGTTGAAATATGATAAGAAGAAGGGGAAAAATCTAACACTTTGAAAACTTTAGTAAATTATGAATTCAAAAATATATAAATATTTAATAAGAACTAGGAATGAATAGGAATGAAATGTAACAGAAGTGTGCCATTTTTTAAGATATTAGTGCTTTATGAAGTTATGAATTTAAATTTACTTCCAATAATATACCTTGTATTTAAATTCATTTATTCAAGTCACTTTATATAGGTCTCATGTTATAATCTTACATCCACATATCTGAGAATAAGTGCCATTACATTCAACGGGACATTATTTTTTGTGTTAAAAATGTTAACAGAGATTGTATAAAGATTATAGAAATAATTTTTACCCACCAGTAATGTGTCAGCTCCTCCCACAATGCTCAACCCTAGACCAGTACGTCCCTTGGAGATACTGATTGTTGTTTCATAACCTGGGATTATTGGACAAGTGGCTGGGTCAGAAGCTAACATAGCTGGAGTTGAAGGCCTGCTTGCATCTAAAAACACAAATTAGAAGAGCTGGTTATAATCTATGATTCTAAGATACCTTTTTTGTTGTTTTACATCAAGAGTACCACTTTACAAGCCATGTTGAGAGTAGCTACCGCATAACTTGGGATTTATTAACTCAATGGATATATGTCCTCGGTGGAATTAGGATATATCAGAACATCAACAATTGCAAGGTATACACTTCCTCAATAAAATTTTGATTTTAAATGAAAACCATCTTTGAGATACATTTCTGCCGTATTATAGCAGTCAGTAATATAATAATATATCTCATACCATTACAGAGCAACGGTTGACCATGGGACAAATCCATTGGTCTTACAGTTGAATACATTTAATAATCATACAAATATTTCTACTTAACAGTTGGTTAATTATAAAGATAGTTCTCAACTTACAACAGTTTGTTTAGTGATTATTCAAAGTTACAACATTGAAAAAAGTGACTTATGACCGTTTTTCATTCTTATGACCAGTGCAACATCTCCATGATCACATGATCCAAATTCAGACATTTGGCAACTGACTCATATTGATGACACTTGCAGTGTCGGGGGTCATGTGATCACCTTTTGCGACCTTCTGATAAGCACAAATTGCCTCCCACCGACCAATACGCTCCCACAGAGAGGGCCTCCTCAGGGTGCCGTCAGCCAAACAGTGTAGGCTGGCGATCCCCAGGGGGAGAGCCTTCTCTGTGGGGGCTCCGGCCCTATGGAATGAACTGCCCCCGGACATACGAAGGATCCCCGACCTCCATGCCTTCCGTTGCGCTCTGAAGACCCTATTATTCCAGCAAGCTGGACTGACAGGATAAAGGTTTTTTAAATTGGGTTTTGATAGGGGTTTTAAAATGATCTTAGTTGGATGTTTTAAATTTGGCCGAATAATTGAATTATTTTAATAAGCTTTTAATTTTTGTTGTACATTGTTTTTACCATGGCTGTTCACTGCCCTGAGTCCCTCGGGAGAAGGGCGGTATACAAATATAATAAACTAAACTAAACTAAACTAAAGTCAATGAGAAAGCCAGTTTCACTAAACAACCATGTTACTTAACAACTGCAGTGATTCACTTAATAGATGTGAATTCACTTAGCTTAGCAACAGAAATTTTGGGGCCAATTGTGGCCACAAGTTGAAGATTACCTGAACCAAAAAGGCCAAAAAAGAAGAAAGGGGAAGAAAATTAAAACACAATACATTGGCCGAAAGGAACATATTGATTTCTATATAATTTGCTTAAATCTTACAATGGAGGACATTTGAGGTAACAAATCAATGACGTGTAGGCTAATGGCTGATTCAATAATGGGTAGATGTTTATGTGCATACATCAGTGGTGGGTTCCTCCCAGTTCAGTCCGGTTCGGCCGAGCCAGTAGCGGTGACGATATGACCTCACCAAACCGGTTCTCCTACCCCCCCCCACCTCCCCCCCCACGTTATTCTTACCTTTTATTTGGTCCCACCCCCAATCTATTGCTGCCTCCTGAGTCCCAGCTGATGACTAGAGGGAAAAAAACTGTTTAAACTCTTGCCGCAGGGCTTCAAAGGGCCGTCCTACAGCTGATCAGTGTTAAAAGCAAACAAATGAGTCGGGTCGTAAGTGCGAGGACTTGGTCGCAAGTGCGAGGACCTTCCAGAAATGACTCTGACCAGCTAGCCACGCCCACCTAGTCACATGACCTCCAAGCCACACCCACAAAATAAGCCACTCCCACAGAACCGGTAGTAAAAAAATTTAGAACCCACCCCTGGCATACATGTATATTGATATGAACACAGTGCACTGGATTTTTTTTTTAACATGGAGTAAATGAAAATTCTTACTTTTAATTAACTCTGGTTCTGGTGACTCAGATGATGGAACAATTGGTACTGGCTGGATATCAGTTCCCTCGCTCAAAGTGGTGCTGTAAGTTGACAACAGTGGCTGGGAAACTGCCAGACCTTCCGGTTCCACTGAACTAATAGTGAGTTTTACATTGGGCTTTGATGTTTTCAGCAAACTGATAAACTTGTTGAAATAATGAACAGATAATAAGAAATATTGAACAAGACAAATTACCATGTAACAAACAAACATATGGCTGTATAATATTCAGCAGAATTATTATAGCTAAGTTGTTAAGAGGAAAGCAAATTCTATGTGTTTGAACAAATATTTGACTGAATGGCCATTTCTATAACATGTTTTTTTCTCTGCCAAGAGATGATTGCCAATATATCAGCTAAAAAATTTAATATGTATACATATAGTACAAACAAACAACTCATTCGTTCATGAAAGGAGATACTTTAAATTTCATTAAATATTAATTATTCTCATCCTGATCAACAATTATCTGATTGTTTGATATGTTCTCTTGGACAGGTGTCTTCAATGAGATGTGAGATAGAAAATGAGTTTTAAAAATGGAACAGTGCTATAAATCTAATTCCATAGAAATATCTACATCCCACATGCCCACTGCTCATCCTATCGCCTCTTCCCATCTTTAGTTAGAGTTGATAATTTATATTTTACAGTATTTTATTTTATATGCATGTTTTGTAAATGCCTGTTTTTGTGTATTTATCCTTTTTAACACATAAGCTGCCCAGAGTTACCCTGTGATAAGATTGGCAGCCTACAAATTTAATAAATAAAAATAAAATAAATAATCAAGCATTTTAGCTTATGACAAACAAATCTTTAAAAACTGCCTAGGGTAGTCATTGCTCAATTACCTTTTCTATAGGATAGCCCACCACAACTTCATCATCCACTGCTAGAATTTGATCTCCAACCTTAATTCGGCCATCCTGAAATAAAATAAATATGTTAACATAGGTCAAGGAGGAGGAAATGTACATTTTTATCATCTTTAGTGTTAAGTTTACCTTTCCTGCTGCACCATGATCTGTTAAGTTCTGAATAACTACACCATTAAGTGTATCTTCTTCACCAATAGCAATACCTATGCCACCTTGATCCTAAAGAATCACAAAGAGCAACTACCGTTATTGAAGAGTTTAACCAATGGTAAAATGATACTTTAGGAATTCTATCTTTGCAAATTCTACACAAATAGAGTTTAAGTTAAAATTTTCAAACTGATATACAGATATAATCTGTATATATTGCTTAGCGCACTGTAAACCGCCCTGAGTCTCCGGAGAAGGGCGGCATATAAATCAAATTAAAAAAAAAAAAATCTAAGCCACACTTCAGGTTTTACATTTCTCAGAAACTTAAAAAGCATTTACAAAATTTAAGCACATCAAACAATGTTTTCGTGCTTGCTTGCTCATATCTAGGTATCTGTGTGTGTAAATAAATACATAAATAAAATGTGAGGTGATTTATCTCATTTGTACCTTCTGCATCAGAATAAAAGAAATTCATTTAGGACTAGAGATACGAACAGAACATAAATACACATATTTACCTTAGGTAATTCCACATTTTGAACATTCTTATATAAAGTCAGATCTATTGGTAAATTAGAGCTTGAAATGTTCACTTCCCCCTAAACAAAATAAATATGTTAAAAATATATTCACAATAGCTATAAAAGAACCACATTTAAATTCACTAAGAATATGAAGTTACTTCTAAATGAAAACTGGGTCTGCCTTTTGATTATTTTCAATGGAAAACATTGTAAGTAGCAATTTTTTCAATCACTAAATTAAGATTTATTTAATTAATTTAATATGCATTGTACCTCTTCATGCTGAACCATCCCTGAAGACGAAGATGCTGATACCAGTGATTTACCAGGAGAAATAGCCATCTGATGGACAGCATCTTTGTTTCTATCATACAAAAAGCACACCATTTTAATTCTATAGAACTGGTGTTGGAGGATGTTTTGTTTAAACTTTTAATATCTAAATAATACTTTTGTTGTTTTTTTTAAAAAAAACTACATTGTTTATTTATTTACTGATTTGGCTGATTGATCTCTACCTCTCAGTCCAGAGGGACTCTAAAGTTAATACCTGCAATTCTGAAAGCAGGTATATAATTCAAGAAAACCCTTAGCAATGCTTTGATCCCCTTCCCGTTATCTGAAAGATGAACTGAGACAAGATTAAAAGATTAAAATATTAAATGTTTCTTACCGGATAAAGATTATTTTTACTTTAGAAGGCGCACATTTGATGATTGAAGATGCATTCTGATGTGTTTTTCCATACAGGACTTGTCCATTTATCTGATCAGCATGGCACAAACAGACAAGAATACACATTTCATTATTTCTTCCCAAATCAATTCTTTCACATGCAAAGCTGATTATTGTTATAATTGATTCAGTGTAATAAACTGTTGACTAATTATAATTGTTAACTTATTAATATTTTTCTTCAGCCATTCCACTGTGGATACTAATCCTGCAATATTTATTATTATTTTCCCTGTTTTCAAAATTGTAACAGCTGTTGGTTTGTACTGGCCTCTCTCTTGGATTGGAAAATGCCCTTTGCTTGATTGCAGTGGTTTGGCTGACATTGAGAACACCATCATTAATTTTCACTAATGATTCATAACTTATTTTTTTGCCAAATGAAAACAAAGGCATGGAGAAGCAGACTGATAAATACAAATAATGGCAAAACAATTTGCAGACTAATTTATAGGTGTACAAGAATATCTGAATATTTTATTTAAATTTCCAAGATTAATCATCTTTAAGTTAATAGCAAACTTAGTATTCCGAAGTTCTGTTGATAGAACTGCTTCTGGCACCACAAATAGAAAAAAGCAATTTCTTTTCTTTACAAAGTCTGTTATGGAGGTTGGTTTTGAAATATCCTCCTGCCTGTTGTTTTAAGATTTTTTTTTTAAGATACCATTCTACACATCATCAATGTCCAAGGTATAATTTGTTGATATACATGAAATATTTCGACCCACAAAGATTATTTTCATGCCCTCCTGGCTGCTGTATTCTATTTTCTTTTACCTTTTTGACCAGGGAGGGAGGGAGGGAGGGAGGGAGGGAGGAAGGAAGGAAGGAAGGAAGGAAGGAAGGAAGGAAGGAAGGAATTATAAGGCCACCTTATATGATGATTCTGGACAACTTGCAATAACAAACTAATAACCAAAGCAGAAGAGACAAAACCTATCTGGAAGAAAAAAACGAACAGCTCAATAGCAAAATCCTGGAAGAGGTTTACCAACTACCATGTCTGGGGAAGAAAAGCTGGTAGAGAGAAGTTTCCTAAGATGGGCTCCAGTGGTGGGATTCAGGTAATTTAACAACGGGTTCTCTGCCCTAATGATTTCTTCCAACAACCAGTTTTCCAAACTGCTCAGAAAGTTAACAACTGGTTCTCCCGAAGTGGTGCGAACTGGCTGAATCCCACCACCGATGGGCTCCAGCATGAGTCTGAAAGCTCAGAAGACTAAACCTCTGATCCCAGTGACTGACCCAGATTGGGTCCTATAACATTATCCTGGAATATGCATATTTGCCTTCATTCATAGGAAAAGTCATGTTTGGTGGTGCGATAGTTAGAATGCAGTATTGCAGACCAACTATGCCTACAGCCTGGAGTTTGATCCTGATAGGGCTCAAGGTTGACTCAGCCTTCCATCCTTCCAAGGTCGAAGATCCAGATTGTTGGGGGACAATATGTTGACACTGTAAACCGCCCAGAGAGCACTGTAAAGCACTATGGGACAGTATATAAATCTAAGTGCTATTGCTATTTTAACCACTTTTAACAGCTATACAAATTTCTCGGAGAACACCATTCTAGAGGATAAACAAGGGAACAAAAGGGTCCTGTCTCTATTAATGCTCAAGAAGCAAGCCAAAGCTACAATCTTTGCATTTAGCACACGAAGTTCAACGTCAAGAAGGACATTTGCAGAGTAGCTTAACCCCAAATACCACCCCACCATCACAACAACAATAAAAACCAGTCTTTGTATGCTATAATTTGCAATCTGTAAGTGACATTTTATAGTCTACAACTTTAATTCTAGTCCTGCCTGAGGCTCAAAGCCAGCTGGATGACTTGAGTCAATCACTCTCTCTAAGGCAAACCACTTCCATAAAAAGGACATAAGGAAAAAGGACTAGTTATGTAGCTGCCAAATGTCAAAACTGATTTGAACGTACAATTTATGTAATGAAGGGACATACTGATGAAAATAATGTTGTTTTAATTAAACCCTACATTTTATGCCAATTAATTGTTTTGAATTAATTGCTCTTCTGTCCTTAAAGTCAGTATATTTCATTTAAGTCTATTAGACACTTACTTCCAGTAACTCGTCTCCAATCTGCAGCCTGCCATCTCTTCCAGCTGCTCCATTTGGATCAATGCCCACTACAAAGACACTCATCTTGGATCTGTCTTTGTTCCCAGCTAGGCTGAGTCCTAATCCAGTCTTCCCTTTCTCCAGTTCTATCACGTGCAGATCTCCTGACAGATTCCCATACTGGTGACTGATTTTCCCTAAGTGTAAAGATTCAAATGGGTGGCAGAGTCAAAATCGATTCCAAAACTTTGGAATTCAATAGTCCTAACCTCAACTCAACATTACAAAAACAATTCAAGAATGAATTTATGTTTCTATTCACTTGCCAAAGTTAGAAAAAGGTATGCCCCCCAGCCACTTCATTTTTTTAAAAAACAGGAAAGTGAGAATCTATCCATCATTACTTTCTTCATTATAAAGACACTTTCTCTATTTATATGCTACTTTTAAGAATAATTTTTAATAACAATCACAATCATTCCTGCGTTACACATGAAACACAATTATATTAAAGCCTTATGGTCCAGATCGAATGCTTACAGCACAAGGAAACAACAAAGCTGTTAGTTTTGACCACAAATTCTACTCAAGCATGTCAAAGAAAAACTATTGAAAACATCACACTGCAGATAAGGAGGTAACTTACTCCAGCTGTATCCAAACTCATCCTCCTTATCCAAATCTTCCAGGTGATTGTTAGAGGACTGCAGCACAATTTCATTGCTCATTGCTGGAAATACTGAAGGAGGAGGCAAGGGCAGATTACAGGATGATTTTTTTTCTGGCTCTGAATCTGACTGACTGGATGCCTGTGGGGAGTAAGGCAAAATACAGTGTTTGAGGAGACAGAGAGGAATTATGGCCAATCAAAATGCATGGGATGATGAAAAAGAAAAACCCAGGACTTTAAAGTTAAAATACACAGCAACAGTAGAATAAAAAAGCAAACAAGACAGAAACTGCAAATCAAATTCGGTGAAGATGAACGCCTGTTCAGCCTACATACCACTAAATCTTTGCATGTCAGTTCCAAAACTGGACAAACAGGAACATGTTAAGGAATATGAATGAATCCTCAAAAGATAATTATGTTCTTGATTGTGCATCATTTTATATCAAAAATTGTCTCTGAAATAATAAATGGGGGTGAAATCTGATACAGACATTGCATTAGCCTAGATCAAGAGTTCTTGGAAATCTCATGATAGATGGAGAGATGCTATTATGAATAGCATACTATACTACTGTGGAAAAATCAAATCAGCAGGGAGCATTTTTTAATTTGTTTTCACAAATGGAAAAAAATGTTTTCTGTTCATGTTGATGGTTTTTAATTTGGTTTTATGGTTATTTATATTTTATTGTATTTTGCTGTGGTTTTTAATTTTGTGAGCTGCTCAGAGTCACTGATGTGAGATGAGTGGCTATATAAATTGACTGAATGATTGCACGAAAGAAGGCCAAAATGGATGTGACACATTAGCTGAATTCACATACACAGCATTCTTCAATTGTGTACACTATTGGAAGTGATACTCGTGAAAATTTTAAATAAATAACACACTAAAAAGATGCCTTTGCAGAACTTATTTTGGAAATTGATTTCCATGCCCTTAGGAAAATATGTGGAAAGGCCTTAAGAAGTGAACCGGAAATAAAATATCTGAAATTGTAAAACTGTGCTGAGAAAGAGGGTGATGTCTTAAAAAAGACATTGATGCCTTTCTACAATTAACATTATCACATATAAATTTAGTCATGGGAATGCCTGAATTCTTTGCGGTATGATATGAACATTATTTATGCTCACACTAAAACAGCATTTAGAAAGAAAAGATGATGCCTTTGAAATTGTCATAGGAACAAAGTAAAGGATGGGAATGCAGGAATGTATACACACACACACACACACACACACACACACACACACACACCTCTGGTCTACCCCAATAAGGTAATTGGCTGGCTCAAAGTCACCCAGTTATTTTAATGGTTAAGGTAGGACTAGAACTCAGAGCCTCCTGGTTCCAAGCCTGGTGCCTTAAGCACTACATCAAATCAGTCTAGTATAAACAGAACTTTCTATTTCTAACTGAACAAACAATTCACTTACAATAAATTCAACAAACATCTGTTTGCAGTTGCTGTAACAATAGCCTCCAGATACATGAGAATAAGATGGTAACATTAACTAACTGTACTCAATATTTGCTAGATTAACTTTTTACAAGCATAATAGGATTTGTGGAAGGGACAAAATATTTCTATCAATGTTTTTGTCCAAAATTCAAAGTATTATTTATTGGTTCGATTTATATGCTGCCCTTTTCCGGAGTCTCAGGGCGGCTTACAATGCATTAAGCAATAGCCTTCATACTTTTGTATATACCTGCTTAGTAGGGCTTTCGCCATCCCCCAAGCGGTGTTCTTTTTTATACAAAGTCAGCTTATTGCCCCCACAAACCGGGTCCTCATTTTACCTACCTCGAAAGGATAGAAGGCTGAGTCAACCTTGAGCCTGGTGAGATTTGAACTTGCAGTAATTGCAGGCAGCTGGTGTTACTTAACAGTGCTTTAGTCTGCTGCGCCACCAAGGCTCATTAGAAACTTTTGTTCAAAAGTCCAGTGTTCAAAAGTAACAGGATTCCCATTCATTTTGCCAATTAACTCAGCATTAAGTTTCTCCTTTAAGTAAACTTAAATCATGTCTGAAAGTTACTCTTAAAATTCTAGCTTGTTAAAAGACCTACCATCATACTTTCATAGATCAGGCACTATCAAAAGTTTCTCCTACCTCCATGTCATAATTTCAATGGAACGGGATGAGAGGGATATGAGCATGATGGCCATAATTCAATATGGAGAATATTCACTTTCAGCAAACCACTGGCTTATGAAACATTATTAATATTATTAAATGAGGGTCTAGGAAAGGAAGGGGAAAAAAGATAAACACATAAATATTCACCAAGTCCATCACAAACACATGGGCATAATCCAACCTTGTTAGTGTTGAACTGCAGAGGATCAACAAAAGGGTTAGTGCTGCTGAAGGCAGGAGGCTTAGTGAAAGGATTGGACTGCAGATAAGGCATTGGGAAATTCTATAAAAAATAAAAAAAGAAAGGAACTTGCTAATCAAAAGACACATATAATAGGGCACATTCACACATGCACGATCAGCATTTGCCCAACAGCAAATGGTAGCTTACATATAGTCCTTGACTTACAACCAAAATTGAACCCAACATTTCTCTTGCTAAGCAAGACCGCTTAGTGAATTTTGCCCGATTTTACAACCATTCTTCCCACAGATGTTAAGTGAATGGCTGCAGTTAAAAATTAAATTAATAACAACACAGTTGTTAAATGAATCTGGCTTCCTCATTGACTTTGCTCGTCAGAAGGTCTCAAAAGATAATCAGATGACCCAGGGACACTGCAACCATCATAAATAAATGCCAGTTGCAAAATGCCCAAATTTTTGATCATGTGACCCCAGGGACGCTGCAACAGGCGTAAGCGTGAAAAACAGTCGTAGGGTACTTTTGCAATGTCATCCTAATTTTGAATAATCACTAAATGAATGTAAGTCGAGGACTACCTATATGTGAAACAGTGATTATACTTGCAAGTACTACACAGAAATAGGGATTTCTTCTAAATGATAATATTTTAATACTATTATTCATTTTTTTAAGCTTTATGAATAAGTAAAGTATTTTATCCTGAAACTTTCCTAATAAAACAAAAATGCTCCCCTTTTGTTTAAGGTGATTATACCATCCAGGATGTGGGAAAGTCCTTGGATTTATCTATCTAGGTAAATACAAATTTGTTATTTGTTCTGCCCTGACTTATTAAAATGAGGACCAAAATTGATACATTAAAAGAATTTTAGCACATTTCTTCACTAGTGATAAAGACTGCATACTATGGGAACAGAGAGATGAAGAAAGTAAACCCAACAAGGCTAGAACGAGAGCTGATTCTCTGACTCTGTATTTTTCAGCAAATAATGTATTTATAGCTTTAAAATATAGGAACACAGACATTTTATTTGCCTCCTTTTTTTGAAAAAAAAAGCTGAACTAAACTTCTGCAGATTTTTGTCTTTTAAGATTATTGTTTATTCTTACATTGTACTTTTAGGGCAATTTCTTACTATGTTTGGAGCACTGTTTTTAAGAGAAGATAGCGAACAGCAATTCAATCGGTAAGGTTCCAGTTGCCTCACAGCTGGCATTTATCTTGAGAAACCTTATCTGCTATATATCTGGTGAGAGTGTTGAGCCCTCAGCCTCTTAAACAGATTCAGTAATGCTTACTCTTTATGATGCTAAACTGAACAACTAAAAAGTTCCAAAAAGAAACTTTTTATAAGAAGTATCTTGCTACTGATATACAGCAAAGAGACAAGATAGAAAGACCTGCACATGGATTAGAGAACAAACAAAAGTGAATTGAATTGAAATGAATATGGGCTGGTCACATAGCAAGAAGAACTGATAGCAGGTGGACCAAGGCAGTCACAGAATGGATCCCACTTGATAAAAAGCCAAAGAGACCAAAAACAAGATGGATTGATGGCATCAGCAAGCATTGGGGCCCAATTGGCAAAAGAAAGCTCAGGACCGTATTGGTTGGAAATACGCGATAGAGGCCTTCAACCTGCAGTAGACAGACAATGGCTAAAATGATGATGATGATGATGATGATACAGCAAAGGTCTCTGAGAAAATTAGTCCACTTTATCTCAAAACACTGAGATAAAATATTTCCCTTTATTTTCAAGGCACTACTCTCTAGGAGGAGGAGGTCAGCTTTCAGATAACAGGCCAGAACTGTTATTATATTTAAACAGGGGAAAAAAGGCAGGGACATTGGCCAACAACCTCTCACTCTTCCTTAATCTTTTTATACTCCCAAGAAGAAAGAAGTTGATCATGCTGCATTTGAATAGGCTATTGGCACTATGAGAAAGTGAAACATAATATACACTACCTTGAGCTTCTGAACAAAAGGTGGATATACTCTAAGAAATAAATAAATTACATTTTTTTAAAAAAATATGTTAAGATTGAATTTAATACAGAAATGAAAAAAAATCTAGATTAAAATGAACAGAGGGAAAAAAGTTTAGCTACACTTATATAGAAAAAGGCAGACAGCATTACTTGATATTGCTTATATGGATATTAAGAAAAAAGTAGCAGTAAGTCCTCAGACCACTTTTTTGGGACTATCAAAATTTAGCTCCGCTCTGTTGTGAGAATATTTGTATATGAAAATCACATATATGTGTTGTGATTATAATTAAGAATATATATTCTCTAGATTATTTTCATTAAAACTAAAGTGATGAACACACCACATAGGTTTTTTTCCTGAATAATTATTTCTTTCTCGAAAATGGTACTCTTGATTTTCATGGTTTCTTTTTCCCAAGTACTTTTTCCTTTGATTGTTTTATTGTGCTCTTGCACAATGATACCACATAACTTTGAACTCTGCAAATACGCATTATTGCATGAAACGTCCCTCTCTGTGATCTTCATCTAGGCTTTAAAGAAAGACTTCTGCTTCACTTCAGAAGATTTTAGCCTTGCGTATAAACAAATTTCAGGAAATAAACCAGATTATCACTTTCTTCAGAGAATTGAACAATACGTATTTTTAAAAAGAGAAATCCCTAACTTGAATCATTTCAAGACACCTTAAACATGCCACATTTCAGTGGAAGCATTAAAAGCACATACTGAAGGCAGTAAACACTGAATGACAGGATTACAAGAGACATACATGCAGACAGGCATTAATCATTCCTTATTTACAAAGCTCTATCAAATATAGAACTTATCTATATTTGAAATAAGAAGAAAGCTCCCATAAACATTTATGTAACTCCTTTCACTAACAATGCTAGTTCAAATTTCACAGGCAGATGGGTCCAACACAAACAATAAGATAATTCCTGTTACTACAATAGCCCTGAACCTTCATATAACAGCTTGAGCATCTTTGGTAAATTATACCTTTAATGCATAACCATATGTAACAAAATAGACTCCTTTTATTGTGTATAAGCAAAATAAGAATTATTAATTGCTAAAATTTGTTGATCAACAGAAAACATTCATCTCCATAAAGCAATGCTTTAACTCTCTCCAATGGACAAATAAGCCATCTATGCCTATGAAGTTACCTTATTTTATTTTGTTTTTTATTTCATGAAGCAGCATTAAAAGACTACCAGAAGAAAATACAGCTAGCTTTCTGGTTGATTGCTCATAACTAAACATTGGAAATCCCCTTAGAAGGTATTAGGGTTTCATATAAAGAGCACAAATTAAAGACACTGTTTTTACATCACCAACATTCAGCAGGCAAATGTATTTTCCCATGCCACAGCAAATTCACAAGCTTCCATTAGTTCTGCATACAAATCACCAACATTCAACAGGACTACCCATGCTATTTACCTGTGATGACTGATGGTAAAATGGATTATTAAATTTCTGCCCACCAGGAGCAGAGGATGCTAAAGAGCCATAAAGAGATATTGGCTGGGAAACAAGAGTTATGAAAAGAGCCAGTAAATCAAACATGCGAGTTACAAAATATATATATATATATATATATACAGGAAGTATAGTTTCAAGTGATGCAAGCAACAATATTAAAATGACTGTGCAAAGTGGCTGAAAGCCATATCCTTTTATGGAGGGCTATTTAGTGATTCTGCACTGCAGACTTTCTCTCCTGATTTATGCTTAAGAGCAAAATGAAAAGTACAGGGAAAATGGTAAGGAAAAAGAAGGCAATATTTGGGCAACTAATTCATCTTTCAAATATATAGCCTCGTGTGGATTTCTTAGCCTCTGCACAGATCACAATTTCTTTCTGGCAGGCATGGCTAACAGGTGGGAAATCAAGATGGGATATGTACAGATATGCTATATATCTGGATCTCAGCTGCATTATTTAATATTATGATCTCCAGAGCAACGCAGTATTGAAAAATCCTCAAAGCTTTACTCTATCATTGATAGCAGAGGTGTCCAACCTTGGCCATTTTAAGACTTGTGGACTTCAACTTCTAGAATTGAACACCCGTTTTATAGCATGTAAATATTTTATCAATTTTCTGCATGATTAAACGAGATAGCCTCTGACGTGCCATTTCCTGTTTCCAATCTACACAGATTTCTACACAGATTTTTCACCACAAAACCAAGGACTAATTCAGGGGTGAAATCCAGCAGGTTCTGACAGGTTCTGGAGAACCAGTAGCGGAAATTTTGAGTAGTTCGGAGAACCGGCAAATACCACCTCTGGCTGGCTCCAGAGTGGGGTGGGAATGGAGATTTTGTAATATCCTTTCCCCTGGAGTGGGGTGAGAATGGAGATTTTGCAGTATCCTTCCCCTGCCACGCCCACCAAGCCACGCCCACCAAGCCACACCACGCCCACCAAGCCATGCCACAGAACCGATAGTAAAAAAATTTGAATTTCACCACTGGACTAATTGCAACCTCAACTAATTCTGCTCTTAGTTTTATAGATGATGTAAGATTTAGAAAGTGAAGCCTCAGTTCTACTCCAAATTAACACAATTTGGAATAAATGCTTAACTTTGGATGCATACTTATGGTTCTACATATCTTTTTTCCCCCTCTCTTCATATGCTTACCCTTGGTTTGCTTATAATGCTCTGTACTGTGAAGACTACTGGGTTGCCTGCTCTTCGAATGGCTTCCACTGCTTGCTCATGGCTTGCATCTCTGAGATTTATTCCATCCACCTGAAAATGTAAGGCCTAAGTTTAATACACATAGCTAAAAATGATGGAAAAACTCCTAAAAATTATACCTATTTCTCTGTTTTATGTAAGCAAACAAAAATCTGTAGCCGGTCCTTTCAAAAGTTTCAGTCCCTCCTTTGCAGCATTTCATTATTTAGCAAGATCATATTATTATGCATGAACACCACAGGTTGCAATTTTCAGGATATACTATGAGAGTGGAAGTTATTATTGTAAGTTATCATTTAACATTGTTTTATATCTGGGAATTTAATTTATATCTTTAATGGTTCAGATATGGAGCTTAAATTAGACTCTGATTTCATTGGCTGTCAAACATAACAATTTTAATTTTTGTTTGGAATCTAAGATCATCTTAAATTCAAGACTGTCAAGTCTTTGGCATAAACCTGGCATAAATCTGCAACATTACATATATAACAAGGATTGTGTAAAATGTAGTAAGCTAGAGGAATATGAAGGGATTTTTAAAAAAAAAAAAAAAAAAACCTCAATGGATTCTATACATCATTTTGTATAATAAATCCATATTACTAATATTTGTGCATTTCTCTCTTAATAAATGTTTCAGAGTCAAAATACACGGCAATGGTCATAATCGCTAAAGCAGCTTTGGAAGTGAATGATAAATAATTCATCCTTTCCAATCAAGATTGTGTTTATCTGTTTCACTATTGTAAGCACATTTCTAATAAAATAACATTGGCTATTTTTAAAAATGAGATGGTGGTATACAGCGTATTTATTTTTTATTAATTTATTTTAAACATTTACCATTATTTTTCAGAGTATAAGACACTTCGGAGTATAAGATGCACCTTATGTTTGGGGGAGGAAAATAAGAAAAAAAAAATCTGCTTGAGAGGTTTTCCGTTTGAGAAGCTGCGTTTGCAGCCTCCAAAATTTCCAAAAGGGTGGGGGCCGGCAGGTGGGCGGGGCTACATTCGGTATATAAATCGCACCCAAATTTTCACCTTCTTTTGGGGGGGAGAGTGTGTCTTATACTCCAAACAATATGGTATATGGCCACCCATTTTTCAGACAACTAAGGGCAGGTCCCAATAAAATTGTTTTAAAAACTATAAAATAATTTAGGGAAATTTATTTATTCCGTACAGCTTCCTTACATGCTACCTTCTAACCTCCTGTTTTCTGAAAAGAGCCTTTCAGCTGTGAAGTTCTGCAAGACAAGTGTTCAAAATCTGTTCTGATATATGAAGATAATGAGGTTATATTGTTAGTATTGTAGAAGGAGAACCATGTTAGCATACAGTAGCCAAAAATCAGAAGGACACTGGTAGTATCTTTTCAGGCTTGGTTGTTTTCCTGCAGATGTCTCACCACCCAAACTCAGTAATATCATCGGTGTTAGTAAGGAATGGGGTACCAACCTCAGATAACACCAAGAACCCCTCATTTCAAATATGAACTGTAAATATGCTCCTTTATTGAGCACCTTTTCAGACTACCAATTTTTAATAAAAGATATAAACTTTCATGACCTGTATCTCAGTCCACCTGATACATGGGTGATTCAATTATTGTGGGATTTTAAAAAGGTGATGAAGGAAAAAAGGGTGGTTATGCAGATGCAGGTTATATATGAGTCACATTTCAAGTACCTCATCAATTAGTAATTATAATGTCAAAAACCATTGTGTTTTTGAAGGCCTTCTGAGAAGGCCTGAAGCCTTCCGGTATATGTTAAGTTCAGCAAGTCTCCTGCTCTATACAGCTAGTATAGTTTTGTTGTGGTAAAAGAGGCACCTTCACATTTGTGATCAAATGTCCTGAGAAATTTAAATGCTCTCATATTATTTTTCCTCAATTTGAGTCCTGATGTTTGTTTGTTTGTTTGTTTGTTTGTTTGTTTGTTTGTTTGTTTATTTGGCAAAGTGGAAATAACAGAGCTGACCAAACGAAAACCTCTTATTCAAGTACATTATAAGCCAGTCGGCTATGCCATATTTTTTCATTTACTTTTAGGAGTCAAGATTCTTGCAAAAACATTATTACATTCTAAGCCAGAGATGGGGAACAATGGTCCCTTTATAATGTGTGGACTTCAACTTCCAGAATTCCTAAATCAGCCATGTAGGCTGACTCAGGAATTCTGGGATTTGAAGTCCACACGTCATAAAGGGACCATAGTTCCCCACCAGTTCTAAGCTCATTTTAAAAATGGAAACCAACATAATACCTCCACAATTCTATCTCCTGTTTTTAAGGTTCCATTTTTGCCAGCAGGGCTGTCTTCAAGGATGTGTTTGATGAAGATTCCTCTCATAACTTCACCATTGTTCAGACGACTTCCCATACCTCTTCCACCAACAATGCTGATTCCCAGAGACTTGCTAGGCTCTCTCCAAAGCTCAACCCTACAATGACAAATAACCAAAAAATAAATTGCATTGACTGAAATGCAATTTAGCCAGAAAAAAGGTTTTTTACTAAATATGATTAAACCTAGGTGCTTAAAATTTAAACAGCAACATGCTATAGAGCTTGTTCGTGAGATATTTTATTTCATTATTTTTATTTATTTAATTTATTTTTATCCTAATTTAATTATTGTGGTTGACCAATTGAAAGTTAATCCCACCTTCCCTCCCACACCCCCATATATCTGGCGTCCTCCTTCTCTTATCTTGTGTTAATGATTTTATTTTATCTGCTTTGTTGTTTTACATCTGATGATTTTAATGTTTTTCTGCTGTAAACCACCCAGAGTCATTTGAACAAGATGGACAGCAAATAAATTTCTTAATAAATAAATAAATAAAATAAAAAATATTTTTATAAAATCATTCAAGGTGACAAACATGCCTAATATTTCTTCCTTCTACTATTTTCCATACAACAATAACCTTGTGAGGTAAGGTGGACTGTGAAAGAGCAACTAGGCTAGGGTCAAGTGGTCAGTTTTCATGCCTAAAGCAAACCTAGAACTCATAATCTCCTAGTTTTTGGCCTTGTGCCTTATTCACTAGAACAAATTGACTCTCTAACACAGAGGTGTCAAACTTGCGTCGTTATGGCAGTGTCACGTGATGTATCGGGACTTTTTTGCCCTTCGCTAAACTGGACGGGGGCAGCACGTAACGCATCCGGCCCGCAGGCCGCAAGTTTGTCACCCCTGCTTTAACACTATGTTTTTTAACACTATATATTCCATTCAGCAACCTTTACTATATATAAGATTCTATCAGTAATGCTTGTAAGGATCATTGCTAATAGAATGAGGAGGAGAGAGGAGAATACACCGACAGCTTCTCAACTAGGTTCTCGGGTCAACTTCATTGCTCAAAGTTACATTCTGAAGTTCTTTCCGCAAAAGGGTCTCCTCAAACTCACAATTTTGACGTCATTCATAAATCCCATTGCTATCGGTTTGTGCGGGCTTTACAAAATTAGGACAACAAAATAACAGAAGGGCCTGTCTTTCATGGTCTTTAAAAATATTGCCATGGTGATTCCTGTCCAAAACTATGTGAGCCTTCACAAGTGCAAATAAGGCAAAACCAATGTTTATGATTTGGGGAACTAATGAACACACATTGAGCTAGAAAAGGCGTTTCAAATCAAACTACTATAGGTAGTCCTCAACTTACAACAGTTCATTTATTGACCATTCGAGGTTACAATGGAAATGGAAAAAGTGACTTATGACAATTTTTCACACTTACAACTGTTGCAGCCAGGGGTGGGTTCTAAAATTTTTTACTACTGGTTCTGTGGGCGTGGCTTATTTTGTGGGCATATCTTGATGGGAAGTAATGTGACTGGGTGGGCGTGGCCAACTTTTTTTTTTACTTTTAAAAGCATTTTTTCCACAACCTTAAGAGGTTGCAGAAAAAAATGCTTTGAAAAGCCTCTGCCGATCAGGCAACTCAGCTGGGATCGTCAGAGGCTTTTCAAAGCATTTTTTTTTACCACCACTTCAGCTGAAGAGGTTGTAGAAAACAATGCTTTGAAAAGCCTCTGACGATCCCAGCTGAGCCGCGGGATCATCAGAGGCTTTTTTTTTCTTTTAAAAGCATTTTTTCAGCCAAAGAGGTTGTAGAAAAAATGCTTTTAAAAGTAAAAAAAAAAAAGCCTCTGATGAGGTGGGTGGGGTAAGCGAGCGGCGACTGGGCCGGCGACCGGTTCGGGGACGTGGCCAGCCAATGTTATTACCGGTTCTCGGAACTACTACAAATTTTTACTACCGGTTCTTACGAACCGGTGCGAACTGGGACCAACCCACCACTGGTTGCAGCATCCCCAGGATCACAAGATCAAAATTCAGATACTTGGCAACTGACTCATATTTATGACATGTGCCCCCAGAGGTCAATTGTTTACAAATATTAAGGAATCACTGCAGTTGTTAAAGTAAATCTGGCTTCCCTGCTGATTTTGCTTGTCAGAAAGTGACAAAACAAAAAGGTGATCACATGAACCTGGGACAATGTAACTGTCAAAAATACATGCCGATTGCCAAGCATTCAAATTTTGATCATGTGACCATGGGGATGCTGCAAGGGTCATATGAAAAAGGGTCATCAGTCACTTTTTTCAGTGCCATGGTAACTTTGGTCATTAAATGAGCGTTAAGGTGAGGACAACCTGAATTACAGTACATAGGAACCACTTGTATTTCTTCTTTTTGCTGAAGCAAAGATCACATTTTATATCTGATCAATTAATACTCCTTTTAGTGTATAGTATTTAAGAAGAAATGTACTCCTAATTATAGAAAAGTATGTATACCTGTAAAAATAAATAACTAAAAGAACTATTAATTGATTATACACGTAATGGTAAAATTTTCCTCTATCACTGTGTCACATTTGACAGGCTGACGTTTCTTTTAATTCTTGCTCTGTTTCTATGTTTTCTCTACCTCTGCTCCAGGGAATGGTGAATGATACTGTTTTTCAAAAAGTGAAATTAGTAAGAGTAGAAATTGTTCCTTTTGTTATGTTTGTTGAACTATGCAAGTAATATTTTTTTAATGGAAAATTCTTATAACAACAACAGAAATATTGCTGCATTTATTATCAGAAATTTTGAGACTTTAGTAAAAAAAAAAAAAAAACTAAGAAAGAAATATAAATCTCCTCAACCTTTAATCCCAACCCACATGGGCCAGTGCCACCATGTGGCCAAGATAACCATTTTTTACACTATATTTTTAGATCTATGTATTTATTGGTGGGCATTCTCTGGTTCAAATCCACCATCAACCAGGGAAATTTAGTGAGTCAATCACTAGCTCACAGCACAATTTTAGATAAGCAGGGGGCTATGCAGTGGAGAAGTGGAGGAGAAAGAATTTCCGTCTAGGAAATGAAGTAAAAATCTAATAAACTAACACAAACAAATAAGCAAATACTATTGTATAAGCTTGAGATTGATGTGAAACCTCTTAGAGATAATTTTGTATGTGAACAATGAGAAATTATATGAATGTAAATATGATTATATGATGAGAGACACCTTAACACCATTTTGTCTCCTATGTGGTCTCCTCCTTTTTGGCTCATAACTACTGCTTTAAGTTCAAGAGCTACAGTCAATGGGTATATAGCCTTTTTTTTCCTAATTCCATTAGTACAGTACCTGAAATGGGAACTCAAAGACAGAAAATCTCAGCAGCACATCTTTTTTTCCCCAAAGCTTTCTAAAATGAATACCACTGAATTCACTAAGTCTAAATAGCAAATGGAGTACAAGTAATCCTCGACTTATGACCACAATCCGACAAACAGTTTGGCTTTAGGAAAACTCATCCTGTAATTTACAACTTTTGCACTGTAAAAACATCTTGACTACATGTCTTGATCAAGGTAAAGCTGTAGAAGCAATTTACATAGATTTTTGTAAGGCTTTTGATACAGTAGTACATGATAAACTGCTGTTGAAATTAAACTCTTACGGCATTTCTGGACCTTTGCACAAGTGGATTGCTGCTTTCCTGTCTAATAGACTGCAGAAAGTCAAAATAGGGAACTCGCTGTCTAATCCTGCATCAGTTAACAGTGGTATTCTGCAAGGCAGCATTTTAGGTCCCATGTTTTTCTTGCTCTATATCAATGATTTATGGGATCAACTTAAAAGCAATTGCGTCCTTTTTGCCGATGACGTAAAATTATTCAATACTACAGATAATTCTGTTGTTTTGCAAAGTGATCTTGACTACGTGTCTGAATGGTTGTCCATTTGGCAACTTCAAATTTCAATTAGTAAATGCTCTTTCTTACATATTGGTAAACGTAATCAGAATGTCAAGTATAAGTTAGGTGGCAATGATCTAGCAGATGACCCTTACTTTGACAAGGACCTAGGTATACTTATCTCTGACAACCTATGCTCCAAAGTTCATGGTAACTGTGTTGCTAAAAAAGCATTAAGAGTTGTAAATTTAATTTTGCGAAGCTTTTTTTCTGGAAACATTATATTGCTAATTAGAGCTTATAAAACTTATGCTAGACCAATCTTAAGAGTATTGTTCAACTGTTTGGAATCCCCACTAAATATCTGACATCAGTACAATCGAGCCGGTTCAGAAGTATTTCACTAGAAAAGTCTTGCACTCTTCTGTACACAATAGAATTCCCTATGCTACTAGGCTAGAAATTCTCGGTTTGGATAACCGAGAATAATCACTTGCTGTCAGACCTAGGTATTGCATATATGTAATAATGCTTTACCTGTAAATGACTTTTTCTGTTTTAATCTCAATAATACGTGTGCGAACAACTGCTTAAACGCAATGTAAATCATTCTAAACTTGACTGTAAAAAATATGATTTCTGTAATAGAGTTGTCAAAGTCTGTAATGCTCTACCTGAGTCAGTTGTCTCAGTTACAAATTTTCACAGTTTCAGTCACAAATTGACTTCCGTGGACCTTATTTCACATTTAAATGGTTAGTAAAGGGAGCATGCATAAGTGCACTAACGTGCCTATCGTCCCTGTCATTGTATTTATTTATTTTCTTTTATTCTAGTTCTCGTTTTTGTTTGACAAATTCTAACAAATAAAACAATCGAGCCCAAAATTTCCTTTGCTAAGCAAGACAGTTCTTAAGTGAGAATGGTCTTTTTTGCTACAATTCTTAAGTGAATCACTGCAATTGTTAAGTTAGTAACAGGATTGTTAAATCAACCTGGCTTCCCCATCAACTTTGCTTGTCAGAAGGTTGCAAAACATGAGTACATGACCCTGGGACACGGCAACCGTCATAAATATGAACCAGTTGCTAAGCATCTGAATTTTGATCATGTCACCATGACGCAAGGATCATGTGAAAAGTAATCTTCATTTACTTTTTTCAGTGTCATCGTAAAATTGAATAGCCATTAATGAATGGTTGCAAGTCAAGGACTGCCTGTATTCCTCCTTAAAACTTTCAAACTGATCAACTCGGCTCTAGTCAGAAGATTAGCTCTGAAAGCAAACACACCGTCTTGGTTGATTCCAGTTACTGTAGCCTGTGTTCTGAAGCTCACTTTCTTCTCCTTCTCCTTCTTCTCGTTCTGGTAGTTCTGGAATTTCTCTGCATATAAACAAACTTTGCTCTAAATCAAAAGAAATCATTATGATCCCCCAAACAGTTCTTTTAATATATTTCTTTTAATATTTTGCATGTGAGAAAATTGGAGGGACTGGCAAATAGCACAATAAATCTTTAAAAACCTGTAACAAACAGAAATATACATTGGGGATAATAATATAACAATGATAACAACATTAAAGGATCATAGGGTAATGAAATAAAATAAGATCAGTTAGACCAGCCCTGAAATTACACAAAGATAGAACATACAACCAAAAAACATCCTGAGATTTATCAATGCAAACAATATTAAAATATAAATACAAATTCAGAATGAAAACATCAGCATTGTTTGTATACTGCCTTATCCACCTTTTTAAATATAACCCATATGATATTGGCTGGGATCAAATCTCTAATGCAGAGGTCTTCAAACTTGGCAGCTTTAAGACTTGTGGACTTCAACTCCCAGCATAGCTGGCTGGAGAATTCTGGGAGTTGAAGTCCACAAGTCTTAAAGCTGCCAAGTTTGCTCTAATGCCTCGATATACATGGTCCAAACACATTTCAAAGGTTTTGTGGATAAATGGAGATGAGGTTTGTTGGTTCGTTTTTTCCAAATGGAAGCTTACTACACTTCATAGGTGCCAGATTTTAAAGAATAGGTTTTTGGAAGTTTGGAAGAAGGTTGATATTGGAAAACATAGTTAAAGAGAAAATGGGAAATAATAATCTTTACCCCTCTAGGGCATAAACTGATTTCTTTCTTTCGCCCTACCATACAGCCCTCTGGAAGATCTCAAAATCTGCTCAGGGAGGGTTGCAAATTTTTTGAGAGAGAAGTTATGATAAACACACCGTATCACTGAATTGCACCCACAGAATTTTCCAAAGAAACATTTCGAATTAATTAATGTATATTTAATATATAGGTGGCTCTGTTAAGAGAGATCTTGCAGAATATCAGCTGGATTTCTGTTCCAGTGCAAAAACAAATACCATATCTCATCTGAATTGTAGACATCATCTATAAAAACTGATGACAATGCTTCCCAAAATATAAACCCAGACTAGCTTAATAGAACTTTCTGTTCATGTTCTTCTTCACATTTCAATCCATATATGGAAGAAATACAATTTTTATGCCCCAGAAAACCTTTTCATACTTTCCAAAGGCAGGAAACTCCATCTGATAATTTTGGATTACATAGAAGTTTTTAATACATCTAATCTGACCGTAGACGCTTTGCTAAGCCTCACCGTAATTTGCATGATTTAAATTTATTATACTGTATTAATCCAATTAGGTATTTATGGCTAAGCATGATCTGTAAAACCAACTGCAAATTAAGGCTTAGTACATATACATGAACCAGGACATACTGTCCGTTCTCCACCTTCACGGCAATGCATAAAAAAGAGCAGGGGAATGTGGGCAGGTCTGTTAGAAACTGCACACATATTATAGACTATTTAGCATAAATTCACTGCTTTTCTATGTGTACTGAAGAAATGTGAAAGTGAAATGAAACATATGGTCCTACTGAGAATGGACTAGGCTTTGTGATTGTCTAGTTTCCGTAAAGTGGGACAAATAATGAATATACCTAATGATGCTTTGATTTTGATATATCTCCCCACTCCCTCCAGCAATTATACAACCATGCTAACTACTTACATGCATGGTAACAACCCTCCCCCCATCCCCTTATAACATCTTGGGCAATTTCAATAGGAATTAGGTTTGCAAGATCCCACAGAAAGACCTAAATTATCCTCCATACAACTGTTAGGCTTAGACACTTGTCATTTAGTAACGTAGAGTTGTTGGGAATTTACCGGGTAGTTCTTTCTAACAGATAATGTCATGCAAAACATCAGTGTGTGATGTGTTTGTCTCAAAAATCAAGAAGTCAATACAGTATATATATTTTCTGAAGCCCCAAGTAAAGTAGCAGCCAGGACATTGCAGAAATGTTGATAAAATGGACTTTGCGTGAAATAGACCAAATTTTAGAAGTGATTCACATCACTCGCATTAATTACATCATTTGAATAACACCATTATTATTCAAATAAATTAAACTGATGCAAGTGACTTAATTTGCATAATGACATCATGATGCAAATAATAGAAGTAGCTCCAGTGATATATTCTCCAATTTAATGAACAATCGGCAATAACAAACATCCCCTTTCCCACAGTCAAACTGATAAATTGGGGGTCAGTATACCATAAATACTTTAGGACACAAATGATTAGCCTGCATATTCTGTTGCCTGCATTTTTTTTTTGTTCCCTTATCTAGAATAAATACTTATAACCCAACCTTCCCCTCCACTCCCAAAAAGAAAGAACAAGCAAATTTGTATTTTTCCAATCAATATCAATGCGGTTTTTCTTCATCGATTCATGGAGTGTTTTTTATTCATGGGTGGACCCAATTAAAGGAAAAGGAGTTGTTTTTATTAATAGTACAGTATTCTAAATTACCTCACAGTGTGTGAAGGGAAAACATCTAATGGCATTGTTCCTTCTGGCTGCTGCCCTAAACCAGCTTGGTACTCTTCTAATTGCTCTGCTGGCACATAGCTAATGCTGCAACACAAAATTAAACATGAAATTAAGAAGCTGCAGATGTCCAGATATAGTTCAGTATTGAGCAATAGAGATTTTTAAGGCTATAATTCACAGTGTGGCATCACACAAATGTCTTCTTCTTGATCCAGAAAGCCTCCTTTTCATTCATTGGGAATGCACCAAATGCAAACCACAGGTCAATGTATAGCAGCAACATTTAAATTTATATACCGCTTCACAGTGCTTTTACAGCCCTCTCTAAGTGGTTTACAGAGTCAGCATATTGGCCCCAACAATCTGGGTCCACATTTTACCCACCTCAGAAGGATGGAAGGCTGAATCAATCTTGAGCCTGGTGAGATTTGAACTGCCAAATTGCAGGTAGCCGACTGACAGCAGAAATAGCCTGCAGTACTGCACCCTAACCACTGCGCTACAAAACCAATATATTATATTATATTATATTATATTATATTATATTATATTATATTATATATTATATTATATTATATTATATTATTATTATATTATATTATATTATATTATATTAATATTAATATATATTATATTATATCATTATCATATCAGTTATAATGTGCTTTGTGCTGTGAAATAAACACACTGCAACTTCACTGTCTAGAAACAGTGTCTTTTCTTTAACTGAATCTAATAATGTTTATCTTTGATTAAAGGAAATCCTCTAACTTCTTCCTCATTCTTGAAAATGGAAACCTTGAGCAAACTTATATTATTCCTCCTACCAGCTAAGACGTTCACTAGGTGACCTTTTTATTTTTCAAATTAAATTGGTAAACTTTCTTGATGAATGGATAGATGTAATGTAATAGATATTCAAAAATTTCACTATGGCTAAACCTCACTTGCTGGGAATTTAAAACTTCCTGTTTTACATTGTTTTTAACTGTTAATTGAACTAGAATTTTTAGTGACATTTTAAAATTTGAAACAGTTTTACTGTTATTTTATTCTTCGGACTTCAGCTTGGGTACTTTGGACATGCAATGAATAAATGTGAAATATTTGTAGATACTAATTTCAGCCAAAATACGGTCTCTTTTCTATGAAGATTATCTCCAGATTACAGAGTTCCTTATAAAGGAAGCAAAGTACTAGGTAGCACCCAAGAGACATTATGACACAACTGAAAGAACATCATTCTTTAAAAACATGTGTGTGAAACTCGCAGCATCAAGTTGCCATCACGGAATATATTGCAACATTTTTTCCCTTCATGGAGCTGGGGTGGGCGTGGCCTGTGTGTGACACATCCGGCCTGCGGGCCACCAGTTTGACACACCTGTTTTGAAACATTTGATATTTTAAAAGGAGCAAAATGTAACTAAGATAATAGTGAAGGAGACTATGAATGTTAAAAAGTTATGAATGAAATGACATTAAATTAGTATCATTTAACAATGTTCCACTGGTTAAACTAAACTGAACCAAAAGAAAGCAAATTAGACTAAAAGTACTCTCTGGCAGCTCAGAAATAAAAATCATTAGATATCCTCATTTAGTGACTGCCTTCTTTAACTTTACAATTAATCCTTACACTTTCTAAGTCTATTTGTGAACTTTGCAGAACCTTAAAGCAAAAGGAAACTGAAATAAGATCATAAGCACAGCCGTGGATTCATTTAGCAACCACTTCATTTAAATGGTCATTAAATGAGAAATAGCTGTATTATTAGAATTGCATTTCCCTGCAGTATCTAGGATATTTGTTGTAACTCCCAAAATACGTGAGTTAAGCAGGAAATAGCTGCAGAACTGCCAAGTAAGCAGAACTGCATTGTAATTCCTACTGGCTAAAAGCAACTGTAGAAAAAAGGATCTATTAAATGAGAGATTTCAGAATTCCCAACTAGCAAGGCAGACTACTAATCTAAAGTGATCAAGGATTAAACTGATTGTACATTGATTCTTCAGAAGGTAGTGAAGACAAGAGTAATTTTCATCCTGAACCAACTTTGAAATGAGAAGATAGGGATGTAAATGTTACATACCATGCAACAGACAAAGAAATAAAACATGCATGATTTAATAGGCAGACAAAAAGTGTTTTATGTATACTACGATAGGAAAGAAACCAAATAAAGAAACTTGTGATCACATTTAAAATAAACCACAGTAGAGTTTTAATAATAAAGTGAGATTCATTTAGTTACAGCACAGGGAAAAGAAAACGTAAGCAATGTTGAAAATAAAAAGAGTGAGATTAATCCAGACATCAGTACATGGTTGTGTCAGCGATAAGCAACTTGAAAACATAACAATAAAGAATGCACTGGAATTTGATGCTTCACATTATATAAATGTTGGATCTTTCTTAAACTAATGGTAATTGGACAAATAGGGTAATACCCAGACATAAGAAATCTGAAAAGCTATATTATAGCATCAGAATAAATATATGGAGGATGCTGGGATTTCTAAATTGAAATGGAGTTTCACAATGTGGCATGAAAAGAGCTGAAGTACTCCTTGAAAATTAAGCAACTGTGTTTCATGTATCCCCCTTTGTAAGCTTAGCAGTGTGGAAAGTCCATTAAGTATCGATTCTTTCTTCCCCTATTCTATGTTGTAACTATGAGATGAAACAGAGGTAAATGTGGAACCTCTGAGTTACCTGTGCTACAATTAGCTACAGAAACACTGCTACTGTCGAGAGAGATAAAAGAATCCTGAGCAAAAATGGTGGGACATTTAAACAAAAAATTAGTAAGAGCTATCAGGAAGGCAATTGTTTTCTAACAACTGTTGAATAAATATGTATCTTTTAAAGAAGAGAATGAAATATGACTTCACTTTTAGTCCAGAAAGCACTGTGCCAAATTTCAGCCATCCACCAGCATGGAAATAGATTCAAGATATCCAGTTCTCTGATGGATACATGGAGGAAATATGGATGCCAAAGAAACATGGTGATTTCTGCTTTGTTTCTACATTATGAGTGTTTTAAGACAGATTTCTCTCCTTTTTAAATCAAAGGAAGGGAATCTACCCCTTGGCAATTCCAGGGCTTGTCTACACGATCTTAGTTAATGGACAATTAGGGAGCCTTTGGATCTAGTATACAGGTGTCAAACTCGCCGCATCACGTTGCTGTCAACATTTTTCCTTCACGGTTCTGGGTGAGTGTGGCCAACATGTGACGCATCCAGCCCTCGAGTTTGACACCCCTGATCTAGTAGATTAATAGATTGGCTTCCCAAAACATTTCCTGCCCAAACTCTGGCAAATAGAATATGTGACATTTCCGACAATGGATTTTCCTGTTGAAGCTCCAAATTTTCTCTCTGACCACTCAGTGGAAAATCTATTATTAATGTTTCTTTAAAATTCAAAGGCAAAAAGATGCTTCAAAGTGTGTGGAGGGACACATACAATTGCAACTGTTTAAAGCAGCTACCCCTTTTCCTAGGATCTCACAGCCACTCACAACAGCTACCACATGAAGTAAGAAAAAATTGTTTTGATTGAAGTAGCTTCAGGCCAGTATCTCATCTTGCATGCTCTGAAATATCTTTTGTTTTCAACTCCAAAGATATGTATAGCCCATCATTCTCCACAAGACTGCATTCCAAATAATTTACAGCTTGCATTTTTTTGAGCATGAAAGTTGAAGGAACACAGAAAGGATTCTAAGGCATTCTCCTATCCACATATTAACCTGATCCATGACAGCTTAGCTACAAAAAGAAATTGAAAATTTGATTAATATTAGGCAGTCTTGTCTGAAAAATAAGATGCGGTGGAATTGCTTCAGGATATCTTCAGGAATTGCTAATTATAATTCTCAATATCTCACCACCATTGGTGATTCTGGTTGAGACTGAGAATTTTGTTCTGCAAGGCCTGGAACAGGAGTGTCAAACCTGCATCGTCACAGTAGCATCATGTGACGTATTGGGACTCTGTTCCCCTTTGCTTAAATGGGGCGTGGCCAGCGTGTGATGCATCTGGCCCTTGGACCGCACATTTGACAGCCCTGGCCTGGAAGAACCCACGTTCCCTGTTCCAATCTAAACCATAAACTTGGCTTCTATAAACTTATCTTTAAAAGATGAATGTGTGTTTTTAACCGATTAAAAACTATGATATTCATCTTAGATCTCTAAATATACCTACAATTGAGGGCTTTGATATAGTTGAATAATTAATCAGGTAATCTCATCCAGTAATAGGTTTTAATTGGTTGAAAGCATCTGTGCTCTGTGTATATTATGTGGTACCTATATCTGGATACATCCCAGCTACTTCTGATGTTATAAAAGCATGAATGAATGAACAGACAAGTTGGAACACAGAGCTATGATGAGCTTTTGAATCGCCAATACTCACACATAAAAGGGGGCCTGATCATCAGCAGGTGTTGGAGAAGATCTAGAATGTGAAGCATACGACGCAGCATCTTTTTACAATATTGTTAACAAATGTCAGTGACTTCTACTCAATGAGAGATGCATACACACGTATTTAAAAGTGTGCACTCCTGCTTACTTTCCTCTTCCCCCTCTCCACCTCTATTCTATCCACACCTCCCATCAGAAAGCATCTGTTCTTTTTTGGAGTGTATAGCAATGATTATTAACAAGCATGAAAAATGCAACCGCAATCAATCTTTTATTCCTTGATCAGAGATTCATCTCCACACGTTCGGTTAAGGCAGGTGAATTCTGAATCAGCTCTGTAATTATCTGGCAGATGTTAGAGGCAGCTGTTATAACTACTGCTAAAAGCAAAAGTCTCTAGATATTGTTAAAGAAGTGTAAGGTGCAGGGAGAAGTGAAGCCACAGATATCCTGATGATGCTATACATCTGCTTTTCTGTTTAGGAAAAAAAAAAGGTTTATATATGAAGGGAAGGAAGGAAAGAAGATGAGAGAGAGAGAGAGAAAAACATAGTTTATAATCCCAAGCAAAATTATTATGAAAAAGCTATACTGAGCTTGACACTCAAATTGGGGGACTGGTAGAAAGTTTTGTCTGCGTATAAAGCCCAAATTTGAACTGCTAATTTAGGATGCAAGTTACAGTACCTGCAATTTAAGTCTCAGGCATTTGGAGCACCGTTTTAATAGGTATAGATCATTCAAGTTCATTACAATTGGGTGGCATTTTACATTAAATTATATCCCACAAATGGCTTAAAAATATAGTTTTCTTACTAATATTTGTAAAAAAAATATACTGAGAAAGCATTCTGTTATAATGTCATGTACCATAATTTCTATATTCACCATTTTCCACTATTGAAAGATTTCTCAGTCACTTAAGGTAAAAGATCAAAGCTTATTTATAAAAATCCAATGTTTTTCAGTTGATAAACAAAAAAGCTATCTAATTTAAATCCCATGCAAATACTATCACTGTATCTTCCAGCAATCCGGGAAAGCAAGAGATTCAAAAAGGTGTTAAAATGCCCTTTTGTCTCGTGGATCAATATATAACTCTTGCTCACTCTAATGCTCCTATTAACTGGAAATAAAGAAGAGAGGTTTGATCCTTTCTGCCCTATTTACCATCCTCATTCATCTAACAAACTATTTCCCTTCCCAAAGGTGATTTCATGCTGTAATATTCCATCAACTTTCACCATTGCTTAGACATTGAAGGTGAATATTCTTCAGGCATAGCAATTCCATTGACAGCTTTAAGGAGCAGCTGCTAAGCTTTAATTTTTAGAAGCCAATTCAGGATTTAGTTTAATAATATTTTTAATCAAGTTCCATTTTTTCATTATAGTTACGCATTTGTAAGATTAAGTGACAGGGGCAAACGTTTTCTCCCTTATTGCAAATGGTTGGCAAATTCCATTTATTCATTTTAGTTCATGAAATTATATCAAACCAGTGAATGGGATAATCAAACTACCATACTGGATTGCAATTTTGGAACTCTCATTAGTTGGTTGTGATTCACAGAAGACATTTCAACTTCTTCCATCAATGTAGAAACCAGTTTAATATTGAAACTTCATTAGGATACTGAATTAAAAATAATCATGGAATTAAAAAAAACACAAGTGCAGAGACAATATAATTGATGCATACTGTGTTTGAAAATCTACCAATCTATATAACATCCAACTTACTTTATATCTGGTCCAATGACAGAATGCCTCCTCAGCATGGCCCGTGCTTGGGCACTAGTTAAATTAGCAGTAGGTTCCTCATTAATAGACAATATACAGTCTCCAATACCAATTCGTCCATCACGATTTATGGAACCACCATGGATAATGCTGCGAACTATCATTCCCATGCCATCTTTGTTAGAACTTACTGTCATCCCTTATGAAAAAAAAAAAGTTTAGCACTAATAAGAAACATGATATCTGACTTGAACCTACATTGAGTAACATTCATTTTCTGAAATCATTTTTATTTATATGTTTATCTGTATTTCTGCCAATATACACATATTTCCACAGATTTCTTTTAATCATAACTTGAAGAAAAATTAATATCATATTGGTAGGTCTGAGAAGTCAACATGCAAGGTCAAAAAACACCAGCTAGAAAATTCTCACTAAAAAAAACCTGGTAACAGCTGAGGCTGGCATATGAGATTGTCTCTTCAGGTCTACAGCTGCCTCCATCGCATAAGCCCACCGTTAAGATCAAAAAGATGATGAATTCCTAATGCCTTCTGTTCTGTTTAAAAAGCTACTTAATGAGATGAGATCCGCTTTTTTTTTTTACATACGGCCTCAAAGAAAGAAGCGGAGAACAGAAAAAGAAAAGGCAATGAACTTATTTTTAATTTAATAAAAAAAAAGTGAGCAAAGAGAAAAAAAGAAGATCAAGATGAGATAACGATGAAGAAATTACAGAAGATTTGTTCTGAACAGGATTGAATTACAAAGCACATAAGTGAAGGATTTCGTCCTTCCCATATTTGAATATGGCCAATATTTTTGTCCTTCTGAACACTTCCAAGATAAAAAGAATGTTAAAATTCTACAAACAGAGAGTTCTTAGATTTGGTATCATTATATTAAGAAAAGCTAACAGTTTTAGCATTGCAATGATTCTTAACTTTATTGGTAATTAAATTGCTTGGACAACTGTATCATTGATGTATTGGCTGATTATAACAATACAGATTGATCTTTTCCTGACTGTTCCTGCCTTCATATGGAAAGAAAAATGTATAGACATTATTGCTATAATTAAGATATAATATAATTATTATTGAGATCATATATATAAAAATCTTTGCTTCTTGATTAAAGCAACTTAAAAGAATAATATCCAGTTTTCTTTCAGGAATAACTAGGCAGAAATAAGGTTGCAAGGGCAAAGATGTGCACAGTTACGTGAGGAACATTACCTAGGCTTGAATTGCCTTTTGCAATGGTAATCATTTTCTCCAACTTGTTTTTATTTGTATCTAGGCCAGCAAGCATTAAGCTATTATTTTCCATCAAGAAATCTTGATCCTGATAAGAAGAAAATAAAAGTCACTTCTGAAAAACACAGTAGGATTTTATGTAGTTTACAAATCGCAGCCTGCTAGACAATCTGCATATCTGTAACATTCTTCAAAGAGCTTGTTTCAGTTCAAAATAAGCAAACAACAAAAAAAGTGTCATAGTGCTTTACTAAAATAACTGCGCTGAGGAAGTATATCCTTCACAACTGGCAGCAAATAGACACACAATATTTTTTTTTTAAAAAAAAAACTAGACTTGTCTTGTGCCCTCCAAATGCACATTGCAACACATTGGGTTCCAGGTATTGAAAGTTGTACAATTCAGCTGACGTGCTCTGTCTAGCTATACAATCGATTTTGGTCCTTGTTGCATATTCCGTATTAGACTCCAAAAATGGAATACATCTTTGTACTAATGAATCCATAATCTCACCTCTCTACAGAAATCCTTGCAGGATCTCTTCACAAGGTACCCATGATTCTGTATTGTATATAGAACAATATTCTTGAACAGCAAGTGCTATGTTGAGTCTCAGCTCAGTTCTTAGAAAGCAAGCTGTGCCACAAATTAGTGTATACAATCCATACAACCCCAATTTATGTTGTATTTGATTCTTCTAGATTAGGGGTGTCAAACTTGCATTATCACGGCATCATCAAGTGACATATTGTGACTTTTTCTCCTCTGCTAAACTGGGCGTGGGCATGGCCAGCATGTGATGCATCTGGGCCACGAGTTTGACACCCCTATTCTAGATCAAAAGGCAGAATGACCAGAAAACACCATTACCTTTAGTCCCCTTTAATCTACTAAATCTCTGAAAATGATGCTTTTTCACAAATGCATGTAATGAATCCTTCCAGTAGAATCAAGTGGCAATCTAGAACTTACTTTTGTACGATGTGAAAATTCGGGTGTTAGCTGAGATTGTCTCCACATGCTTATGCTTTCGTGTTCAACTTGTCTCTTAGGAGATTGTGTTGTTGGATTCACAAGAAAAGGTTCTGTGATCTGTTTCATACATCCACCTGCAGATTTATTCTCTGTCTCTCTTTGTATTAGATCCATTGTGTACAGGTTTTTATCTGATGACTGGTAACTGAGTGGGTCGCTGGAATCTTCTTTGAAAGTAGTCTAGCAAACAAAATAACAAGAATTCCAAACTCATTCTATTTTTAAACTATAATAGAGTATTATTGATAGAATATTATTGATTTAATAATTAATTAATTGTTAAATCAATAATATTCTACCATACTTTAAAAATTAATATTAATATTAATTACAGTTAATTCTTAATACATTTTCAATTATTAAAATAAAGCCACGATTGTGTTGGCTCCACTTTCTGTGAAGCTGTCTTGAGTCCACCATTTCTTCCTCCGGAAGTCTAAAAACCTTTCCCATGAATAACTAGTTTACATTCAGGGTGCCATATGGTCCGTTTTTATTTTGTATAATTATTTTTATTGGGATAAAGTGATAAATATAACCACTACCAAGTTTTATGAATGAAGGCGATTATATGTGTTCCAAGATAATGTTGCAGGATCCAAATTGGGTTGGTCAACAGGACCAGGAGTTTAGTCTTCCAAGCTTTTGGACTTGTGCTGGAGCCCATCCTCTGGGAACTTCTCACTCACCAGAATATGACATAGAGACAAGTTTCCTGAGGATGGGCTCTAGCAAAAGTCTGAAAACTCAGAAGACTAAACGTCTGATCCCAGTGACTGACCCAGGTTGGATCCTACCACCAAGTTTGATTGTAAACATTTTCTTTCTATTCTGATGGGACACAAGATAATGATTTCAAGAACATGAGTTCTGTACCTTGTATAAAACTGGATTTTTTTGCAGAGTATGTTTCCCAGCATGCACTTTAATTTCTAATTTCATTAACTATTGCAAAGTTGAACAATGCAATCTGTCTCATTGGCAATGTGGGACAGGTATACTATGTTTAGTCTAAGGAATTCTATTAGGAAATAAATTCTGGCCATCAGACCCATGCTGTATCCAACAGAAATAAGATTCCAAAAGAAATGTAGCCAGTTTATAAATTTCAGGTGTGAAAGAAGAACAACTTCTTTTTTTCAAAGAGTTACTTAAAAAGCAATAAAAGCAGGATACAACTGCTTTGAATGAACTGACAATCCAGCAGTGATCCCACCATGAATGTTAAAAGAAATACGCAGAATGACCCAAAAGAGAGAGAGAGATCTCTCTCTCTCTTTTGGGTCATTCTGCATATTTCTTTTAATCAGAAAATCAGAATCAGAAAAAGGGGAGAGGAGAAAAGCTAACATGATAAAAAGAACATCAAAATTTTAAAAAAGAATTTGAGCAACCTTTCGACAAAAGAATTTCAGTGACCTTTTGAACATTGATTTTCTAAAGCTATTTACTAACAATTTTCTTTAAGAAAATTAAGAGTTTTTAATGCTTGAACTGTAAGCATGGAGCATTCATTATGCATGTCTTTCCATAAATGGTTTGTTACTGTTTAAGGTTTCTTTGAACCACATTTTTTTAAAAAATGGAGCACCTAAAAATTATAGTAGATGGTCTGCTGAATACTAAATCTGAAAGATAATTCAATCAGCATTACTATCTAAATGAAATTACTCTTTAATCTAGTAAAAAACTATGAACAGATGGAACTAACTGGTAACATTACCTTCACTGTCCAAGCAGACATTTTCATAAGGCTGATTTATAGTTATGAACAAAGTGTGTCTTTCTGTTCATATCCCTGCTCATATCCTTCCCCCATAATTTTACCTTGGGAGTTGAAGAGGGCAGTGAAAGAGCAAGCTTCAGATCATCACCACAAATGCCGCTATGCAATGTTAAAGCTGAAGGCTGGAATGTACCATCATTATCTGGAGAACAGTCTGATCCCATGGTACAGTCTTCTATTACATCTGCCTCACTTGAGTCCACCTAATAGCAAAAGAAATCCAATCAAATGGGCTACCTTTGTATCCGTTTCAAATACAAGCATTGGTGGCTATTAAATAATTCCAGCTCTTTTCCTTTATAACATTTTTCTTTTCAATTTTCCAAAGTAGAATATATTGGCTTGCAACGTGTTTATTTCCACTCAAAGCTTTGGATATCAGATCGTGGATAGGCAATGACTTTTATGTGAAAATATTTTAGTTGACTTTTTATTATCTCTCTAAAATATTATGCTATGTGCAGGATCACAATTGAGCCCAACATTTCTGCCGCTAAACAAGGCACTGCTTAAGTGAATTTTGCCCCATTTTCGGACCCTTTTTGTCACAGTCCTTAAAGTGAATGACTGCAGTTGTTATGCGAATCATGCAATCATCAGGTAAATCTGGCTTCCCCCCTTGACTCTGCTTGTCAAAAGCTGGTTGTGAAGGTTACAAATAGTGATCACAAGATCCAATGATTATAAATACAGGCCAGCTACAAGTGCCTAAATTTTGATTTCATGATCATGGGGATGCTGCAATGGTTGTAAGTGTGAAAACCAGTCAGTGCTGCTGTAACTTTGAACAGTCACTAAACAAATGGGTGTAAGTCGAGAACTACTGTATTGTTCTAAATAGACTTACTTTTATAATAGCAACAGCACTTAGACTTATATAGTGTTTCACAGTGCTTTACAGCCCTCTCTAAGAAGTTTACAGAGTCAACATATTGCCCCCAACAATCTGGGTCCCCATCCCCACCTCGGAAGGATGGAAGGCTGAGTCAACCTTGAGCCTGGAGAGATTTGGACTGCCAAATTTTGCAGGCAGCAAGCAGTCAGCAGAAGTAGCCTGCAGTACTGCACTCTAACCACTGCGCCACCATGGCTCATAATTTAATATAAATAATCAAGTGGATTATTCCATAAGCTTTAATGATTGTGATTTTTTTATTAAAAATGTTGTCCTTTATTCCCAAAATACATTACTATTCTCATTACACATAAGTGATCACACGTTGTAAATTTATATTATTATTGCCTTCTCAGCACATTTTCATATCAGCATAGCATTGTAACAATGAAATCATGGCATTCACTATCAATTCCAATTCAGTTCAAGTCAGAAGCTAAAATCCAATGCATGCCAAGTACTTTATCCTGAATTTATGACAGGCAGAAAAATAATCAAATTATATCTTCAATAAAAGTTGAACTTTAACAAAAAATAAGGATCATATCCCAAAGCTATCCTAAATAGCTTTGTGATAAAATCCTTCAGAAGTTTCTACAATAAAAAACATTTTTAATGAACAGAACCACTGTGAAAACACCAAGTATTTTTCCCATAGTTCCCATTCATCTTGACCTGAGTCAATTTTACCTCTCAGTCTTTCTATCAATTTAGAATGCTTATTTGCAGAATTCTATGTAAACCTTCTTACATTTTTCTCTGAAAGTATATCATTGTATGGTACAAAGATCATTTGTACCATACAATACAAATACAAAAACCTGATCTGTCCCCGTCCACACACACACACAAACACAGCCAGCCGAGGGTTAAGGAAGCAGTTGGCACACACCCAGGTCTTTATCTCCAACTTGGCAGCGATATACACACCGTCTGCCAAGTGCTTTATTTTCACAGAAACAGAAAGATAATATCCTCAGCGTACAAAAGTCCAATAGAAAATAATATTTCTCTCAGCAGTTTCGGACGAGGCTTTAGTGACTATCCAAGGTTTATTTTTGTTCGTCACAGGGATCACTGGCCACCACCCTCTATTATATAGTCTCTGGGGTGTGGTCCAGTGACTCAGTTCTAATCCCTAGCACGCCTCCTGAGCTGCTACAATCGTTTATCACGCCTTCGGAGGCGTGCGTCCAGGAATGATGTCTCTCCTTCACTCTCATCCGAGACACCTGTCTCCCGGCTAATCTCCTCTCCCTCGGCCGGCACCTGAGACAGTGCCAGAGGGGAGGGGCCTGGAGAGGGAGGCCTGGCTGACTCCTCTTCCTCATGCTCGGAGCTTTCTTCCTCCGATGGGATAGGTTCAGAGGGCGGGGCCACAACAAAACCATTGTATTTCCAACTCTTGCAGTAAATTTAAAACTAAGTAGTTTGTACCCGTGGTGGGTTGCCCCCCGTTCGGACCGGTTCGCAAGAACTGGTAGTAAAACCGGCGGGAGACTCCACCCACTGACCCGGACATCATCATAAGTGATCTGCGCATGCGCAGAAGAATGTGTGCGCATGTGATGCAAACCGGTAGTAAAGGTAAGTAGAACCCACCCCTGGTTTGTACTTTATGTAAAGCTACACATGCCTGTATGTGCATATTGTGATAATGAACCATACCTCCCGAATCAAAGGGTGAAATATTTGGTCAGCTCAATGGGGCCAATATTACACAAGATGAAGTGACAACTGGTGAGAAAGTAATAATCTCAAGTTCTTTATTTAAAAAAATTAAAGGTGGTTTTAAGGTGCAATCCTAAATTTCACAAAAAATGCTGACTGGAAACCATTACATGTAAATCAAAAAAATTCTGTCAGCAGAATTGAAAAATGTCATCTAAAGCAGGGGTCCCCCAACCACCAGTCTGTGGGCCAGCACTGGGCCATGGCTGCGCAAACCAACCAACCCCATCTGCAGGATGCAGGCAGCATGCAAAACCACACCCCCTTGAGTCCATGGAAAAACCTCTCTCCATGGAATTGGTTCCTGGTGCCCAAAAGGTTGAAGGCCGCTAAAGAAAAAAAAAGGAGTGGAGGGAGGAGGCGGCAATAAATGGAATGAGTTGCATGCATCCAGACCAGGGGTGAAATCCAGCAGGTTCTGACAGGTTCTGGGGAACTGGTAGTGGAAATTTTGAGCAGTTCGGAGAACCGGTAGCAGAAATTTTGAGTAGTTTGGAGAACCGGCAAATACCACCTCTGGCTGGTCCCAGAGTGGGATGGGAATGGAGATTTTGCAATATCCTTTCCGTGGAGTGGGGAGGGAATGGAGATTTTGCAATATCCTCCCCCCAGGAGTGGGGAGGGAATGGGGATTTTGCAGTATCCTTCCCCTGCCATGCCCACCAAGCCACACCACGCCCACCAAGCCACGCCCACAGAACTGATAGTAAAAAAATTTGGATTTCATCACTGATCCAGCCCCAGATAGACTAAGGTGACATCTGCATACCACCACAAAGACGGTCTGGATGAGTATAATCCAAAGTAATTTTCAATTTACTAAATCCCGTGAGATGACATACATACCCGCACGCAAACACATAAACACACACATGCACGCACACTCGCTTTCTCCCTGTTCTAAGATAGCAGGGACTTGGATTCAGATAGATTACTATTAAATCAGCCAGGAGTTGCCCACTTTAGCTATTAGAGTTGGATTGACATACATATATACAGAATCAGTCAAAGGTTCATTCATCATTCTAGCTTTTGTGGGTTTTTGAAGACTGGCTGATATCTCAGCTACTATATACAGTATATCACTAGAGCATGGGTAACTATGGCAATTTACCATCTGTGGATTTCAATTCCTAGAATTCTGAACAGAACAAGTAAGATTTTTTTTTTTAATGAACTGAAAAAGTATGTGAGAAAACTGAGTATATGGAATAAGAGAAAAACCATTGCCTTCTGGGGTTTTTAGATATTGCAGAGTTTAAATGGGCGACAGCATTTGAATCGTATCATATGTTTACAGCGAGTTCTAAGTTCCAAGAGGTCCAAGTTCCAAGACAGAAATTGCAAAGTCCTAAAAAGTAATTTGGCTGGGGCCATAATTTCCTTGTATTATAGGATTATATATATGCATGGTTTCTCGTTCAAAAAATAATGGTTTGCTTTTGTAATTTTCTAACTTTTTTTAATTGTACATTATTCTGAAGGCTTCAAGGATATTTTTTTTAAAAAAATGTTTAAATATTTAGAGAGTTTAATTTTGGCACACATCATTGTCTTCTTATAAATACAATGTTTTGATATAGTTATGGATATTTTCATATATTAGCAAATAAACAACCAGTATGTAGATTCAAGGAAACCAAGCAAGAAGTCTTTTAAAATACCTGTTAACATGTCAACAGCAGGACTATTCCTGTATTGTTCTTTAACAAAATACCGTTCAAAATGAATACATAGAATAAAAGACTAACTATAGACTAACCAGAGCCAGCTCAGCATGGAAGAGGGCTGAATCGGTTAGCCCTTCCTCCTCAAAGGACTGGGCAGTGTAGAAAAAGGAATCTTCCTTAGCAGAAACATAGCCCTCTTCTGGTGAAAGCTGCAGAAAGAATGAAGCTCTTGAGTTGGATGATGGCCAGTGAACAGAACATGCCATGTAAGTAAATACTAAGAAATTTTAAATGAATATAAAGATCAGGAAAAAAGGTATCTAGAAATGATACTATAGCCCTCAAACCATGAAATGATTTATAAGGTTGAAAAAAGAAAAATGAGATGGCAATAATTATGAATTTGAAATAGCCTTTAAGCATCACATGGTTATGTACCTATGTGCTGATATTTGAAATGTTCTCCCAGACCAGATGATAAATTCTGTCTCTCTCCTTGTATTTCCACTGCCTGGTTTCCAATGCAGTTAAGCCTCACAACTAGGTTTAAGATTAAACTAGATTTAAGTCTTACCAAGTTTAAATTATACTTAGTTCGTAAACACAATACGTAAGTTCCAGTGAAATCAGTAACATTTCTTGTTTGGGGCAGATTGAAAATCATATTTATTTTTAAAAAAATTACCTATCTCGCTTGTGGATTTCATAGTAAGTCACTGGGAGACAACAGCTTTCACAATCTTGCCATCAATATTGAACCCAATTTCAATATGAAGGATTTTAAGAAATTGTTCATTCCAATACAACTAAAATATATTCCTTATCAACATCATAATAAAACTACATTACCTAGATCCTTTTCTGTTGGGTTTGAGGTTGGATTATAGAATTGAGATAACACTGCCCATAATTGTTGATGGACTCTGGTAAACTCAGAATATGGATTATATATGCACCCAGGCCTTGATCCTTGATCAGAGACATTCAGTACCTCCTGAATCAGGTTTATGGGGGTTGGTAATGGGGGGGGGGAACACAGTGGCTTTCCTCCTTCCTCTAAGGCTCCTTTCTCTAAGGCTTCCTCTAAGGTTCCAGTTAGAGTTGGTACAGAAGAAAAATGCAACCAATGTTTTTTCTGCATTTTCTTTCTGCTTTTATTTAGCGTCTAAATGAAACATCTGAGTAACTCAGAACATTTGTCCGTATAAGGTTAACCATCATTAATATGCTATAGATCTCTGTCCTACCCATCACTTGGATAACTTAACATTCCCCCAGTGACTGGTATGCAATTTGGAGGTCCTTTGGAGGTCCTGAAAAAAGAGCAGGTGGCAGCCACAGCCAGGAGGACCTTAGCACAAGTCTATCCGTACGACCAGTTGAGCCCTTAGATCACGAGGCTATCACAGTTACACACACCTTAATTATTTATTTGGATTACTGCAACAGGCTCTAAATGGGACTGCTCTTGAAGACCATTCAGAAGTGGTCACTGATCCAGAATGCAAGGGCACATGTGTCCAGGTACAATTTAAGGAACAAGTATCACCCATAAAGCTCTGGGTGACACAGGACCGAGATACCTATGAGTCTACTTGTTTCTGATAGTTTCTACCCATTCCACCAGACTTCAGGTTCCTTTTGTCAAACTGAATGACCTGGTTGAACCCAGGACATCCGCTTTCTATGTCACAATGCCTGTCCTATGGAACAGCCTCCCCTCTGAGCCTGGAATGGTTCCATTGACCATTGAGAGAGAGAGAGACAGAGACAGAGAGACAGAGACAGAGAGACAGAGAGAGTGAGAGAGAGAGAGAGAGAGAGACGAAAAGATTTGCTTGCAGCCTCAGTCACATCATACTAAATTGTTTTTATTTTAGTTTCATTTACCCTGTTTCCCCCAAAATAAGACATCCCCTGATATTATTATTATTATTATTATTATTATTATTATTATTATTATTATTATTATTATTATTATTTGATTTATATGCCGCCCTTCTCCAGAGACTCAGGGCGGCTTACAATGTGCTAAGCAATAGCCTTCATCCTTTTGTATATTTATACAAAGTCAGCTTATTGCCCCCACAACTGGGTCCTCAATAATAAGCCCAATCGGGCTTTTGAGCACATGGCAATAAGACCAAGCGCTTATTTCAGGGTTCAAGAAAATATAAGGGTCTTATTTTCGAGGAAACATGGTAGTTTATATTTTCCATACAATGTTGTTAACTGATCGAGTCATTAGCTGAGATGACAGCGTTAACATATTCTTTAAATAAATAAATAATCGTCGCGCCTACAATAACTAATATATCCAGCAAGCAATAATTGTGAAAAATGGTCTGGCTGCATTTAATCATCAGAGAAACAGACCATCATAGAAATGTAAAATGATTTATACCCAAAATTAGAAAGAAACATTCCCTTCCTTTGGTGACAACCTTCAGTTCTTCTATCAAAGCAGCAATTCAATGGGTAACCCCAAAGCCCTGTGTGGCCACAGAATCATTTTTTGCAATCCTCAGAACCTCCTAAGTCCACTGCTGTTGGAACTTGATGGCAATGTTTCCAATTTCCAAATGAAAAATAGGGGCAAACTTTAGCAATACCTCTGAGTTTACATTAATAGTAAACAGTAAATAAAAAAAGACGCTCTCCCTCTAATTCATCCACAACCCTTAGTCCCAAGTGCACCTGCAATGAGGCCCATTTATTTTGCGGCATTCAGTACTCTTCTGTATCACTAAGTGTAGCCCTTGCTTATCAAATGTTGCACACCTCTGTGCAAAGGTAGCACCAGAATTCAGCCAGAAAAAGGTGGATATATAAATGTCTTACTTTTCCAGAAAGTAGCCCTCAAACTAACAACCAAAATTACTGCCTTGCTGATTCAAGGAATAAATGAAAACAATTACTCCCAAACTTTCAGTTCTGTTCACTATAGATTCCTGCCACTTAAGGACAGGAACTTTCCAGATTACATGTAGAAGGTTTCATAACATACATTTTTTTGCATGTATGCATTTATGTGAAATAAATCTGCAAAATTATTACTATATAGATACCAAAGTTGCTGAAGTATATACACAGTAAATAATTAATACATTCAATCTTTTTGTGTAAGTATTGTTTGCTTATACTTTATGAAAATAAATCAAAACATTGTTGTTGGGGGTATTTTAAATATTCTTACCCTAGGTTTCTGGAAGCAAGATGTTTCTACCCTCTGTTTCAAATTACTATGCCAACAGTAACTAATTCCCAAACTAAAATTATTATTTTGGCTCCAAATAAGTTATTATTGAGTAACTGCGCTACTTTCATGAATCCCAAGCAAAGATATTTTTTGTAGAACAAAGTGGTAGTGGGCTGGTTCACAGAGCTTTGTTTCTCTCTTGATGACAATTGTATAAAATGAGAGATTTTGCAAAGGGCAATTTGCAGGTAGAAATCTAAAACAGCATTTTATTATCTCACAACAAATGTTAGTTCACTTTTAAGTATCAACAGTTATATAGCTAAAGTCCTACATCAGTAAATACCCCAGGAGTTTATTTGCATAATACAAAATCCCACTATATAAAACAAGAATTCTTACAGGCAATGGCTTGGCGACTCCTATTTTCACCATTCCCAAAGGTGCTCCTTTCAGGGCCTGTACAGCTTCCTCCAGGCTACCATTTTCCAAACTGATCTCATTGACAAACATAAGCCTGTCTCCTGGGAGGAGCCGGCCATCTTGCTCAGCAATGCCCCCAGGAACAAGAGAACGAATCACAATCACTGTATTTGCGGGATCCACTGGGTCCTTATTGAAGGAGAAAAGAGGGGAGTGTGAGAAAAAAGGTTGAGATGTGTTTTTATTTACTTTGTATTTATTTATTTATTCATTCAATTTCTGCAGTGCCCAACTCACCAAGAGACTCTGGATGGCCTGCAATTTTAAAATTCGAAAAAATAATTAAAACAGTTTAAAAGACATTAAAACAATAAAAATGTCCACCAAAATAAGTAAGTACAAACAGCAGCTGTGATGATTAATCTGCTAATAGTAAAGCCAAGTAACAAGGCCCTTCACACATTCTGAGCCCCAGGCCCGAGTACATAGCCAGGTTTTTAAAGCTTTGCAAAAGGCCCACAGGGTAGGGGCCATTTTAATGTTCGAGGGGAGAATGTTCCATAAGTCAGGGGCTACAGCAAAAAAAAAAACCTTTCTTTTAGTTCCTGCTACTCAGCTCTCTTTGGTGAATAGGATCTGCAGCATGCCCAATTTATTGGATCTGATCAGAGATTTCAAACAATGGTACGGGGTTTTTTTCCCTGACCCTACTTGCTTATAGAAAGATTCAGTTATCAAGCCACTACCATGTTTCCGCGAAAATAAGACCCTGTCTTATAATTTTTTGAACCCCAAAATTAGCCCTTGGCCTTATTTTGGGGAGATCTTATTATTTTGGGGCACTTGGAGGAAACCAGAGGAAATGGCGGGGACCAGCTGCGCATGCGTTTAAATATTTTCGGGGACGGCTTATTTTTGGGAGGGTATTTTAGGGCATGCGCTCAAAAGCCCGACTGGGCTTATTATCAGGGGATGTCTTATTTTCAGGGAAACAGGGTACTTATAAAAAATTAAAACCTAATTATACATTATGTAATCTTGCAGAAAGACTGCAGAAAGCAACATTAAAACCAGTTTCTAGAATATAAATAAATTCTTTGCACAGAGATGGAATTAGCAAATACATTTCAGAATCTGCTCCACATTTAAAATCTCCTCAAATTAGTGCAAGAGTCAAAAACTTGGTAGTATTGCAGACATGTCTTTTTTAAAAAAACAAACTACACAAGTATCTACTAACTAATACTACTATTACTTCTATTACTTTCATTATAATAACTGCAATAATAATGAATCTTGTTTTGTGATAATGCTCAGCAGTCCCAATATTAATAGTTTATGTGTTTGTGTGTGTAATTATTAGATCCATGGAATAAGTACTACTGTAAGATCATGTCTCCTTAAATTTCAGTTTCTCCTTAAAGAGAAAGACTGAGAAAAAGAATGTTAATGAAGTGATTTCTTAGTCATACCATGCCTTTTCTCATCTAAGGTCAAAAACTATCCACAATGGAAGATGAGTATCTTGCAAAAGTATGAAGATATATAAAATAAGTTTGACAAGTTTATTTAATGATGTAATTCAGGCAGTGGTGGGATTCAAAAATTTTTACTACCGGTTCTGTGGGCATGGCCAGGGTGTGTGACAGGCAGCACTCGGCCTCCTGCACCCCCTGGGAGCAAAAACGGGCATGGGGGGGTGCGCCACTCCCCCCCCCGCGCCCTGTTTTGGGCCTAGGAGGCTTACCTGGGAGCCAAAATGGGGTGCGTGGGGACTCCTGGAAGGGGCGGGGTGAGAAGGGGCAGGGCCAGCCAGTAATATAACTACTAGTTCACCCGAACCAACTGAATCCCACCACTGAATTCAGGGGGCCCCAATTACCTGATAATCCAATATGCTAAAGCCAAGACCTCTGCTGCCTTTCTCCAGCTCAATTTGTTGTATTTCTGTCTCCCACATTGCCAGAGGAGATCCTTGCACTTCTTCAGTATTCTGACTTATGTTAGCTATTTCCAGTTTAGCATCGTCTGTCTCTGAAGCAGCAAGGAGTCCACCAAGGTCTATATGAGACTGGAAAGTTAAATATGGTTATTTTTTTAAAATAAAGCTAAATGAAATTATAATTATATAATAATTAATAAATAAAGGTTATCAATGGAACTGGAATAAATGTGAACTGCTATTTAAAGTGTCTAAAACTTATCTATTTTTTAAATGAGCTTTTAATTAAAATTTTACAAAATACATAAAACACAAAGTAGTTCTGTGTTTTTAAGCAAAGCCTGATTTCCATAATGACCACATGATTCACTTAGCAATGGCATGGATGGATGGATGGAGGGAGGGAGGGAGGGAGGGAGGGAAGGAAGGAAGGAAGGAAGGAAGGAAGGAAGGAAGGAAGGAAGGAAGGAAGAATGTAGAAAGAAAGAAGGAAAAAACAAAAAAGAGAAAAGTTCCAGTTTCCTTTTCAGCAAATATAAGCATATTTATAAAATTCTCTTATGATTACAAAATTCTGATTACAAATAAAAACCTTAGCTTTTTCTATATCTATTTTTTTCTAATCATCAAAAACACCATAAATCATAAGTACATTTTTTATATTTCATGCAAAAGTCTATAACAGATTTCCACTCAACTGTAAATGTGAATAGTTTTTTTCCTTAAAGAGGTTAATTTAATAATCTCTATAAGTTCCATCATCTAAAAGTCTAAACTTTATGTAGAGATTTCTAATCATATATGAAATGCTTAAATGACCATAATAACTTGACCAAAGCTTCATAAAAAATCTAAAAAAGGTTTTTAAACTAGGTTTCCTTGATCCAATTCTAGCCATCTGATCAAATTGTCTTAGCTGAATTTTTTTTTATTTATCGTACTACCATATTCAATATTTATTTAGTTGTTTAATTTATATAGCCAGCAGTCTCACAAACAAGAGACTCTGGGTAGCCTCCAACAAAACTAAACCAATAAATATCTAAAATCATTCACGACCATTAAAGCATTAAAAAACAATAAAACAGATAAAAGAAAATTAATAAATGAAGGAATATTTAATAGTAATGGAGCCATTTCAGGAGTTCAAATCTTTTCTTTGAATTCTCTACTGCAAGGAAGAATAGTAGTAGCCTCTCGGTTTCTTCCCCAGGGTATAAATCTTTATGTTGAATTACCTGCTCTAACATATGAGTCTCATCCAATGCTGCCTCAGTAACAGGTGGAACCGCACGACAGCACACCATTCTTACATTGATAGGAAGCTCTTTTAAAATATTTACAACATCCTTGTGATTCTCTCCAAGCAAAGATTGTCCATTTACCTGCCAATGAAAATAAGGATATTTACAGAAATAAGGAAAAGACAGAAAGAGAGAAAGAAATACATATATTTTCAGATTGAACATAGGAGACTAAAGTATCATATTTTTTAAAAAAGATTGTTGTTGTTGTTAGTTGTGAAGTCGTGTCCGACCCATCGTGACCCCATGGACAATGTTCCTCTAGGCCTTCCTGTTCTCTACCATCCTCTGGAGTCCATTTAAGCTCACGCCGACTGCTTCAGTGACTCCATCCAGCCACTTCATTCTCTGCTGTCCCCTTCTTCTTTTGCCCTCAATTTTTCCCAGCATTAGGCTCTTCTCCAGTGAGTCCTTCCTTCTCATTAGGTGGCCAAAGTATTTGAGTTTCATCTTCAGGATCTGGCCTTCTAAAGAGCAGTCAGGGTTGATCTCCTCTAGGACTGAGCGGTTTGATCGCCTTGCAGTCCTAGGGACTCGCAGGAGTCTTCTCCAGCACCAGAATTCAAAGGCCTCAATTCTTTGGCACTCAGCCTTTCTTATGGTCCAACTTTCACAGCCATACATTGCAATTGGGAAAACCATACGCACTTTTGTTGGCAGGGTGATGTCTCTGCTTTTTAGTATGCTATCTAGATTTGCCACAGCTTTCCTCCCCAGGAGCAAGTGTCTTTTAATTTCTTGGTTGCAGTCCCCATCAAGTTTGCGAACTTCTGACAAGCAGAAGGGAGTATTTATATTATCATTACCTTAGAACATACTAGCATATTGTGAATTTATACAGGCTATACACAGGTAGTCCTCAACTTACGGCCACCACTGAGCCCAAAATTTATGTTGCTAATGACAAATTTGATAAGTGAGTTTTGCCCCATTTTAGGACTTTTCTCCTCACATTTGTTAAATGAATCACTGCAGTTCTTCAATTAGTAACCTGGTTGTTAAGTGAATCTGGTTTCCCTATTGATTTTGCTAGTCAGAAGGTTGTAAAGAAGATCACATGGCCCGGGGACACTGCAACCATCATAAATGTGAGCCAGTTTTCAAGTATCTGAATGTAAATCATGTGACCATGGGGATACTGCAAAGGTCATAAGTGTGAAAAATGATCATGTCACTTTTTTCAGTGCCGTTGTAACTTCGAACTGTCACTAAATGAAGTCAAGGACTACCTGTATTTCTTTTACAAGTACATGAATACAGGTAGTCTTCGCCCTACAACAATTTCTTTAGTGACCATTCGATGTTTCACTGGCACTGAAAAAACTGACTTATGACTAGTTCTCGCATTTACAACTGTTGCAGCATCCCCAAGGTCACATGATCAAAATTTGGGAGGTTGGCAATCGGGAATGTAATTATGACAGCTGCATATGTCCTGGGGTCATATGATTACCATTTCCAACCTTCCCAGCTGGCTTCCATCAAATAGAGTCAATGGAGGAAGCCGGATTCAGTTAACAACCACATGATTGGTTTAACAACTGTGTTGGTTCACTTAACAACCACACCAACATTGGCCACAACTCACTAACCGTCCTGCTTATCAATGGAAATTCTGCTCTCAATTATTGTTGTAAGTCAAGGACTACCTGTACTCTATGCTAAGAAAATATTAAAAGTGAAAAAAATCCCTCAGCATATCTTTTAAGAGAGCAGAAGAATAAGAAAGATTAATTCATACTTCTAGTAATTCATCTCCACTGTACAATCTGCCACATCGTCCAACAGGCCCTTCAGGCAAAACAGACCGAATAAAATGATGTCCCACTGTAGCTTCTAAGCTAATCCCCAGTCCGCTGCTTTCACTAAACTTGTTCACATCCGCCACCTAGAAAGAAGAAGAATACAATCTTCATAACACCAAGAAATCAGAGCCTTAGAAAATTGCACCGAGATCCTATACAAAGGACCAGTAAATGTAAAAGCTGTTTTGCTACAAATGCTCTACTTCTTAAGCTACAGGCTCATTTCTTTCAAACAACATCCATGTTCATTGATTTCTCACATCAAAACAAGATGGAATCACAATGTGAGCTGAAAAGGAGCATCCAGCTGTAACATCCTTTTTCTCATTTGCAAAGGGTAACAGATGCTGGTAGCTACAGCTGTCCCAGAGTCTCACAAATGAAGGGAACAAATAAAACTATCAAAGGTTCCACACTTCTCATTACACCATCTTTTGTGGCCGCCATGGAACAATAGTTAGCAAATACAGTATTCGGAAACAGAAATGTTTCCAGTTTGAAGAAAAAGAACTGGATTCCATATCTGGCAATCCTTGTTGTTTCTGAAACAAGTCAAGCGTTAACAGGACATGCACCTGGCAACATAATTATCTATGGTTTACTAATCCCCAGGTGGGGAACAGTCAAAGAACAGGAACTGCATCTATGACCCTGCTGCAGAATTCTATTCAAAAGTTCCACATCCTTGTAACATCCCTTGGACTACTGCACACAAAAGTAGTTGCTTATACGTTCTAAAATGTGTTAAAGGAAGACTCAATGAGAAGTAAAGTGTCAGCTAGGAAAACAGTTTTTATTACATAAAAACTAAACACATTTTAAGGCTTGTAGGCCAAAGGGCTACCAAAATCCCTCACATAATCCTTACTTTAAAAGAATAAAAGTGTCAATTAGCAATCAATTTAAAAACAAATAATGAAAATAGAGGATCAGCAATCATTATCATAAATCATAGGAGGGAAGAAAAACTAAAAGGAAAAAATGCAAATGATCTGTTAAAATGCCAGTAAAAGTGGGGCAAACTGGTTTCCTTTAAAAAAAATATCTCTGTAAGCGATACTAAAAGACCATCCAGCAATGAACTAGGGGTCAACAGCAGCAATACAAGAAAATATAGGCCCTAATTGTTAAATTTTGCATTACTTACCTGAAAGCAGGCCAACATTAAAATTAGTGGCATTTATTACTGGTAGATGAATGTCAGATTAAAAGAGGGAAGTCTTTTATTCCAAATATCAGCTATGTGCAAGAAATCTTATGAAGCAAGGTTTATGCTAAATGTTGTATGTTGGAAGTGGGTAGATTTCCTAACAAGCAACATTGTTTTGCTTTCCAAATGTAGATTTCAGAATTCAACTGTAGCTCTGCCCACATTGAGAGAGGTCATCATGCAAAAATGCTACCCCAAGAAATGAAACTATGCACTGTTGACAACAAGGAGAATCAAAATATAAAATGGACTCCAAAAGTTACTAAACAAATGCTGCCAATACTTATCGACTGAATTAATGAAAACTCCCCAGGAAGCAATATTTATAAACTGTTTGATCAAATTTAGGATTCGTTTTCTGACTGCCTAAGATTACATAAAAGTTTTGTTTTACCACATTTTTAGGTTTTAAAAAACAATGTCACTCCCAAGGAAGAGCAAAGTGTTTATTCTTTTAATAAGAAAGCAATGAGTCGACCTACCACAACTTCATAATTTTTCCCCAAAATCTTCTGCCATTTGTTCAGCAATATTTCTTCTTCTAGGGATGTTAGCTGAATATCTGTAAGATGTGACAATTATCCTAAGCAAAACTATGACATTCTTATCTCTAGGTAGAAAATGAATTGCATTAGAATTTGTAAACATGCATCTGATTTATATAAAATGAAAAAGAAAATACTTTTCAATACTACGTATCTAAAAAAGAAAAAGGGGGGGAAAAGGAATTATAACTTAAATTTTGGTTTTTAAAATCCTTTGAAAGTTAGCTGAATTCATTTGGATTAAGTCACAAAAATAACAGTTCATTTTTAAATTGCTTTTTCTAACCAATTTTGTACCATATATACCTTAATAAACTTTTAGCGTTATCCAGTTCTATTTGAAATTAAATCAGCATGAGACTCAATCCTTCAGTATTACCTTGGCTATTCAATTTAGGCTTGCATTACTCAAGAACTTCCTTTTATCTCTCTTCCATAGAATCCCAATTGTGCTAGTCTAGCTTCCTGAATAACTGGATTTCTGTCTGGCTACAGTCCGCTGCACAGTTTCCTTTCTGTGAATGCAGAAATTACAGGCATGTTCTTCTTTCCTGACCCAACTCTTCTCTGAAAGGCTCATTCTGGTTATTCATTACTATCTTACACCCCTGCACTCTACAAATGTAGGCAAAACAAGTTTGCGTGATTGAAACATTAACAAATAAAAATAAGAACTAAAATTCAAAGGATAAAGCAGAAAGCGCTGCAGCTCAGGCACTTCCGGTCGGCGGCTCAGGCACTTCCGGTCGGCGAGCTGCAGCGACATGGTGCTGAGCGAGTGATCTCCACTCCTCAGCATCCTTTGTCACCGCGTTTTGGGGATCCCTTTGGGGGCGCGGGACCTGGAGAGCCCCGCGGACAATAGAGAGAGCCGGGGGAGCGAGAAAGTGAAGCGCAAACACTTCTCGCATAACCGGGCAACTCTGTCAAACTGACGCGCGTGAAGTCAGCCTTTCAATGGCTGACCTGAAGCTGTGGTAGCCGACAACTAGATGGGAAGCAAGAAAGATCGGAGGCTGCAGTGTCGGGATTAAAACGTGTCCTCCCTGCATACGTGAGACCGAACATCAGGAAGGGGTCGGCGGAGTCGGGCGAGAAGGGCTCGAGTGGAAAAAGGCGGCGACGGAGTTTGGTGAACAGCCTGAAAAACTACAGAGCTCGACAAGCCGGCGCTGAGAGTAAGAAATCGAGGACGCTAAATCGCCTGCGCAAAAGGAGGATCGGTGGGCATAGGGAGCAAGGAAACCTAAAGAATCCAGAAGAACTCGTTTTTGTTTCGTTTGCTGGGGATAGCAGAGAAGATCAATCAAGTCGGAGATTGGACTCTATCCAACTGTGCCTGAGAACAGGAAGTGCAGCCATCGAAGAAGCCTGACAGAGCAAATTGAAAAGGACAGACATAGAGACAATCTAGCTCCGAGACTTACCATAGAGTTTTGACAGTGGTAAAGTAAACGCGGCAAGAAGAAAGGATTGGAGGAGACTGGTGGCTGAGCGAGGAAAAATATTACTTGTTTGGGAAAACTTTGCCTGCCCTAAATTAAAATCTGGACATTTTCTATTCCCCCCCCTTTTTTTTCCCCCTTTTTCCCCTTTCTCTCTGAAACCTTTTTCTATAACAACTCTGATCCTTTGCTTAATAATATTTTTATCAATAAGAACTGTAAATCTTTATAGTAATTAAGTTCTGATCCTGCTTATATATAAGATACTTTTTTATAGAGTCCATTAGATTTATATTTATCTAATTAATTATTTAATCGCATATACATATATCTACTCATATATATTTGTATTGACACTATTCCTATATATTTAATTTGACATATTATTATATTAGAATTGCCATATTTATATATATTAAGTTATCTATTGGTAAATAGCTATATAGTAATTTAAAAAATAAGAATTTTAGTTATAGATTATAGACCTATTTAGGAGTTAGTGCGTTATAGTGACTTAAATTATTAAGACTTGAATTAACTATAAATTAATTAATTATTAACAAATAGAAACAAACCCCTATCAATTAATTATTTGCTATTATATCAAGTGACTACAAATTAATTATAGATCATAAATATTGATTGGAAGTGATATAGATATAGATTGATAGATTGATTTTGATTGAAAAATATATTTAAGAGTACTGTCTGAAAGAGATACAGATTGATAATTCAACATTAATTGATAATTAATCTCTCTCCATACCCTGAAGAAGCATAGAAAAAAAAAAAAAAAAAAGAGGTGACAACTAGTGTATGAAAATTTGGAGAAATATCGAGAAAATAATCAACGAACAAAAAATAATCCTGAAAGAAATGACGAGCATGTCATCAACAATTCTGAAAACAGGAAAAAAGACCCCTTCAAATCCCACTATATCCATGACCTCCCCGGCTACCCAAAAGCCAATGGAAGGATTACCAAAAACGGATAAGGCCATAGCAACACCAACATTATTAACAGTACAGTCAACATTGACATTAATTCAAGAAACGATGATGGCCATGCAGGAAAAAATGTCCAGCAATCACACCGAACTGAAAACAGATATCCACCTACTGGACCAGAAGATGAATGAGATCCAAGTCTCAATTTCTAACAATGAACAAAGAATCCAGAAGGCGGAGCAAAAAATAGAACTAAATGAGAAGAAGCTGGACATGGTAGACCAGACATTGACGATGCAAAATAAGGAATTAGAAGATTCATTAATACAATTAGAGATGGACAGGGCGTCGTTTTACCTGCGTTTTCAAAATGTGGAAGAAGATAAAGACGAGGATCTGGGAGAGAAGATGGCGGAACTAATCGCAGAAGTACTTCAACAAGATAAATGCGAGATCATCAGAGAATTGGACGACGTCTATAGAGTCCAAACAAACTACGCGAGGAGGAATAGGCTCCCCAGAGAAGTCCACATCAGGTTCGCGAGAAAGAAAGTAAAAGACAACCTATACAGTATGGCGAGAGACGGACAAATAACTTACAGAGGAAAAGAAGTGATAATATTAAAACAGATTCCAAGAAGAGTGAGGGAGGTGAGAAAGGATTACAGATTTTTGGCTGTGCAATTGAACAAAAGAAATATATTATTTAGATGGCTCTTACCGGAGGGGATGTTAATCACCTGGCAGGGGAGAAAAATAAAAATTGATAGCTTGAGCACAGCACAAGACTTCCTTGATCAGTTAAGGGGTGCAGAAGAAGAACAGAACAGTAAGGAGGAAGTAGAGGTGACAAATTTAGAAGAGGAAGGAACCGCGGAGGAGAAAAAGACCGAAGAAGAAGCCAAGGAAAAAAAAATAATAAGACCAGTAAGAGCCGTAAGACTAAATAAGAACTAAGACCGAGCAAGGAAAACAAGAATGAATGACTTGAAATTAATTTCAGTAAACGTTAATGGATTAAACGATAGTAAAAAGAGGAAATTAACACTTACAAAATTAGCAAAACAAAATATGGATATAATCTGTTTACAGGAGGTCCACATAAAAAAGGAAGAGGGTAAACGTTTGGAGTTTAAGAAATATGGTAAACTATTCACCTCATTAGCTGAAAAAAGGAAGAGAGGGGTAGTAATCTATGTTAAAAAAGGAATTGAAGCAGAATTGAAATATAATGATACAAAGGGAAGAACCCTCATGGTTGAAATTACGAGAGAAAACATTAAAATATTACTTGTGGGCATTTATGCCCCAAATAAAAAACAAGGAGAATATTTCCAAAAGCTTCGCGAACAAATAGGGAAAATGGAATACAATGAACTCTGTATGATAGGAGATTTCAACGGAATCATAGACCCAGACAATGATTATAAAAGTAATAAAATGAACAAAAATAAAAGGGCGACCTTACCAAAAGCTTTTTTCGATTTGGTGGAGGAAATGAGTTTAATTGATATATGGCGAACCTTGCATCCAAGTGAAAGACAGTATACATTCTATTCTAATCCGCAAAAATCATGGTCGAGAATAGACATGGCTTGGGTCACCAGGTCGTTGGGATTAAAAATAGAGACAGCAGAAATTAGCCCAAATATTTGGGCTGACCACAACCCCCTAGAAATAAAATGGAGAATCACAAAGAGAAAGAAACAACAGAGATGGAGGCTCAACACAAATTTACTCGGCGACAAAGAGTGTGTAGAAAAATTGAAAGGAGAAATAAAGACCTTTTTTATGGAAAATGAGAATCAAGGGACACCCCGTGAAATAGTATGGGACACAATGAAGGCCTATCTAAGAGGGGTAATAATATCATACACTGCATACAAAAATAAATTAAAAAGGAAATCCCGGGAAGATCTTATTAAGCATTTAGATGAAGCAGAAAGGAAACTCCAAAAAATACCCGGAGATACTGTAGCAAAAGAAAATTGGCTGGTGTGGAGACATAAATTAAACATCCTAGAGCAAGAGGAGCTAGCCCAAAACATAAAAAGAACAAAGCAGTACTATTTTGAGAATGCCAACAAATCGGGCAGGTGGCTGGCCTATAAATTAAAAAAGGAAAAGGAAAAAGCGACAATTCAGATACTAGAAGACGCTGAGGGAAATCTTTTAAACAAAGAAGAAGACAAATTGGAAAGAGCGAGAGAGTACTATGAATCCTTGTATAAAGAAGAGGAGGCCTCGGAAGAAAAAATAGACCAATATTTGGCAAACGCGGAGCTCCCAAAAATAACGGAGGAAGAGAAGGAGATGTTAAACGCGAAGATAACAATTGAAGAATTTAAAAAAGCCCTCTCCAAACTCAAAAACAACAAATCACCAGGCCCGGATGGATTCCCGGGAGAAATATACAAAAAATTGGAAGAAATTTTACAACCCAAACTAATGGAAATCTTTAATGAGGTTTTGACGGGCTCAAAAATTCCTGATTCATGGAGGGAAGCACATGTCACACTCCTGTCGAAAGAAGGTGCCGATTCCCAAAAAATCCAAAATTACAGACCGATTTCGCTCCTAAACACTGATTACAAATTATTCATGTGTATAATGGCAGAAAGAACCAAAAAAATATTAAATAATTGGATTCATAAAGACCAAAATGGATTTCTTCCGGGGCGACAAATTAGGGACAATTTGAGAATTGTATTAGATATTCTAGAATACTATGAAGAACACCCAGAAAAGCAGTTGGCCTTAGTTTTCTTGGATGCCCAAAAGGCATTCGACAATTTAAATTGGAATTTTATGACCAAACAAATTAAAATAATGGGATTCGGGCAAAACTTCGAAAAGATGATAAAGACCATTTATGACAATCAGAGGGCGAGCATCTTAGTTAATGGAGACAGGACAAGAACATTCCAAATCAGAAAGGGAGTAAGGCAGGGCTGCCCCCTGTCACCGCTGTTATTCATTTTGGCTCTAGAAGTTCTGCTACGTAAGATTAGAAATAACAAGGAAATTAAAGGCCTAAAAATCAGAAATGAGACCTATAAAACACAAGCCTTTGCGGATGACGTGGCACTAATACTAGAAGACCCATTAACATCAGGACAAAAAGTACTAGAGGAATTGAGTAAATATGGAGAGGTGGCTGGCTTTAAACTGAACAAATCTAAAACCAAAATATTAACTAAGAATATAACGGAAGCGCAGAAGAATGAGATAGAAGGAACTTTGGGCCTAAAGGTTGTCCCAAAAATAAAATATCTAGGAATTTGGCTAACCAAAAGGTGCTCATCTCTAAGAGACGATAATTATACCCCACTAATTAAAAAATTAAAACAAGACTTGGATAGATGGAAAAAGATTAAATTGTCACTTATAGGCAAAATTGCGGCAATTAAGATGAACATCCTCCCCAAGATCCTATTTTTATATCAAAATCTACCAGTGATTTTAGAGAAAAAATTTTTCCTAGAATTAAATAAGATTATTAGGGAATTCGTTTGGGAGGGAAAAAAATCGAGGATCTCACTCAAAATTTTACAGGAAAAAAGGAACGTGGGAGGATTTGGTCTCCCGAATTGGGAAATGTATTACAGAGCAGCAAAGTTGATTTGGATAAGGGAATGGATCACCTTAGAGAACAAGAGAATCCTAATGCTAGAAGGCCACGATTTACAGAGAGGGTGGCATTCATACCTATGGGACAAAGACAAGAAAAAGAAAACCTATTTCCACAGGCATAAAATTAGGGACTCCTTAATACAAATGTGGGCGGGGATCAGGCAGAGACACTATACAAAAGTTCCAAATTGGCTCTCTACGGTAGAGGCATTGATTTACCCCAACAGGTGGGGAATGGAGAAACTGTGCAGATATAAAGATATCATTGACGGAGGGGGAAACCTCAAATCAAATGATGCCCTGAAAGACCAAGGCATAACTTTAGATTGGTGGACTTACCTGCAAATAAAATCGAGATACCAGAAAGATAAAGATGAATTTGGCATAGAATTGAGATATAACGGATTGGACAAAATCTTGATGGGACCAGGGAAAAAAAGCGCTGGCCAAGCTATATAATTATTTACTAGATGAAGATAGAAATGAGGATACAATTAGAAACCAATTGAGAGCATGGGAGAGAAACATTGGGCATAGTTTGAACTTTAATGAATGGGAAGAGGCGTGGAATAAAAATTATAAATTAACTAGAGCAGCCACGTATAAGGAAAATCATTATAAAATGCTCCATAGGTGGCATTTAGCCCCTGCAAGATTATCAAAGATGTTTCCCAATGTGCACCCAAATTGTTGGAAATGCGGTCATGGGCAGGGCACCTTCTTTCACATGTGGTGGACATGCCCCGAAGCAAAAAGATACTGGAGCAAAATTCGGAGATGGTTGAAAGACATACTCAAAGAAGAAATTGACTTGACTCCAGAAATATTTCTCCTGGGAATGGTAAAGAAAGGGCATGGAAAGGAAAAGGTCCACCTCCTAATACATATTACTACAGCTGCCAGACTGGCATATGCTCAATACTGGAAAAAGAAAGACCTACCACCAGATGACCTTATAATTAGCAAAATATTAGAGTGTGCAGAGACAAGTAAATTAACGCACGAAATAAGTGATGATGAAAATTCAGATTACGATACTGTGTGGGGAAGATGGTACGAATGGATAAATGATAGAATTAAGGAAGGAGTTTAAAGGTGCAGAAATTAATTAGAAATGTATAGTATAAAAGACACCAGATATTTCTTTCATGTACATATGTATAAACACTGCAAATCCGATGTCAAACAAAGTTGTTATTATATTTAATCTGTCTTAAAAAAATCAATAAAGTGTAGATATTTGCCGAAAAAAAAAAAAAAAAAAAAAAAAAAAAAAAAAGAAAGCGCTGCTAAGTTTATGGGTGTTTGTTTTCGAATTCTGAAGAATAATTAAAAGTCTTTGTTTTTACTTATAAAACTATGGCTATCATTTCATAGTTCTCTTCAACAGGAGTACACTAGTAAATAACATTATGTATTCAGGTTTATTAAAATCAGTTCCCAAAATTGTTCAACACACAATATTCCTTTCATATTTATTCAGAGGTTAAGTTAAAGTTAAAAGAAACTTATTCTCAGGTTGGAATATTTACCATTGTAATGATTTTGATATTACTTTGCTTATATCTTGAGTTACATATACAAATAAATATATTATTTAATATTTAAGCACTCAAGAAATATTCTCTATATTTAAGATTTTATTTTTTTTGAAACTATGACCTCATTTTCAAAGGCTCCTACCGAAACATGGTCTCTAGAGGGCAGTGGAAGAATACACTTCCTGGAATCATTTAACAATTTGTATATTTATTTAAAAATGGGAAAAAGAAACATATTGTGAGTGTAATAATTTACCATTTTAAATCTGATCTAGTTTATCTCTTACTACGGTAACTGGAGTTTGTCAGATATGTACAGTGACCCACCAAGCACTTACAATATCCTCAAACACTCACACGCTTAAAAATCCGAAGTAGGTGGAAACATGAAATTCACAGAATCCGAATAATCTCTCTTTAGCATGGCTTGATCTTTATCTTTATCTTTTATTAGATTTGTATACCGCCCTTCTCCTTTCGGACTCAGGGCAGTAAACAGCCAAAATAAAAACATTTATATACAAAAGTTAAAATAATTTTTAAAAATAATTAAATGAAATTTGGCCTATAATTTAAAACATTTCAATTAAAATCAGTATCAAACGTTAAAACCAACATGGAATTAGGCCAGCCCGGCTAACTGAAAAAAGTAAGTTTTTGGGGCCCGACAAAAAGTCCGGAGGTTTGGGATCACTCGTATCTCTGGGGGTAGATCATTCCAGAGGGTAGGTGGCACCACAGAGAAGGCTCTCCCTCTAGGGGTCGCCAACCGACATTGTCTGGCTGACGGCACCCTGAGGAGGCCCTCTCTGTGGGAGAGAACCGGCCGGTGGGAGGCAATTGGTGGCAGAAGGCGGTCCCGTAAGTACCCCGGCCCTAAACCATGGAGCGCTTTAAAGGTGTCACCAACACAAAGCGCACCAACGGAAAGTCCACCGAAGCCAATGCAGCTCGCACAGGAGAGGTGAGCTACAATCAGCTATGTATATCACAAATTATACTTGCTTATTTAAAAATAAGATATAAACAAATGTGATCAATCACAGATATAAGAATTGTGTGTATACATGGCTAACTTCAGTTATGAATTCTGCTTTATGCTACACCTACATTTTCTAATATATTAAAACTGCTGTTCGCCCAGTATTATCCTTAAGGTTTTTCATTGTAAATAAACAATCATGAAATATCTTCAACGGTATGTTTTGTTATCTAATGATAATTTACTTTTAACATCCTCATTAATAAGTACTCTTTTCAGCTGCTGCCATTTAGTATGCTGAAAATTAAGCTTCATAATTTTAACACTTGATATATGAAGCTGGATGCCTTCAAGAAATCAACTTTGTGTACATTTATGTACATTGTCCATAGAGTTTTAACTAGACAAACTCAAATAACTGTTTTACAGCCTTTTCTTTGAATCTTTTAACTTCTAAATACTTTATCCACGGGTTTTGATAAGAACCTGTGGATAAGATACTTAGAAGTTAAAAGATTCAAAGGAAAGGCTATACAAATAATCATTTGTGTTTACTTAGCTAAAATTCTGTGGACAATGTACATAAATGCAACTAAACAGAGCTGCATCATTACATTATTCTTCGAAGATGGATTTGTCTATGACATCTCAAATATACATTTTTGGAACCCAAAAGGAACTTTTACCATGCTACCATGCCAAGCAAGCAAAGACAAAAACTAGGGAGGGCAAGCATATTTATAAAGGGGAAAACATTATTTATAACCTGTTTGTTGTATATTAGTATCTTCTTCAAAATGAATTTCACTGGGGCTGCATGACATTAATGGAGAATCCTGCTCTCTTTTGCAGCTTTCTGTGGAAAAAAAAATATGCCAATTTCTGTGATAATATAGTTAAACCCCTTTCCTGTTTCACTATTGTTAAGGTCTCCTAGTTTCTTACTAGATTAAATTAAGTCTGGTCTAGCAGTTAAGGCTCCATGCTAGAAAGCGGAGACTGTAAGAGTTAGCCATGAAAGCCAGTGTGGTGACTTTGGGCCAACCTACCTCACAAGGTGATTGTTATTGTGAGGAAAATAGGAGGAAGAAGATGTGTTGGATAAATTTTCCACCTTAGATTATTTGGATATTAATATAAATAATTAAATACATACATACATACATATGTGGCTAGTGTAGATATGCGTAAGCAAAACACTAAAAATAAAATAAAAACTGGTAACAGCAAAAAGGCCACAATCTTCTTTATTATCTGAAAGGAAGAAAATATGGTTGATCCAAATGGGGAGAATCTGACTGATGTCACATACATGGGTGATTCTATGGAGACCTGAATTGGGAAAGTTGAATCACAGATTTTAGGGGTCAAAACAGAGAGAAATAATGAGCACCATGGCATTAATTCCCTAAGGCTTAAATTCTTTCATTCACTTTCATTTTGTTTTGGTTTTTGTATTTTAATTTTTTTTTTTAGTTCTACCATAAAACATAAATCACAGAAACAATATTATTTGAAGATTATTTATTTGTTATTCATGAAAGAAAAAATCCACAAGACTTTTTTGTTTCTCCTTTTGAGTATGCTTTTTCTTTCTCCAACTGAGACTAAAAAGTGGATTGCAAGAATGACTTTAAGCCACTTTGGTTTAGCCTCTGAAGAACAGAAAATAAAATTCAAGAAACGTGAAGCAAAGATAATCTTAATTGCCTGTGTTTGTGCCAATATCCATTGTTTGGAAAATTGAATCCTTTTCAACAGCATCACTGAAGTCATCATGAGACTGAGTGTGATTTTCCTGTTTCAGGCCTCCTCTTCGGACCAAAGTCAGATAGACTGTTTGCCCAGTATGTCGCAAAACCTCCACTGCTTGCTGGTTGGTAAAACCTTGAAGATTGGTTCCATCCACCTATGGATTAAACATGAGGGTGACGGTTCATTCTCCATGCTTGTGGATTGGTTTCTGAATGTTTTGTTACCAGGCTAGGTAACATCTTCAGCAGAGTTTAAGGGATGTCAGTGTCAGTGTTCTTCTGTTTGTAAGGTGTGAGTGTGGGTCTTGTGATAGGCCAGATGTGGGTGTGTCAAGTGAGGGCCTTAGGATGGCCAGGTGTGGCTATGTCAAGTGAGAGTCTTGGGATGGGTCTTGTCAGCATCATCCTACACCCAAGCTACAGATATTCGCCACTATTGCAAACATATGTTCATTTCTTACCAGTCATTGTACATCTGTCAAGATTGGAAAAACTGTTTTATTACAAATTAGGCAAATCACATTTGCCAAATGTCTGCTGAAATTTGGTTTGGGGTTTGTTACTATCTTCAGCATAAGAATCCTATCTAAAGGTAGACAGCATAGAGTTTGAAGAGAATGTCTGAAAACTGTGCGAAGGAGCTTTATAAATTCAAGGTAACTTAAAATAATGCATGCAAAAATTTTAAAAATCTTTTCCTCTATACAGATAGTCCCCTGCTTACAACGACAATTGGGACCAGAATATCCATTGTTAAACAAGGCAGTTAAGTGAGTTGCACATTGATCATGTAAATGTGAGAAAGATACGAAGGTTGTAAGTTTAAGGACCACTTGTAACTCACTTATTACAAACGCTAAACATATGGTTCTAAGTTGAGAACTACCTGCGTAGGCTGATGGGAATTGGGCAGGAAAGTTTACTGTTATTTTTGCTGTTCACCTGTAAGATGGTTTAAGAATCAATTTACAAGCAACGCTATCAATATAGAATCTACAGGTAAATAATTATTTATGTTCCTCAGCTGTGGGAAGTAGGTCATTGATCTTATCTCTGCTTTCATCAGAAACTAAGTCAAAGAACATCTCTCCTAAGCCCAAGACTTACATTTTCTCAAAGACCTCTGAAAGAATCCTCCACATTTTTCTCACATCCAGGATCTCATTTAGATTTTAGATTTAGAATGTAGTAGCAAAATGGCCTTTTCTTTATGACAGTCTAATTACTACTAACCCTCAGAGACAAAATAAATAAGTATATAAAACAAAGTGCTTGGTTGTGGGGGGGGGGGGATTGCCCACCTCTGTTTTATAACCTTAATAATTTTATCTTTAATATTTTCCATTCGTTTTACCTATTATTAATATGGTAGCCTTAAGCTAAGCAGTCTGTAATTTCCTGAAATAATTTTTAAAGAGTTAGGCATTACGTTTCACAGTTTGTGATCTTTCTGTAAAAAAACCAGACTTCGTAATTTTTTGGCGGGTGTCAATTGAGATCAGAGATCTCACCTGTGAGATCTTTTAAGAACTCTGGGACAGTTCTCATGAGTTGTTTGCTTTTAATCCATCAAGCATAAAAACTAAATAATAGAAGGAAAAAAGGGATAACAGAACTCCTCCAAGGTTACTTACAGCAATAATTTGATCTCCAATATGGATTCTACCATCATGCTCAACTGCACTGTCTTTTGTGATACTTTTTACAAAAATACCAGAAGGTTCTGTGATTTAAAAATAAAATTGAAGTAATTAAAGGTATGTCTGAGTCATGTATTTGTAAAGCTGTTATGACTTGAATCCATAAACTTAAACACAGCCTATCAAGATCTGACTACAATGGTCTTTATGACTTCTAAGTACTTAAGCAGAAATATTACAACATAGTATCACTGAAGTTATCTTGCTCTAACCCGGAGGTGGGGAACTGTGTTCCTTTTATGGCTTGTGGACTTCAACTCCCAGAACTCCTGAGCCAGGCTGGCTCAAGAATTCTGGGATTTGAAGTCCACAAATTATAAAGGGGCCATAGTTCCCCACTTCTGCTCTAACCCAATGTATTCACTCAAAGAGATAAACTTACATTTTAACATACATATTTAAGCCAATTGCTGCTAGATCTTAAACTGACGCGTGTATTTTTATTTCAATTATAGTGCAAATCCCTATGCTATAAATATACTAAGCCTGAGACCTCTAATTAAAATAGAAGTTTGACTTCCCAAATGAAGCACATTTAAACAATTCTAACATCAAGTTCTGAATCTAGTGAAAGAAAATATGTTGCATTCAATGAATGCCTTTAATTATTTCAAACTATTCCAAACTACAAATCTATTGCAAAATAAAATCCATATTTTGAAATGAAATCCATATATAACATTTTTCTTGCAAAGCAGTTATTCTATGTATTGTGTATGGTACTTTAAAACATCTGGACTGACTCAACCAAAAAGCTAATAAATGGACTTTGGAGTTAGGAAAAAAATAGTTATTTTTTTGAGCAGAATTCATTTTAACCATACCTGATATTTTATCCCCAATGTAGCCAGCAATTGTTATTCCTAACCCTTGAGAATTTTTTGTAAGCTCCACATCAAATGTGTTCCCATCTTCAACACTCTCAATTGGTGTATCTTCCAATTTCTTAAGGGAAAAGACATGTAGTTATTCTTCATGACAGAAGTTCTTACAGGAAACAAAAATAATTATTCTATTTCTCACCTAAGCCCTAATATTTCAGCACTTAATTCTAAACATAACACAGAGTACTTCTTGCCAGAATGTGACTCAGATATTAGTTTCATAACTCTCCAATATAATTAGTGAACCTTTAATAGCGTTAACATTATTTGCTATGGTAAGAGTTCCTCAATGGATTTTTCTTAAATGCTTTTCTATGTAATTCTGGATCATGTTTGGAATGTTAGGGCTGTGGCTTTGTGATTTTTGAGGTTTGCAGATACTTTATGCTCTACAGAAATCATTTCTAGAAAATAAAACAAAGATCAAAATTTTAAAAAATGGAAAATTATCCAATTATGCACATTTATATACATACACACATACACACACAGAGTGTGGAAGTAAGATTTAAAATATTGAAATATCAATTCAAACACTATTTTTTTTAATTGTTTTTATACTATGGAGAGATATAATCACTAATATAATCAGAAAAGAGTAGCTCAAAGTGAGGAATGGGGAAATCGATGATGTTGTACTTTTTTCTTAAAATAACTCCAAGCTATAGATGTATGATATTATGAGTTGTAATTCCACAACTCTGTAAGGATATAAGCTGCGTACTTTTGTTTTTTAAGCAAAACCTTAAAATGGGTAAAAGACAGTAAAATATTCGATTTCATCTACTAAATATAGGTAGTCCTCGACTTTCATTTAGTGATTTTTCGAAGTTACAACAGTAGTGAAAAAAAAGTGATTTATGATCATTTTTCAACACTTATGACAGCAGCATCCACATGATCATATGAGTTACATTTGGATGCTTGGCAACTGATTCATATTTATGACTGTTGCAGTGTCCCGAGGTCACGTGATCTCCTTTTTCACTTTCCTTTCTGACAAGCCAAGTCAATGGGGAAGCCAGATTCACTTAACAATCGTGTGACTAATTTAACAATTGCAGTGATTCGCTTAACAAATGTGGCAAAGAAAAGTCGTAAAATGGGTCAAAACTCACTTAACAAATTTCTTACTTAGCAACATAAATTCTGGGCTCAATTGTGGTTGTAAGTTGAGGACTACTGTATAGCAATTCAGGAAAGAAAAGTAGTATCTATTTAAACTAAAAGATAGTTTCTAGGAAAGGCATAGCTAATTGGAAGGAATGACTCAATTATTCAAATCCATTCCTTCTGAAGACTGCAGTGAAAAAGCTGTAAAACGAAAACAATGGGGTATAAATTATGCTTCTGACAGAAAGACATGAACACATATTTCTGCAGAAATATAATTTTTCCTGTCTCTTTTTTCTTCACTCTGTCACTCTCTCAAGCATTTCATTCTGTTGAATATAATCCAGTTATCTGAAGCTTCCTGCCGAATTGTATTTACATTCTTAAGACACTAAAACTTGCTTCAGTTGATACTGACATATGTAGGCACTTACACCTTCTGATCTGTGTTTGCACACACCAACTCCCTATTCTATCTTTTATTTTGTACATTATCAGCCACATTCATCCTTGGCATCGTTTCAATAGGTTAAAAGGAAAAGTGTCACTGGTGAGATGGGGGAGCTATACAAGTGTGATTAAACAGATAATAAAGAGCACAGGAGGTTTTTGGTAAATGAGGTTTAGTTTGAATGAAGTTACTTTTCAGGCAACAGAAGAACTCAGCGGAGAAAATAAAACATCAGCCCAAACGAAGAACACTATATGAAATAAAGAGGGCAGCTGGATAGCTGCCACCTAACTAGCAGCAGCTGAAGTTGTGCCAGCTGATGTAGGTGAAGAGCTACAGCCAGGCACCGGCTGGCACAGAGAGGAGCCCAGCGGTGGATGCCAGGGAGGAGGAGGAGGAGGTGGTAAGTGGAAGAAGAATAATCCAGATGAACTCAAAGGGCTGCTGCAGAGCAAAAGGGAAATACTATCAAGCAGTGATTGCTTAAACTGCTATTAGAGCACCATTCAAGTGGCAGATTGAAATTAGCAGGTTAGCAGTTATTGGCAGGCAGGCAGGCAGGCAGTTTGACTATGAATAAGCCTTATGAACCTCTATCTACTGTCAGTCCTGTTTCTTTAATGTAAGTTACATGTTGTTATTACCTTGTTTTCCATCATACACGTTTGCACTGGAGTACCCAAAGAAGCTGCTGTTGATGGAGCGGCCTCCTCAATTAGACCTCTGGCTATCACCAACTTGACGCGGTTTCCACATTGCCTCAGGACTTGTGCCACCTGCTCACCACTGATTCCAGTCAGGTCTGTATCACCAATTTTCAAAATATGGTCTCCACTGCACAGTCTACCATGCTAGAGGAGCAAACATTCAATTGTTTAAAAAACTATACACAGAGGTGTCTTAGAAAAATGCAAGAGTTTTATCTAGCTTGCAATGCAAGCAATGCAATGCAATAGTTTCACCTATTTTAGTTTTGGATTTATTTATTTTTTTGCTTTTAATACTGCTGTAGTAGACATTACTTTAAATCTTTTTATCATATGCTGTTTGAGTATATCTATGCAACATCTGATAAAAATGAATATATTTTAAATTAATAAATGAGTTAATGTTTTTATGGTTCTAAGTAATATGTTTAGCATTGCTTACATTCAAAATTTATGTATCATTTATTGCTTCTATTCCTATTTATTAGCATATCTGCCCAAAAGGACACATCTAAATTTAGCACTGTTTTCCTCCCAAAATGAAGAAAAACATGGAAAACATCCTGTTCAAAATCTCTCATTTCTACCTTATCGGCCTAGGATTACCAAATCTACTTGTTGTTTGTAAACATCCCCATTTAGAAAATGATTACCTCCTATCTGCTTATCCACACCTAAGTTACCCTCATATATACCTCTCCTTTAAACAGAATCACAGAGAAGAAGGAAAACAAGGTGGGAATGGGGAGATTCGAAGAAAAGGGGACTGTTTTCCATGTGTGAAGGGCAAATGTGTATGGCTTAAACTCTGCTATCACACCTGCCTCACCCAGAGTAAAGACCATGTTAAAAAATATCTCAAATACAGGAATAAAAAAAGTTATCCATAAAGGAATTCTACTATCTGCTTTTCTGTGGTCCTCATTCTCAGACAAAACCAGCTTCCTATTTCCATAGAAAAATTATACTCATGACCGATAGCAGTTCAGAAGCAAAGCTTAGCATTATAAATTTGGCTGGGGTTTCAAGCCATTGCTATGGGGATCATTTGCTGGGAAAAGATAACCCTTTAATTCAATATGTTTTCCCTCATAGAACATTAGCATTCCATTCTTTCTATTTCAAGTAAATAAAGGTATTTATTAAATGGTAATAAGTAATTATCATGCTGTAACTCTAGTACAGAAGAATATATTGTGTACCCGATCAGCTACTCCGCCTGGAAGGATGGTTTTAACTATCACTCCAGTTGATTTTCCTCCTACTATCCCAAATCCCAGACCCGATCCATCGTTCACCAACTCAATAGTCTCCACATGCTGCCAATGTACCTTTAAGACAAAGTCTTACATTAGTTTCATTTTTTAAAAAACAACCTCTAAAGATATTCCATCGGGTTTGCATTTTCCACATATAGTCAATCTCTTTTCTATAGCTACTCCAAATAATGTTTATGAATCATCAAAAGAACTTTCTAGTGTTCTATATTTTGAGTGGTTCTACTGGCAAGTTACAGTGTTTAACATCTTAGTGAATAAATTATTTTGGGCATGAAAGATAAAATCTTATGCTTGCTTTCCCAAGGTATTCATTCAGGTGCACTGACTGAGAACAACTTATTTCTACTCAACTCAGCTGTTTACATAGCTCAAATAAAGTGTGGTGACTCCATACTATGCATAAAATGGTACATCTGATCCACAGGAAGGATTTGGCTTAACTCTCTCAAAGGCCTCAGACTGAAGTACTCTTTTTTTTTTTTTTTTTTGATCTTCTCTCACTCCCTCCTTAATCTACATCATGAAGGCCCTTCCCTATTATCAGGTTCTCATCAAAGGATCCAATCGAAGAACTGACACTGCTTATCATTTAGGATGTAAGTACATAAAAACAGCCTTCCTGAGTTAAGCCAAGGACTCTCTTAATCCAACATTTTGCTCACACAATGGCCAACCAGATACCTCTCAGATGCTTACAGGGAGGAGATAAAAACATATCATTTCCCCATCATTGTTCTCCTGCAAATGACTTTTGGAGGCAAACTATGGCTCAACTGTAGGAGTCAATGATTACTCAAGACCAACAGTCCTTGATAGACCTCTCACCCAATTTGCTTTTAAAGAAAGTTTTGTGGTAATTAAGTCCACAGGTTTATAATCTGCTAAGAACTGATGAAGACACATTTTATGGAATGTCTTACGTATAATACGCTTCCACCAGTGGTGGATTGCCCCAGGTTCACACCAGTTCTATAGAACTGGTAGTAAAACCGGTGGGAGGCTCCACCCACTAACCCCGACATCATCAAAACGCTTCTGCGCATGCGGCCCCGCTGTGAACCGGTAGTAAAGGTAAGTAGAACCCACCCCTGGCTTCCACCACCACCAAATTGGATTTATTTTTGGTAGCTGGGACATGAGTCATAGTGTACATTTAAACTGTTTGAACTACTTCCTGCACTATTTTCTATACACCGAAAAAACAGAATTGTGAGTGTAAGCTTTCTATGGAATTGCAACTTTACACAATGGCTAACATTCAGCAACATGTTGCAGAGACCTTTTTTTATCTTCAAGAGTACAAAGAGTTGCATTGACTGCACCAACCAGAAGAAAGAAGACAGACTTGTTTTCAGTGTCCACTCACCGGGTTTGAATGGGCTGAAATTGTACTAGCAGCTGACGGAGATCGAGAAATTATGGGACTGATGAGCTGAGGCAAAGAGCCCCTTGCCACAACTAGCTGGACACTATCTTTGGCTTTCTGTAGGATGCCGATAGCCTGTTGATGTGTTATGGTCTGATCAAGGGCTTGCCCATTAATAGCAAGAATTTGATCTGCTTCCTGCAATCTGCCATCCCTGTTGTAGACAAACAAACAAAAAATTAATAAGCATCATCACCGGTATTGCTATCGTATTTGACACTTTCTCCAAAGTACTGTAGTTTTGTTTTGTTTTTAATCCAGTTTTCTATTTCTTTCAATGCAGATTTATTTCTATTTTATTTATTATTTTTGAAAAAACTTGCCTTGCAGTTTTGCTGCAGGCATCTTTTTTGGGCCCCTTCTTGATGAGCTTCCTTTGAAGCTAATCCACAGACCCTGTCTCCTAGCTTTACCCCAGAGCTACCTCCTCCTTCTTACACCCCAATCCGAAACTAAGCATATTATATATATATTGGTTGATTCCAGCTTTGTTTGCTATTGCCTGGGAACTTTATTCTTGACTGTGAGCCTGCTGGGTAAAAACACCAAGCGTTTTACTGCATTCACCATGAAAAGTATTGAATATTCATCAATCCACAGTTTACTTACCAAACATTTTCACAAATGGGAGAGGAGAAACTACCCTGTTTCCCCCAAAATAAGACATCCCCTGATAATAAGCCCAATCAGGCTTTTGAGCGCATGGCAATAAGGCCAAGCGCTTATTTCAGGGTTCAAAAAAATATAAGACAGGGTCTTATTTTCAGGGAAACATGGTATTTTTAAAAAAAAAACATCCAAAAAAGGATCCTAATTACAAAGGCCATCTTACAAAATGGACTCACGCTTTAATTAAGGGTTTTTTCTCATATAATCACATACAGTAACGCTTCTCAAACTTACATCAAAGTGATCTGAGATAAAGCAGCTATTGAGCTAATCTGTACTATTATGTTACAATTAGTAAAAGAAATCAATCGACAGACTAGTGTTATAGAAATTTTTTTAAGATACCGACTTAATTTAGACTCTCCGAGAATATTATGGTATTCAGATAGCATTTCTCAATATTTTTCTTAGTTCTTAGCAAAAAATATATTTTCTCTGTATACTGTATCAGAAAAATGAGTGTATAAAAATGTTGATATTACAGAAAGTTGTCAGTAAAAATAAATGCATTTTTGCATGATTAAATGTTTAGCCTGATGTAAATAAAATTTAAACAGACTTCTAAGTAAAACTGAACTGGATCAGAGAAAGGCTGATTGGCAATAGTTAAGTCAAACTTTATCTGTATAAAACATATCGAGCATAAACAAATTGAAATAAGCCTTCTTTTCAACCCAAATTTTTATTTATGTTATCTGTTGTTTATTGTGTTTGTATACTGCAATGAAAGTGAAATGTTTGCAAATCTGTGCGTTTTTTCAGCAGAATATTGCACAAAACAGGCATAGCATCCAGACTGGATTAATTTACATGTATCTCCCAAAAGAGAGCTGGCCACCCTAGAGAACATCAACAGCCAATTGCTTTCCAACATAATGAGGAAAAGGAAACAAACAAGCACATCACCTCCCTTAATCCCATGATGCACGTCCAAACTTGGCCTGAGCAGGGGGAAGTTAGCAATAGCACTTACATTTATATACCGCTTCACAGTGTTTTTTCAGCCCTCTCTAAGCGGTTTACAGAGTTAGCATATTGCCCCCAACAACCTGGGTGCTCATTTTACCCACCTCGGAAGGATGGAAGGCTGAGTCTACCTTGAGCCTGGTGAGATTCGATCTGCCAAATTTCAGGCAGCCGGCAGTCAGCAGAAGTAACCTGCAGTACTGCATTCTAACCACTGCGCCACCGCAGTTCTTAGAGGTTATGTGCCCTTTGTGCATGCTTCTGGATCCTACTGATTTTGAAATTCGGGATATGTTTAAATGCAGTGAATATTAATCTTCAAAAGCACTCTGAAAATTCCAAATTTACCAGGATGAAAGAGTACATAAAGACTAATTCACTGCTCACTGCCAGGAGTTCAATTATGACTGGTTCAAAGTTGACTCAGCTTTCCATCCTTCTGAGGTCAGTAAAATGAGGACCCAGATTGTTGGGGGTAATATGCTGACTCTTAGAGCTTAGAGAGAGCTGTAAAGCACTGTGAAGAGGTATATAAGTCTAAGTATTATTGTTATGTACATGCATTGCTAACGTTTGCAAGCTTTTTCCCTGAAGATTTTCAATTGTGTTGATGTGTTTGATTGGTTGATTGCTTCAATGTTGGCTTTTAATGGAATTTTTGATTATAAATGCATACAAAAAAACCAGCAATAATTTCTTAGTTGGTTGGCATGCTGAGTATCTGATGTTCAGTATTGCATACTGTGCATTTAAAGAGAGAGACAGAAAGCACACCATATTAGTAACCTCTCGTCAAATTTCTTTCATCGGTAAAAAAATATGCTTGGATTTAAGGGAGACAGTAGGGTAAGGGATAAGCAAATGCTTCAAATAAATAGAAAGTAGATAAAGTCCCCCGCCCCTGCCAGTTCTTCCCAAAGTTGGCTCACTGCTAGCATTCAGCAAAGTCCTATCTATTCTTGTGTATCTTGGATTTAAAAAGAGAAGAATTGTTTCCTGTAGCTGAAACCCTCAAAAGTGTATTGAGTTTTGTTTGAATGACAATTAAACTGGTTCAAGATTTGCTCTGTTAAAATGTATGCAATTCAAAATGTTTTGTGGAACATTCTAGGGAGACGTCATCCTTTGAGCTCAAACCAAACAGATTTACTAATTCATTCATTTCATAAAAATAATTATTTAAAGGATACATTTCAAATTTTAAATATTGTTTATGTTTACAATCCACTTGCAAGCTGGCATTTATACATCTCTTTCAATGTATACCTCACAGGCAAACTCACCTTTGTGCCACACTTCCATCTTGAATCTCCTGTACAAATATACCAAGTTCACCTCTATATTCACTCTTCAGGCCAACTACGCTAAAACCAAGCCCACCACTTAGAGGTTTTAAAAGTTCTATTGTCTCAACAAGTCGACCCTAGTAGCAAAAACAACAGGAAACAAATCACTTTGAAACAAACTCAAAAGCACACTGATTCCAAAACATTCACTTAATTTTCATATTTGTATATTAATGAAGAAAGAAAACAATCAAGCAATGTACACCCAGTACAGACATGAAAACGTGTCTTTGGCAAGGCGCTATGGTTAAGAAAACCAGGATCATTAATTGTTCGGAAATCCTACATGGGAATAGGAAGTTCTCGACTATAAATGGATATCTTCTACAAATGAAGGGTGACAGGAGAAGATAATGTCAACTTACTCAACTCTGCTGCCTCTGCAGATTTTATTTAATTTTACTTATTTATTAAATGTTATGTCACCCATCTCCCCTATAAGGTAACATATGGAAACACTATCCCTGATTGTAATCACATATGAAGAGAAATTGGGTTTCCTATTTATAATAAGTGGAACAACTTGCCTGCAGAAGTTGTGAATGCCCCAATACTAGAAATTTTTAAGATGATGTTGGATAACCATTTGTCTGAAGTGGTGTAGGGTTTCCTGCCTGGGCAGGGGGTTGGACTAGAAGACCTCCAAGGTCCCTTCCAACTATTCTATTCTATTCTATTCTATTCTATTCTATTCTATTCTATTCTATTCTATTCTATTCTATTCTATACTCTATTCTATTCTATTCTATTCTATTCTATTTCTATTCTATTCTATTCTATTCTATTCTATTCTATTCTATTATTCTATTTCTATTCTATTCTATTCTATTCTATTCTATTCTATTATTCTATTCTTTAATAATAGGAAGAAAATTATTGTTAACCCAAGAGAGGAAGTGAAGGTAAAGGAAAGGACTTTGGAAAAAACAATTCGATGTTTCCAATCAACTAACTGATTTTAAATAAAATTACCTGTGCCATATTTCTGATCAGTAGTTCAAATTCATCACTTGCAGGCTTTCCATTAATCTGAGGAGTGATCGACTGGAGAACAATTCCTAGCCCATTAGAAGGGCTACTGTTCTCTTGAGCCATCAAGTAGGAGTCATTGTGTAGTGAGGAGCCCACAACACTACCATGATGGGAAAGCTGCAGGTGCTCACCAGATGAGGAGATGGAAGGTGCAAGGTTCACCTGAAAGTTGTACATAACATTTTTTAAATTTTAATTTAAGAGCACAAAAATACAGCTAACAGTACAAAAGAACAAAACCAACAAAAAAAAATAACCAATGGAAAATATGTCCCAAAATGACACAATAGAAGAGTAGAGTAGAGTAGAGTATATACTCTACTCTACTCTACTCTACTCTACTCTACTCTACTCTACTCTACTCTACTCTACTCTAGTAGAGTAGAGTAGAGTAGAGTAGAGTAGAGTAGAGTAGAGTAGAATAGAATAGAATAGAATAGAATAGAATAGAATAGAATAGAATAGAATAGGAATAGGAATAGGAATAGGAATAGGAATAGGAATAGAATTTTATTGGCCAAGTGTGATTGGACACACAAGGAATTTGCCTTTGGTGCATATGCTCTCTGTGTACATAAAAAGACAAGATACATTCGTCAAGAATCATAAGGTACAACACATGGCACCGAAATCATAAAAACAAACATTACCGTAAACATTAAAAGTAAACAATCCTTTGGATTTAGGTATTTTACAGGAAGATCACCTGTGTACAAGAAGGAATTACATAGTTCCTTCAATGTCAGGGATAGTTCAGCTACATATAGCTACAAGGACCAAAAGCATGAAATAATAATACCGTATACAGGTAGTCCTAGACTTATGACCACAACCGAGCCCAAAATTGATGTTGCTAAGTGAGACACTTGTTAAGTGACGTCTGCCCCATTTTAGGATATTTTTTTACCACAGATATTAAGTGAATCACGAGAGTTGTTAAATTAGTAAGATGGTTGTTAAGTGAATATGACTTCCCCGTTGACTTTGCTTGTCAGAAGAAAGGTTGTCATATGGCCCTGGGACACTGTAACCATCATAAATACATGCCAGTTGCCAAGAGTCTGAATTGTGATCACGTGACCATAGAGATGCTGCAATAGTCATGTGAAAACAGTCATAAGTAACTTTTTTTACTGCCAATGTGACTTCGAAAGGTCACTAAACAAATGGCTTTAACTCGAGGACTACCTGTAATGTAATCCATTCTTTTTCATTTCTAAAAACACACTGTTGGTAGCTTCGTCTTTTAACTGCATTTGTCCCACTTCTTTCAGCAAGACAAATTATGTGCTGAGATGAATAAAATTTAAAATGTTTAACTGAATGATACCCGTGATTTGGAGACTATCATATCAGGAAAAATATCAAAAGCTATATAAAATATCTGTGTTGATAGATCATACAGTCTGGAAGTTCTTCTGGCTGCATTTCTCATCAGATAGACTATGAAGCTAGATGGCAGACTATTTCATTAAGAAGCAAGTCAGACTTCGTGTTTTTGTAATTCATTGTCCTTGAAGTTCATCTAACAGATTATTCTCTCCTTTCTTAGGAAACAGAATCCCTAATGTAAAGAAAGAAACTGATTAAGAAAGAAACATTGCTGTCTCTCAAAAATTGAAAAGGCAAAGGGAAGGCTTCCTGTTATAACTTGAGACTAGTTACAAAAGAAAAGAAGTTAAGATTTAATTAGGTTTTTAAAAGGCTTTAATACGCACTATGGCAGACTTTTGATGTATTATTGACTACTAATTCATCTATACTAACAGAGTGGCACTCCACTCTAATGATTATCGTTTTTAAACCTAATTAAAGAAAGTGATTTGCATGTACAAACAGGATTGATTTAGCATGAAAGATAATATCAGACAAAGTGGCAGATAGCTCCTATGCAATTTTGCAGCTAAGGAAGATGACCTACAATAATTGAAACAAAAAGTGACTGATTGATTTAAAAAACAATCTACCAGTGAAAAGTCAAATCATCAGAAATTCAGAATTAAAATGTTTTTAGTTGTAATGGAGAAATACTTGAGCTCTTATAAGGGGGATCTTCAGGATCACAAGAAGAACAAATCATTTAATACTAAACAAAGTAACACCCCACCTATTCACTGCAAGCATCAATAATTAAATGTAACATCAGATTACCATATTTTTCACACTATAAAACACACTTTTGCCCCCCCAAAAAAAGTGGGTGGAAAAGTCTGTGCGTCTTATAGGGCTAATATTGCGGTGGGGGTAGGGGGTTGGTGTGGTGGCTAACATTGCCGGCGCCGCCTATCACCGCTGCCGCCATTCGCTGCTGCAGGGAAACTGGAGCCTTCACTCCCAAGCAGCTGATTGGCAGTTGGATCGGCCTCCTGGAAGATTGCCAATCAGCTGTTCTAGGTGGCAGGGATCTCCACCACCGCTGCCAATCAGCGGCGCCGTTCGCCACTGCCAGCAATCGCCACCATTCGGCGTTAGGCAGTGATCGGCGGTGAAGGCGATTGGGAGTGATCAGCAGCAATGGCGATAGACGGCTAGAACAACTGATCGGCGGTATTCCAGGAGGCCGATCCAACCGCCAATCAGCTGCTCGGCAGCGAAGCCTCCGGCATTTTCTGGTGGCGGCGGCAGCTCAGCTCAGTTGACCGGTGGTGGGCGCAACGGGGCGGAGCCCTGACAAGCCACATGCTGGGGCTGCGATAACATGCTGAAGCTGACCAGGCTGTTTGCTGCAAGGACGCTAGCCAGATGAATACCAGATGAATGCTGGGAAGCAGAGGCAGATTTTTATTTTCTTGTTTTCCTCCTCTAAAGCTAATGTGCGTCTTATGGTCCGGTGCGTCTTATACTGCAAAAAGTACGGTATTTTGGGCCCCAACACCAAAGAAGAATGTGATGCTTTGAAAAATCCAAGCAAGTTTTTAAAGAAAGGTCAACAGAAATTAAGATAGCTATTATCAAAGTTGGCACAAGCTTGATTTTACAAAATCTCAAGTGTGGAAGGTGTTTTGTCTTGTGACTTTAAGTCATTCTTGACTCCTGACAATTGCCTGGGAAAGTCCCTACACTTTTCTTGGCAACATTTTTGTCATGTGTTTCCCATTGCTCTTTTTCTGGAGCTGAGAGAAAAGTGATTGGCCCAAAGTCATATAGCTGATTTTGTGCCTAGGGGAGGACTAGAACTCATAGTCTTCCAGTTCACAGCCTGGTGTCTTTAACTAAACATAAATATATAATCAATATCAACATCATCACCATCATCTTTAATCAAACTGGTTCTCATAGAAAACATTACTGACAAATACTGTACTGGGGAAACACTACATGTTGGTGTATGAAGAGCTAAAAGCAATGGAATGAATGAACAACAGCAAAAATCTACATCACAAATACAATATCAATTTGCCAATAATTTAATACTGGAGATAGTGTAAAGAGCTTCATGTCACAAGAGAAAAATATTTTTGTCTAAAATATGCTTACTGATTTGTTACATTTTCTCTAACATATTCTAGGTGGATCCAGATGCAATAAAATCAATGACTGTCCTGCTGATTTCAGTGGGTCAACATAAACTATGACTGGATCCACTGTGTTCTGTGAATCTTACTTCCTCAATTGCCTTTCAAGGGAACTTAAGCTAAGAATTAGCCCTTCAAGGGTGGTTCACAGTTTCCTATCCTAAAGTACTCACAAGCTTTTACAGCTGTATGAAAAAGAACCAGAGGTAGCCCTTGGTTAACCTTGGTAATCGGGGCCAGAATTTCAACCACTATGCTAGGGTTGTCAAACTTGTGGCATCACAGCGGCGTCACGTGACGTATCGGGACTTTTTTCCCCTTGGCTAAACTGGGCAGGGGCAGGGACAGCATGTGATGCATCTGGCCAGTGGGGCGCAAGTTTGACACCCCTGCACTAAGCTATGCAGTTGTAAAGCAAAGCAAGATGTCATGGGGCTACATTGCATAACAACAGCAATCTTACACTTCACATTGCTGTCATTAAGCAAAGATTGTGAGTCACTGAGATACTCCTTGCAACTTCCAGCTGGCTTCTAACAAAGTAAGTCCAGGTTGCTCGCAAACTGGCTAGTGGACAGGTATGTTCTTTATAAAAGGAACACTGCTTTATTCTATAAATCTCCTTATGCTAATTTGCTACAATCGCCTTTCCTTTTACTATACATAACATCTGCAATATAGGCACAATTTGGCAGGGAAGAAATAAAAGAATGCCTCTGATGCCACTTTATACGATAAAAACATACATTTTGGCATTATATTTAAACTTCCACTGCAATCAGATGATGCTTCAGTACTTAGCTTGTAATTTATCTAATTTTTTTTAAAAAATCTATCTCAGTTGCATTTTTATTATGTAAGCAGTTTAGGCTAAAAAAAATCAAAGTTGGTGGCATTTTTTTTTAAACTTTGAAGCTTTCGTTGCATGAAGGGGGAAAGAGAAAACATAGGACAGGAAGAAAGATTACATTTACACTTTCTTCCCATGTATGACAGACACTGAAGGCTTTGTAAAGCATTCAATTAAACAAAGGCATGTGGCAATTCACAATTCTAATAACTGCATTCCATCCACTTTTCAGCACATTCTAGGTGGGTGTTGCAGCGACACAATTATGTGAAGAACAGGAATTCAGATTAGCTTTCTTTTTCTCCTAACGTGTTCTCTTTCACAATTTCAGTGCTAATTTTAACAGCCTCATAGCTGACGTAAGGTCAAATAAAAAATTTAAACTGTTAGCTGTTTTAAAATGTTGGAGGACTAAATCCAATGGGCACTGACTCTTTGGTACTTTATCACCTATGATAGGAATCAGTAGAGTATGAAGAGTTGGTTATTTAACGTGTGCCCTCTTTATCTATCTCTCTCCCCTCTATTTTTTTTGAACTAGCTAATCTGAGCTCACACCTTTCTATCTTTGCTTCCCTGGAGGACAGACAGAGACCAAAAGCTCCTTTGATTCCTCTCTGGAGGATTCAGTTAGTTAGGTGCTAGACTGCCTATCCATATATTGTATTTCCTATAAATAAATCTCCTTTCTGTTATAAAACCTGCTTTGGTAATCATTGCTAGGGTCAGATTCCTGCTCTCAGGAATGCTCATATGCCCACAAAGAATGCTTCAAGCTCCAATTTAAAGAAAAAGTTCAGCACTTTTCCTCTTTTAATTCGTTGCATAATGTTTTTGGAACAATTCCATTGAAAGATATTGAATATATTTACAGATATTTATAAAATCACTGTTAACTGCAGTACACACAACCTGCAGCAAATTTTCCTTCTTAAGCCTCTTCCCTGTCTTTGCGGCATGTAGCCAAGTGGAGAAATTTGGAATACTTCTCCTTTTAATTAAAGTTTGCCACATGATCTGAATTTGTGGCTCACAATAAGCACCACTATCTTCAACGTGTCATGTTTGGTCCTAGTTTACACAAATCACTAAGGCATAAGAGGTTTGGTTTTGGCTTTGCATGAAGTGTTAACTCACTCAAAAACCACTATATAATTAACATGTGGAATTCATTATTACAAGTTGTCATGGCCACAAACTTGAGTAGCATTAAAAGGAGATTAGATGCATTTATAGAGAACATATCTCTAGTCTTGAAGACTCGGTGTTACCTCCGTATCAAGGGCAGCATGACTGTTAATGCCACCTGCAGGGAAATTCAGGTAAGGAAGGGTCCTATCTCAATCACCTGTTCTGGAGTTGGCCACTATGAGAAACAAAATACTGGACTAAAGAACAGCCTTGCCCTGATTGAGCAAGACTATTTTTGGGTTTGATTAATATGCAAAGCATGTCCCTTCTTCAACAAACCATGATTTTAAAAATTGGCTTATTGATGTGCAAACCAAACTCATAAAACATGAATTTATATGAACCATATTAATCATAATTTGCACTCAAAAATAAAAAGCAAAAGTTTCCTATTGTCATACTAAGAAAAGAAGGAAATAGAACAAGTATATAGAGAGCAAACCCCACTCCCTTTTAGTATTGGTGTTGTTACCTAGTTAGATAATGAAATGTCTTCAAGAAAACAACCAAGCTCAGAGAACACCAAGGACCCCAGGGAACAATTAATGATACAAGACCATAGCTCTCTGCAGTTTGTTTCTATACATTGGTGTGCCATGTGAATCAGCCCATCTGGTTACTTTACATTTCTGTATGTCATGCAATCCCATAAAATTTGGGCAATTGAGAAAGCCATGTTTAAATTAACCATACGTATCATATCATGCAAACATAGCCAGTCTTTGCCATGATGTGGTTATCTTATCTCTTTATATGCAAGGGGACAAACATTTGCCTGATCACTACAGAGGAAACTAAAGGGAGGAAAAACAAAGGCAGAACAAAGCAAGGAATGTTATTATTTGCCATCACCATTTTCGTCTAGCAAGACTATATGCCATCCATGAGTGGAATAATCATGTCTTAGAACATAATCCAGGCATAGGGTCAGAAAACTATGATGTAGATGTAATTGGTTATTTAATGTATGCTCTACTCAGCATACATTCCGAAATTCACACAGGGAACTTCAAAAATGGAACAACGGTAAAATCTACTAATAGCCAACTTCAAATTATCTTTTCTTATATTAGATTGTCAACCAACCACAAGCTATGTTTTTGCTAATTCATACATTCTATCAAGCCAAATGTCTGAATTAAGGTTAAGAATTCAATCCTATGCAAGTTTAATCAGCAGTATTACTTCCAACAAGGCTAACTTCTTCTGATGTATTTTAAGAATATTATTTTTATCTTTTCAAAAACATCTTGTGTTTAGCAAGACAGCCTGATTAATTAATAAGGTTATCCTCATTTTAGTAGAAGCATTATTTTTAATCACTGTACATTATGAATGCATATTAACATTAGCAACATTTATATTGTAAAATACCCATCTGTTCTTTAAAAAATGCTAACCATGCTGAATTTACTGAAGCTCAATGAATTTCGCTACCAAATGTAACATTTTGTTTAAATATTCAACATAACATTTTTTAATTATTCAGAGTTATCATATGAAAACATCTGAGGAAGATTTATCAGCATTTTCTTTTGTCCCTCCTGATGATCCTGTCCTACCTGATCTCGTGACTGTGGAAGAGAAGCTTGTAGGTTTAGGATTTGATTGAATAAAGGACTCTGCAGTACTGATTTTAATAAACTTAATTTCTCCTCATTTGCTGAATCACCACGTTCTCGTAATTTTGCTTGCAGGCGTTCTACTGCCTGGAGGGCTCGGTGAATATCTGGGGGGGAAAAACATTCACCGTGACATGCTATCTTCACCACATTTATTACATTATGTGGTAGAAATATAAAAATCATGACCCAAACTCCCAAGATGCTCAGAGATGTTGAAAAATGTTTCAGACATAAATTCCATAAATTGTGATCATTGCACAAAGCCCAGACAACACATTAAATTACTGCTTACATGACTGTTTTAAATTATAATGAAAACCAAACAAAATTTGAAAGGAAGGCAGCCTTAATTCTTAAACACGGGGTCTTATGCTTCTTTTATTTGTAACCCAACTCAATTCAATTCTTTTGCATGCCAGCATCCATCTAGGAGGATTTGGGTTGATATTTTCCATCAGGAGAACATTAGAGCCAATACTGGGCAAGAGGGAAGAGATCTGCTCCCTCTTGAATATGCATATAGCAGCAACATCTGGAGAATAATGAAAGCAGTACTGGAGCATCACAAAACAAGTCCTGCTTTTTTTTTTTTTTTTGTACACGCACAATTTTGTATTCCAATGTAAAAGGGATGTAGTTTATATTGCAATGCTGCTTTTATCATTTTAATTTATGCAATTAATTAAATTACTGCGAGTGCAACCCACACCCAAGCTGCTGTGGGTGTCCATACATGCATGGATCAGTGCCCAAACCCATATAGAATTGTTTACATGGTTAAATAAATAATTTCTGATATGCTATCATGACACACAAGTGAGGATTTAAGAGGGAGCAAATGATGAATCATTGATGATAATGGCATCACATTAATAACATGATTTACATTCAGGACACAAATACATTATTTTGTGTCACAGTGATTTGCTGTGGACCCTATGCATACTCTCTGCTTTTCCTCCTTTGGACCTCCTCTCAATGATTTATTTATTGTGGAATACTCCATTTATCTTTTCTTATGTTAGAAAGATCAATAGTTAAATTAACATGATTCTTCAACATGAGAATGAAACTGAGTTATTTAGTATATACTTAATTCTAAGTAGGTTATATTTACTATTTCTAAATAAACTTTATTACTATATCTTACCAATTGTTTCCAACATGGCTTTTGCTTAATTCCCACTTCACCAGATGTTAATTAATATAAGGTCTTCCTAAAAAAGAATTGGGAGAAAGGAGATGAACCATTTTAAATAAATATTATAAAAATAATCTCAATTTTATTGGTCACCCTAAAAAAAGTATCCAAGACTGAAAGGAATCCATTGCAATTACAAGTCAATTTTAATTCTGATAGAAATACATTGTAATAAGTAAAAACTTCATCACAATACAGTGAGCCACATAAAACCCAACGTATGTACTTTCTTCGGTCATAGCAATATCATTGCTATTTTAGCACAGAAAGCTTTTAACAATGGCTCCTGTTTAATCATGTTATATGAAATAGTATCTGGTATTAATGTAAATGCAGTTTCTGAATTCCTCTATGAGGAAAAGAGGTGTAGAGAAAGAAAGATGTTAAGAAAACAGAAGTGGAAAGCTATGTAGTTACTTTTCCTGAATCTCAGTCCCTGTGCAAGATTTTAAAAAAATATTAGTGGTTGTATTTTTCATAAAAATATTAGTGATCCAAAGAAAACATAAATCTCATTAATATCTGAAACTATGATACACCTATGAGAAGCAAACTAAATGTTAAAATGTTATCATCAAGATAAAACATGTTTTCGTACCAAGAGGCTCTTAGCCCAGAACAGCTGTCAGCCTTCAGCTGTCTAATCCCCTGGATTTTAAAGGTCTGTTATCTACCACATACTATTTTAACTATTTTACTACACATTCATCATTTCATCAAAAAGGTAACATGCACCACTAATCTCGTCTACCAGCTATAAGACTTCTCTGCAGATATAATCTCCAATGAAGTTTCATGCATTCATCAACAGTCCCATTTCATAAATCCTTTTTAGATAAATACCTCAGAAACTATAAGCTCATAGCGTCAGATTAACCAACATGCAATGCCAAAGATAGCCAGTTCCATAATAAGCTTTACCTCAGAGATGTTAGTGACTTTCAAGGCTTGCTAAAGCTAACACTGATATCCAGGCTAAGATGTTCATTGGATATCACAAAAGAGCAGCTTCTCCTCATGAAGGGAAGTTCTTGCACGCAGAGTGCTAATTTTACGACAGCTAGAAAACGCTGGGAAAACAAGTTTCTAATCTGTTCCTACTAAAAAAAGAAGGTTCTGGCAATCACTGAGATAATGTATATATGTATGCATGTAAGTATGTATTTTATATAGCTGCCTGTCTCACATATGTGACTCTAGGCAGCTTACAATGAAATGCAGAACATGAAAACGTAGAGCAGCCAAGCATCATTCAACCAATTAACTACACAGCCAGGAGTCAGGGACAAAACCAACTTTTCAAAGCCTGATGGAAGGTCAGCAAGGATGGGACCAATTTAATCTCAGGAGGGACAATATTTCAAAGGGCAGGTGCCAAGGCAGCAAGGCAGGAAAGGCTCTGTTTCTTAGCCCTGACAGTTGGCATTTTTTTAGCCAATGGTACCCAAAGCATGCCCCTCCTGCCAAGTTGGATAAGATGGGGTAAGACAATCAGGGAGTAACTCAGTCCCAAGCCATTAAGCATTTTAAAGGTAACAACCAGCACCTTAAATTATACCCAGAACCACACTGGAAGCCAATGTAGCTCGCAGAGTAATTATGTTACATGCTCCAAATAAACAGCAATAGTTTGTGAGATACCAGAAAACATAAAATATTTAATATTTGTTTTGTATCCTCTTCATTGGTTATTGCTTACTAAGCCCATGATGGCGAACCTATGGCACATGTGCCAGAGGTGGCACACAGAGCCCTCTCTATGGGCACACATGCCATCGCCAGCTGCTCTTCTGGTTTCCAGCGCGCGCATGCGCCCTAGCCAGCTGATCTTCGTGTGTGCCAGAGCCCCGGAAACCCAAATAACAGGTGGTCGGTATGCACATGTGCACTGGCCAGATGGTCTTCGAGTTTCCGGGGCTGCAGTGCGCACACACGTTCCGGTTTGGACACTCGGTGCCAAAAAGGTTGGCCATCACTGATCTAAGCAAACTGCAAGTCCTTAGCTGAGGTCTTATTATGACCTCAGCCGTGACTACCATGGGAACTATCACATTAAAACAGGTGTTTCTCTACTTAGCTACTGAGGCCATCATCCATAATTTACAGAGCCAAGATATGTAAGGCCAGCACACAAGTCTTAATTATTTGTGCTCTTTTTTATCCAACTTGCTGCCTCAGGAAATACATCTGGCTCCATCAATGTATCTCTTTCACCATCAGATAATTACATTTGCACTGTATTGTTTTCATAAAAAGTTTTGAGACTTCATCTTCTGGCTGATTCAATTCTGGGTCTATTAAATTTGCGTTTTCATGGCTTATGTGAACATAAGTAGGTATGAGCACAATTATGTTATTATTTGATTTAAAACATGTTCATTCTACTTCAGCTAAAAATACTGTGTTTGTAATTCAATGAAAATATATGAATAAAAATTTGAAGTTTTTTTAAAAATCATTTGTTTTGCATTTGCAATCTAGAGAAAACATATATACATACAAGTGATAACACAAAATTGTTTTTTTAATTAATTGTTTGTTTAAAGAATTAATACAGCTTTCCACTCACAACTTGCAACTCTGGGCAAAAAAACTATAAATTAAAAAAACTATTAAGTCAAACATTAAATGCAATACAGAAACAATATAACAAAACATGATTAATACACAGCCAAGGCAAATACCACTTCTTAAAACAAAACAGGCTTTCATTGCATCCACAGGATGCAGGTAGCACGCAAAACCATGCGGAGAAAACTTCTCTCCATGGAACCACTCCCTGGTGCTCAAAAGGTTGGGTACCACTGTTCTAGACCCAAGGCTACATTATTTTAAAAATGGACTTTGAGCATGTCCATTGCATAAGTTGTGACTTGGATCTAGCAAGACGACCACATCCCTACCCTTGAATAAGGCTTTCAAGATGCACTATTTGAGGGAGCTCTTCAATGAATTTGCAAGCTTCTCCAGGATCTTTGAATCTTTGTTCTGGAAGGGAAAAAGCATCAGAAGAGAGGAGGGGTGTGAAATTTCACCGAGTCTATATCATCATCCGATACTGGAGACTGATAAGAGTCATAAGGATGGAGCATCTGATTTGAAAAGCAGAAACGAACAGCTGCTGGATAGCCTTCTTTCAGTGCATATAATAACTTTTAGATGCTTTAAGTTATGCACTGGTTGAATGATCTATATTTCTATAGATTAAGTGCCAGTATCCTTGGGAAGCCCAGTTGATTTCAGATGTCTCTCCCTATTTGATCAACAGAATAGAATGAGCAAGTCACCTAGTTAAGTATATTCCCCTGGATCTAAGTGGGCTACTGCAATCACCATCATCTTTGTGAATTAACTGGGAACTGAACACAAGTCAAATGGAAGAACCATGAACAGATGGTGAACTGCTAGTATTCTACAGTATGCTCCTGGTGTTTGAATTCTTGTGTAACCTGTGAGGCTGGATCATTTGAGTGGGGGAGGACGACTTTATGATGGATTTCAGAGCTTCCATCCAAACTATTTGATGTCGTTCACTTCAGATCCAGGATGTTATACCATTCTCTGCTCTTCTTAGGAACAATGAAGAATATGGAATATCAGCCCAAGAATGTCTCATCGTTGGGATTTATCCAATCACTTGTACAGTCAAAAGATTATTTAAGCCTTCAGGATGTTTTGTTGCCTTAAGAATGAATGAATGAAGAATGAGGCGGAGCAATATTGATATAGGCTGGTGGATTTTATGATACAGCCCTATGAGACTGTGTTTAGGAAACATGCATCATTATGACAGTTCACAGATGGATGAGTTCCATTAGCCTCTTGCATACACGGAAGTTGTAATGATTGTTGTTGTTGTCTGCATATTTGCTCTGGATGTTAGTGGAAGGCATTCTTCCCCAAACTGAAGCTGAGACTGATGTGATTTGTTTTGGAAACTTTGCCTCTTCCAGAGTGAGATAAGTGTTTTGAGTCAGGGTTCAGCTACAACCGAGGAAATGGAAGATGTAGCTTGATTATCTACAGACCTTGCTATGTAACATTTTAGATTAGGGACATGCCTTTTGTTCTCTCCTATTCTCAATTAGATCTTACAGACTTTCTTACAAAATTGTGAGAAGTCTTTTTTTGAACTAATGAATTAGAGCATTAGCTATTTTGTTTTGTCTTGTCTATGGACCATTCACCTTCCTCCTTATCTCTCTGGTCCTGAAGGGAGGTTTTCTGAATCAGGTGTGATATGGGGTGGCAATTGGGTTTTTCTCCATTCAATTGTTTGCCTCTCTTCCCTTTCTGATGGCAGCCTGGGCCTCAATCTCCATGGTGAAAGTCTGGAGGAAAAGGGGGGAACAGTTTCCTTCTTCCTACACTTTGATAAAGTTGTAGAATTCCAGAATGCTGTTTTCCAGGTGTTGTTGTCATTTTGTTCTTATCACTACAGTGGCCAGGAATTTCTGAGGAGTGGGAGGCTAGGGGGCCTTTTAAGAAGAAGAATTTGGTGGAACCAACTGAAGAGACAGAAGAGTGCTCATCCTTCAGCCAAGTACAGTGGATTGGATCAGGGACACCAAGTGCCAACTTCCATCTTCTCTATTGCCCAGGCTATCTAGCCATGTAAGTATGGCAATGATCCCTAGCACACCTAGCACACTTGTGGCTAGCAATTTAACAATCCTTGACATCAAGGGAGTCCTTGATGGAGCTATAGGCATGTATACACCCCAGTGAAAACTGGATTGGAACTGGGAAAAGAAACAATGTCAATAACTTTTCTAGCCCTGCTTTTGGTGCGAGTCTGAAGCAGATACACACTGTTGAACGTTCTGGGTCTGATTTGGGACACAAGCGTTAAACTCAGTGCAATTTTAGGACAATGATTTGACTGTTAAAAAGAAAATAGCAACAAAAGGAATTTAGCAAAATGCAATATAGCATACTAATGAGAAATGTAGTGGTGAGCATGTAGTGTCATTTCAAAGTTGGATTAATTTTAAGACAATCTTTGTGTTAGAAAAAGGTACCATCAATATTCTATCCGCTTTCCAAATACAACCATTCTCCATCTGAAAACAAGTTATGATAGATGTTCACTACCCTTCAAGCCATTTTAAGCGGCCTTTGTAAAGGTCCATATTTTTATCACTCAAATTTTTAATTTTTATACTTTCTTCTAACATGCTAAAAACCATCAAGGCAACATACAAATCTCTCCTGCCTCCTATCCTCCTTTAAAAGGGTGCAACTAGTCTGCAAAATACAAGAATTACTGTTTACACCCAATGGATAACAAAGAATACAAACTGGATACAATAGCTTTTGCAAATGCAGGAAAGCCTACAGAAAGCCACCATGTAATCAAAGTGTCCCTATTTATATCAATATTGACAAATTATCTGAAAATACCTGCTTATAATTTAATTTACTTCTGAGTTAAACTTCTTTTTGTTTTTTGCCTGGACCTTTTATACCCAATCTGTGATCTTACTGGAAGAGCAAACAAGATGGTGAAAGCCTGTGTAGTAACACAAAATATGCCACTACAGTGAACCAGCATAAACAGCAAGATCCCAATGAGCTAAATTCTGTAGTTTAATTTATTGGGTTATCCATCATCATGCCTGTAATTTCACTGCGTAGTTTTGCCATTTGCAAAAAAGAACAAATATATATTAACGTCCATTAATATGCCTGACATTTATTTTAGTGAGTGCATTGAATTTGATTATGAATTTTTTAAATGGGTTCTACCTTGTAAAGAAAATACAAGAGAGCTTTATAGCCAAGTCTGAAAGTCTGTTTGTTTTATGTAAATGTTAATGAAGTATGTCTCTTAAAAGTCATGCTGCTTTAATGCAATATGCTTAATGTTATTTTATTATGCCATTATAAAATGCATTCATACATGAAAAAATGCATATACTTAATTTGAAGCATAAATCTATTTTATATAAATATTTAAAGGCTCTATATTATTTATTTTAAAAGTTCCCAAATTATCTGATATACTCAATTTTTTCTAAATCCATGTCTTAAAACAAGTGGCCTATTTCTAAGAAATGTTTTCATGTTCTAGTGATCTCCATAGCACAGCATTAAAATATGCTTATTCTATAATTTCACTGATTATACATTGCATAACATCAAAATTCAACTACTGCATACAAACAAGTTTTACCTCTTCTTTCTGTACTTACTATAGACAAAAAAATATACTGACATACTGAAATATAGCTTTGCCTAGATTATTATCTGTTGAATTTAACAAATATTTCTAAATCAATGCATCCAAGTCAATGGATTGTGGAACTATCCAAAAAATAGTTAAATGATGGAGAATATTTTTAGCCCAGAGTTTGAAATTAAAAAGTTAAGGGGCTTGCCAAGAAAATAAAGAGTGCATGATCAAAATTATTTAACAATTAATAATGTCTTATAATTCAGTGTAGTCCTACTATGAAGACTTCAGTTTCCCCACCTTTTCAATTAATAATTCAAACAATTACTAATGAAGTATGTTTTCCAGTAATGAGATCCCAGAATGTTTGCTATTTTGAATTAATATGGAGTGCAGATGCAGACCTGCCTAATGTTTATCACTCTACAATTGTATCCATAAATGCCCACTCTTCTTATTCTACTGTGATTACATCTGAAGTAATTATCAGTTTCTTGATTATCTATTCTGAGTTATTGCAGAAAAACCCAACTCCCCCTACAGCTTACTCGTTGGGAGGAAAAAAGAGTGAAATGCATTTTATCACTATTTCTAGTGATGATAAACATAGGAGGAGGATCAACAGACTCAAGCTTCTGTACTAAATAAAATCTTTACTGTACTGCTTTTCCTCCATTTTTAATGCACTGAAGTTCAAAGATGCAGTTCTCGATTTATTCCCTTTTTCCCAGCTATTTTACAGAAAAGAAACTATGAAAAGCTCCCCGCCTAAAGGAGGATGCTGTTTTTAATCTGCATAATTGACTCCAACCCACTGAAGTGCGCATGCAACCCAGGACAGCTCTCCCTCCCTTTCCTCAGCCATACAACTTCTTTTTCACTTTGTGACGTGCTTAAAACAAGAGGCCGGCTGATCCACCATCTACACACAACACATACACACTCATACTAAAGCACTACCCAAGACTCTATGCCACACCAGGGTTTCGGAAGGATTAAAGTTGCAGGACACGAGTGGGTGTGGGGGGATCATATATAAACGGCCAAGCTAGAGGGAAGAAGTTGGGGAGGGGAGGGGGTAGTCATACAATACTAATACAGAAATTCTTTCACCCACCCACCCACCCCGAATACAATGAATCCAACTCAAGCAGAGGAAGTAGCCCTTTTGTTGACATCCACTTTCTTCCCGAGACAGGCACCGAAGCCAAACCAAACAGCATCTCCTCGGATCCTCCCGCAGTTCGGTGAAGACCCCCCCCCTCCCCTCTTGCAAACGCACACACACTCCAACATATATGCACACAAACGTAGAGGAGACCCAATGGCTGGAACTCGGCCAGCCCAGCCAGCTTCCCCAGAAGAAGCAACAGGCGGCCTAAAACCTTCCCTTGGCCGCGCCAGCAAAGCTACTACGCTGGCCTCCTCCGGACCCGCCTCCACCGAGGGCACGGTGAGGGGAGGGGGGCTGCCTTCCCCCAGCGTTACGACGCCCCCTCCCCAGAGAAAAGCCTCGGCCGGCCCTCTCTTCCGCTGCCCCCGGGCGCTACCCCCTTAAACCTAAAGCGGAGCCGTCTATCTGCTAATATGCTGGGAAAGGCTGGGAAAGGTTGGGAAGCCCCCCCCCCCCAAAATATTCCCCAGTTTTTCAGAAGGGAGGGAAGGAGAGGGCGCTTCCCCCCTCCCTCTCTCCGTCCTGGAAATAAGAAACACCCCCCCCCCACTCCCGCAAGAGTAACAATCGCAACAACCAGGGCTGGCAAAGCGCCTCACCAGCAGCAGCAGCAGCAGCAGCCGGCGGGAACAAAAGCGAGCGCCGGGCGGATGAGAAGGCTCGCCCCGGGCGGAGCTTCCACGCCGCTTCTGCATTCCGAGAAGCAGCAGCAGCAGCAGCAGCAGCGGAGGCGGCGACGGTGGCGGCCCCCCTCCCCTGGAGCCCTGCTGCTGTCCTCCCTTTCCCCCAATGGAGCTGCGGAGTCCCGCACCCCAGGGCGTGTGGACGGAGGCAGCGGGCAATTGCTTAGCCTTTGAGGTGAAGCCTCGGGTTGCTGCTGCCTCCTCTTCTATACCCACCCACCCCCTACCTACGCTTTCTTTGGCTCTGAAGTAACGGCCCGGAGAGAAAAGCTGCAGGATACACACACGCGCAGGCGACCGTGAAACTTAATCCTGCCCAGGCATCGCGGAGGCTCGAAGCCAAGCCCCCCCCGTTCCTCCCTTCTTTCCTTCCTTCCCCGGCGACTAGACGCTCAACGTCCGCCAGCCGAGCCGAGCTCCATGAGGCACCATGACAACCGCAGGAGCAGCAGCAACAGGAGGGGGCCGTGAGGTGCCGTGCAAACTCCTCGATGCAAGACGGCCCAGTTTAAAGCTGCCCTAGTTTCTATTTTATTTTATTTATTTATTTTAAATGCATGGAAGAGAAAAGAGAGGAGGAGGAGGGCGGGACGAGAGAGAGAGAGGAAGAAAAGACTGAAGCTTGGAAATCCTGCTTTTCGAGGAATAGCTAAAAGTTTGGCATTGCTGCGGCTCGGGCAAAAATACCTTTTAAACCCCGTCTCATAAAACCTGCTGTTTTGCACCTTCTCTTTAGTGGCTCTTTTGATCAGGGAGCTCCAGATGTGCGGCACGGTGTCCAAACCGCTGGCCACTTGGTGTTTGTGTTGCCAGGTGTAATCGTTTTGTAGAGCCAGCTTATAATAAAATATAATTAGGCTGAGTTGTGCCTCCGCTTTCATCTGTTTCAAGGGTTTCTGGGTTTTTTTTTCTGGCTCACGGTTTGCATCGTTTTAATCTGGTATAAAATCAGATTTAATGTGATCAAAAGGTGAGGAATAAATGACTGGCCGCTGTCTATATTGCTAACCGTGTATTGCTAGAAAAAGGAGAGTGGTTTATCAACTGATTTCAATCACAAAAAGATGTTCCCCTTTCTAAATCTTGTAGCTCTATCTCTAAAGCATCCAATACAGTAATGGCTTTTCCAGAGCTGCAAATGGGAATGGAGAAAGACACAAACATGGCATTACATATTTCAATGGTTTTCACCAAAAGGGCTGTCCAGTCATAAACATCAAAGATAATTTGCATCACAATGCATTTTTTCTGAATAGAGTATTAACAGTAAAATCCTTTCCCAAACAATCATCTAAAAGGCAGGCCACTATAGCAACATTTCTGGGGATATAATCACCTTGAGTATAAATAGAGTTATAAAGAAACCTTACATAACCTGTTTAAATCCTCAGATTGAACCCCAATACTTCATAGTTTTTTTGAACTCCAGTATGGTGGTCAATTGATATTGCCTCTTGTCCAAACCTTGGGATCCACCATCCTTTTTTTTCCCATTCATCCACTTTGTTATCATGTAGAATGTAGATTCTGAGAAATAAATTGGAACTCCATCCCTGGATTACTGACATGGCAAAGACACCCCCCCCCCCAGCCTGTAATATAAAAAAACAAGAAGCAGTCCTATCACACATCATTTATTCCAAGCTATATTGGAATATTGCCCTTTGTAACTAGAGAGTATGGAACTTCTCCAAAGGCATCCCACTGAGTGGTATATAATGTAACTATATTATATTGCAATTTAAATCTTCCAAAATATGCTGACTTAAAAAAAAATTGATGTTGCAAAGTTTTCATGTGGCTGTTTCTTTAAAAACACTATCAGGTCTACATCAAACAACAGGTCCAGATTGTAGGTCTAGGAACTATCAATGTGTCAGCCAGATCTTATATTGGAAGCTAGTTTATGTATATTGTGTGGTTTCATTTGTACTCCAGATGTCCTTGAAGGGATTGTGCATTACTAATGTATTCTCAGTAAGATTGTGACATTGCCAGACTCTATCATCGTTATTTAACTAAGGTATGTATTGTCAGAGAGAATTTTGACATGTTATTTGAAAGTTTAAAAAGGCTACCCCTATCACTATGAATTAACATCAGCCCATACATGCATTTAATCCATGCTGGTGGCCATGATACATTTTGATTTGACTATAACATATGGGAAACATTACTCCATATGTGTTTCCTCAACTTATTTCCACATAGAATTCTTAAGACAATTTTATCACAGAGACCTACTCATTCATATACCTGAGTATGCGTGTGCAGATAAACATACCTAAATATGCACTCTCTTTGCTCTTTAATTCACAGAAAAAATTGCAGAGCAAGATCCAAATGCCTAGATTCTCAGTGGAGACCCTAATGACTGAATCACAAATATTAATGGTTTATGTGCACAGGTAACATTGAGCTTGGAAAGAATGAAAATCCCATATTTCTTCAGTGATCTCTTTCATTAAAAAAGGTGATGAGGTCTAAAACAAAAATATTTTTAAAATATTGAGCATTTTACCAATGGAGTGAAACAGATTTTTGCCTTTTTGTTTAAAAATGCCCTGGATAAATACACCCTCTCCAATCTTTAGATCATCTTGATTCCTGTTGACAATTGATCATCTCACTAACGGATCATCTTGATTGCTATTTTAAATAAAAACCTGTACAATAGCCCCTGTTTTATATCAGACCATTTAGTTTGACCTGTTATCTCTCTGAGGTTAGAACAGCTCTCCTTTTTTGGGCATGGATTTTTGGAGAATAAAGATTAAGCAAATTAGCCACTGCTATTGCACCCTTTGTGTGGTGTAAAGATATGAGAAAGCAACAAAACTTGGGGATTGTAAAACCATGAATTGTAGTTATTTACAGTAGTGTTATAATTGCCCATCACAGAAATAGCTAAATGATTTTAAATAAAAATAAGTGGCTGGACAAAAATGACATTGCTTAATAAAAAGAGGTGAAAGAAAATTGTTACATATGTAAAAAAACAAACAAACCAGAATTAATATAATATGAACCACTGTGCTTTATTGGTGTGCTTTGTTTGTGTGTAAATAAAACAAGAACAAAGAACAACATATATAAAAACATCGTGAAGTTTAAGCATGAGCAAGTTTTATTGTTTTTTTTCTCAATAGCTCTCTATATCAGAAAACCCTCTCAACTACATGCAATTACTCTGTCAATATTACTATCATGATCATCATTTATATTTTTTCTTTCTCTAAAGTAAGCCACTAACAGCTATTAAAGGATAAGAAGAGTCTGCAGATGTTTAGGGTGGAAATATAAAGAAAGCAAGATAAAACAGTTGCTGGGGTGTCTGGAGATACTCAGTCCTTCAGGTCATAGTTGTCTCAAGGGTGTTTTTTTCTTCAAAAGGCAACTGGACTGTTTTTTCCTTGAGGAAGAAGAAGAAAATATTTTGCTTCTCATCCAAGAAGTTTCATCATGAAGCGTCATCATTCATGAAGTTTCTTGGATAAGAAACAAAATGTTTTGTTTGTTCTTCCTCAAAGAAAAAAAACAGTCCAATTCAGTGGTGGGTTGCTCCCGGTTCGCACCAGTTCGCAAGAAACGGTAGTAAAAATTTGTAGTAGTTTGGAGAACTGGTAATAACATTGGCTGGCCACACCCCTGAACCAGTCCCCGGCCCGGTCACAGCTCACTTACCCCACCCACCTCATCAGAGGATTTTTTTTAATTACTTTTAAAAGCATTTTTTCTACAACCTCTTCGGCCGAAAAAATGCTTTTAAAAGTAAAAAAAAAAAAAAAAGCCTCTGATGATCGTGCGGCTCAGCTGGGATCGTCAGAGGCTTTTAAAAGCATTTTTTCTACAACCTCTGCAGTCGAAGTGGTTGTAGCAAAAAAAATGCCTTTAAAAGCCTCTGGCGATCCCAGCTGAGTTGCCTGATCGTAGAGGCTTCTAAAAGCATTTTTTTCTGCAACCTCTTAACTGTAGAAAAAATGCTTTGAAAAGTACAAAAAAAAAAAAAGTTGGCCACGCCCACCCAGTCACATTACCCCCCCACCAAGCCACACCCATAAAATAAGCCATGCCCACAGAACCATTAGTAAAAAAATTTAGAACCCACCCCTGGTCCAATTGCCTTTTGAAGAAAAAAAAAATACACCTTTGAGACAATTATTGTTGGAGGGTATCTATGGAGATTCTCAGTCATTCAGGTCATGGTTGTCCCAAAGTTGCTTTTTCAAGAGGCAACTGGACTTCCTGGTTGTCATCTGATGAGAAGCGAAACATCTTCAAAGGAAAACCAGAAAGTCCAGTTGCCTCTTGAAAAAGCACCTTTGGAGATTATTGTTGAAGGGGTTTTTTTTCCCCCTGAAACATTTTACTTGCATGGTAAATGTAAGGAAATACTTGGGACCGTTTTAGTGTTAAATCCTGCTAAAAGCGAAACCATGTCTGTGACATCCAAGGCAATCAAAGCTAGTATACACAATATCCTGGCATCCATACAACAGGGTTCTCTCTTTCACGTTTCTTTATTGCCTAAGAATCTGATAAGCTTCTGTCATAAACAGCTGTACTTTTGAAACCATTGACACCTCCATAAACAGTAGCAATTACTTTAAACTCAAACCTTGGACCATTAATGTAGGTTTCTTATTTTAGACTTAAAATCATATGCATCCTCTTTTTTGGAGCTGTTCTCCCTTCTGCATTCTTTCTTATGGTCACACTCCTTCTCCATCCAATGATACTTCATTTGAATTTCAGAAAATTGACTTTTCTCATAAATATTCTTTATCTGCTGAAGATGTTACCTAGTCTGGTAATGAAATATTCGGAAACCAACCCACAAGCTTGGGGAATGAATGTTCACCCTCATACCTTGTCCTCTTTAAGACTCCTGTTTTTAGAAATTGTAAGAACTTCATTCCTTCAAACATTTTCACTGTTTCCTATGTTCCTTTTTATCTTCAAAACAGAACAAAAAGAAAAGCAGGGAAGGATGAAAAGAATTTTAAAAATGTACTGGCTTTTACATGTTGCTTTTACCCTTACAGTAGAACAAAATCACACTTACTAGCATTCCTCATAAAGCCAGGGATTTTTAAAAAAAATCCCTTTATGAAGTTAAGTCCTTAGGTTGGCTAAGATTCATTCTCAATGACCTAATTTATACTTAACACAAATACAATAATTTCCCAAACTACTTTTTGTTTTTGTTTTCAGATGCTCCATACATACTTTTGAAGGCTTTATTTTTAAAGTTTTTTTCAGAATAAAATAAAAATATGGCTTATTAGCAAATAGGATTCAGGATAGTAATAGGATAGTAAAGCCCTATAAGCACATTTGTTGTTCTTTTTGCAAATATTACATTTTCTTTGTAATGAAAAGGCTTTTTTAACAGATACCAATTAATTGTTAATAAATTTAGCCTCATTATGCTAGACAATATCTAAAAACATTAATTTCTAGAATACCAAATTCTTTGAAC